ACCAGGGATTTCAGTAGTCTCAGGGCAGCTACCCGGGTGGGCAGGGTTGCAGCCCAGGCCACCTGGAATCTCAGTGGCGGTCTCTGGGCAGCTACCCGGGTGTGCTGGGTTGCAACCACCCGGGATTTCGGTGGGCGCGGGACCTTCCGGTGCTACTGCAGCGTAGGCTCCAGAGAGAAGAAGGACGGCAGACAAATGAGTGAGCTGCATTTTGAGGGTTGGAAAAGACAGTAATGTGGAAGTAAGAAGTTCCCAGCGACAATACGCGACAGAGATCGAAATGAGCGGATGGGATGTAAAAAGAGCGTATGAGGTTGGTCAGTGGATTGCGCTCAATGCGAGCAGGTGAAGGGAACCAATGTTCTTATATCAAGATTGCTATGTTCTATCGGGAATGCTCCGAGACATGATCATTGTCTAGACACTTACGGCGGACTAAATCGAAGTTCTGGACATTTGTAAAATATGAGTCGAAATCTTGGCGTTTTATATAAAGCCTCGACTACCCCATACTTCTAAATCTACTAGTATTTAATACCAGCTCCTATCTCTACCTATTACCATTACTTCTGGAATGCTACTATATAGGATTACACTAGGGCCCCGGGGGATCTAAAGATCTAGCAGCTTCTAAATACAGGGTGCCGATAGTCCCTAAACCCAGGATGCTGATGCCCTCTAAAATGGGGGTGCTGGTGGCCTCGAAAAATAGGGCGCCAATGCCCTCTAAAAACAGGATACTAGCCGTTTTTAAAAGACAATTTAAGACAGTGGAAAAGGCGGTATAATAATATTTCAGAATCGAACTAGTCGATAATCCAGAGCTGTATCTTATATATAAAGAATATAATTGGTTAAGCAGCAGAGTGGATGTCTGCGGGTAGACTGAATTGATGAACAAAATTGTGTGTTAATATTGGCAAAGTTGGTAATATTTTATATTGTCCGGAACTTCGATTTAGTCCGCCGTAGAGACTCTCCACCGGGGTGTATTGTCAGCTACACAAAACTATTGGAGTGAAACGGCCGAGAACGAGAAGAGGATAGACCTAAGACAGCAATAGGTGGAGGAGAGACATGCCAAGACATAATCCCGACACAGGGCGCTGTAATATCCGATGAAGATGCGATATGGAGATGAAGGGCAGGGAACGAAAGGTCTTTCTGAGACTAGCGGTATCAACATAGGGTTTAGGAACCTGAGTCCCTATTGTGGTAGCTGGGTAACGATCAGCGATCCGTGAACTGGGTTAACCTAGAAGTGACTTTTGATCAGAAGTGGTATGGCTGTCTGACAGTCTGTAGATCAGTGTGGCAAGGTGTATCATGATCAACACCAGACTATAAGATGGTGGTTGATCTCGAGGCCAACCGAAGTTCAATAGTCCCAGTTTTCGCTGCAAAGCTGGAACATAATAAATATCCACCGAAGGATGATCAGTGTAAGATCATTACTCCGTACCTCCATCGTGGTCAAGCCTAAAAAGCAACCTTGAAGTCCGGGGGCTAGGTGCCGTCAGACCACAGAGGTCGAGTCGAATGCTTTAGTCATGATTTTACAATGACATGGTCTCCGAGCTTCTAGTCTATGTGCCACAAAATACTATAAAATCAAATAAATTCATGTCTTTGTGGGGGAATGACTGTTATCGCGACGATTATAGGGCGTGACTGAAAGAACCGGCTAATTAAGGTAGACCGAAAAGCCAGCCTTGTATATATTCCATGCAGTTGTGGACTGCTGCACCCCATATGCATCCAACAGCAGACAATACTTGACTTTGAACATTCTCACTGGGACCAGGCCTGAGACATGGTCCATTCGGCAGGACCGTACAACAAGATCAGCATCTGGCAAATCTGTATTCGGATACTACTAAGCTCCACAGTGGGGTGAGACCTGCAAATTGTAAGGGGTCTATCAGGAACAACGGCCCACTTCCTTGTCTCAGGATGTGGCTCGGCCAGACCGCGGACTTTAGCAGATTTACAGTGTCTGGGGCTGACCTTTAGCTTGAGGTTGTGATCGCAATGTAGAGCCATGAGGATATTTGAGGAAGAAACGTTTCTGGAACATGCGAAGGGGGTGATGTTTACACAGCGACTAAGTCAGTTTCACTACATACGTACTGTTCGCTATTGTAGGGATGATGTGATCATCTAATTCAAATTGCTGTCTAATTGAAATGGCAAGGTACACCCTCAATTTCTAGACACATCAGTGGCACGCTCGTGCTCCACACTTGCGAGAACAAAGGAGGAAGAACCATGCAAGCTGTTGTAGAGGAGGGGCTGATGGACGTAATACTAGAGTTGTTGCACCCGTTAGCTGGAAAGTGACCAAGACATACTGTGTTAGATGGGAAAGATACCTCATAGGTGGCATTCGAGCTCAGACTGCAGACGGATACCGTGCCATTATAGCCCAGTGTCCCGTTCTTGTTGTCGACCACGAAGTCCTGGAGAAGATGGCCATAGCATTTGCTTGCGAGGGCTGCAGGTAACAGGGCTTTCTCAGGAGTATCGTGTAAATAGCCAAGTCGCGCGCCCTTGTAGAGCGCGTATGTGAACATTGCTGATCCACTAGACTCGATGTAATTGCCCTCTCTGTTTGGATCTGTCATAACCTGCCACCAGCAACCAGTCTCTGGATCAGCCGCCGCCATGACTGCATTAGACAGCGCAACAAATCGTTGGTGTACATGATTCCACTGCGCCTCACTCAGGACACCTTGCTGACTTGAGATCTCCAGACTATCTACCAAGGCCATCATATACCAACCCAAGGAGCGAATCCACACAATTGGACTCCCACCCGTGACCGGATTCGCCCAGACGGCTGTTTTCGATGCGTCATACCCGTGTACCAATAGGCCCGTGTTGTTTTGACGACAATGGGACCAAAGGAGATCGAGTTGGTAGACGAGATCCTGTCCTACCGCACTACTATTCTCTGCCGCGAAGCTGGCCGTGTAGGTGGAATAGAAGGGGATGAGAGAGTACATCCCATCAAGATAACTCCAGTTTGGGTACTTGAAATACCAGTAACCCCCTATGTATTGATTAGCTTCCTCACGGGTAGAAAAGATATAAAGACATGTTCTAAAGTGTGGTCGCGTCTCTGATTCAACGTGTTTTCCACCGCTCTACCCATTCTTACACTTGGGGTATCTACATACCATATTGATTTCTAGGTTGCAAATAGATGGACTGCTGCAATGCATCCAGCGCCGCCTTATATGTTTCGTTTGCCGTTCTCTCATACCTACCTTATTGTGAGCGCCAGACCGTTTCCCGACAAACGAGGACCATCTTCGCGCGGCATAATGCCAGCTGGGGTCTATCTAGTAGACTTACTGATAGAACAGCCCATTGCCATCCGAGAATCTATCCAGGGGATACTGAGTATCCTTGGTAGCGTTCAGAAGCCAAGGAGTGACGCTCTGCGTACTTTCTTCCAGGTACGCGTCCCAATCGGCCTGGGCGCACGCACCTTCTGGGGAACCATAATACTCCTTCACACGTAGAATGGCGTTTTGAAAAACACCTATCTGAAGAAAGGTCGCCGCTTCCGGTGTGGTTCCCGGAGGCAAGACGGCCTGTCCGCGAGAGATGACACTGTCCGCCATCCAGGCTGAGTAAGGACGCGTGTCCCCATTGCAGGACGATGGCGATGGTGCTGCTGCTCCATGCGACGCGAAGAGCAGTGGTAAGAGTACGGAAGACAATAGTGTTGATTTTAAACTAGCCATGGTAGCCAAGACACTTCAACATGGACATTCGTTCAGGATTACTTGAAGCAGTTGGACACGAAAGGTGGCATCAAGGGGCCGGGGCTGATCTTTGCCGGATTTAGAATCTTATCAGGATCACCCAGAATGTGTACATTGCCACCTTTCCACCGTGCCAATTTGACAAGAACGGTGGCGAAACCATCCCGATGATGTGGCCACAGCACATAATGGACCTCCAGCCAGCAAGGATCGGCGAGGCTACAGCGGGCTTGCTGTCCTTGCCAATTTCAGTCGCAAACCGCGCGACGAATCCTCTACCACCCAAGTCGGAGTGTATCTGTTCTACCTGGGAGGGTCCCCTATACAGGTAGATAGCCTGTGAGGTAGACAGCCATATGTAGGGGGGATAAAGAAAAGCATATATCACTTAGTGAAGTGTATAATCGAACAGAAGATATTATATGAAAGGACGGACTCATGCTTCGTTTCCCTCTATGTGTGTACATTATTCTTTTAATAACCTAGACTTCAACACGGCTACGAAAGCGACGGCATGCCGATGAATTGGTCGGTCCCTTCCAGAGGGCACATCCACTTGACACGTCCGAGTCGAAATATCTCAGCCTTCGGCTTGTTCTGGTCCAGAAACTCGATATCGTCAAAGATTCCGGCCCGAAGAATGGTGATCTCGTCTGGAACCCCCGACGGCTGGATTTTGTGCCCGTAGATCGGTGTCCCTGTCAATCCTCTTTAGTTTACATTCTCTTCAATTACGAGACTGTAAATCACGAACCGCAATCTGAGCAGAAATAGTTCTTGATCTGGTTCCCGCTGTCGGCTCTTTTGGCCACCTCTTTGGGACTGCCTGAAATCTTCAGGTCCGCCATGAGGACCACGAAACTGTAGGTGAAGAGAGTCCCAGTAAGTTTGCGACAGTCGTAACAGTGGCACAATGCCTATATAAGACATGTTAGTATTTGATCAGCCAGTTCTGGGAGAGAATGTACGTACCGATATAATGGGTTCGCCATTATATTCTACGCGGATCTTTCCGCAGAAGCAGCCGCCGACAACCATGACGAAGGAAAGTGTAGGATGATATATGTATGATATGAGGCTTTCAGACCAACAGGCTAACGAGAGGAATATGTTTAGTTTTGTCGGAAATCAGAAAACGACATTAGTCATTCCTAGTGGATCTTAGTAAGAGTATTATCAATCACGATACCAATCATACCATCAATATTCAAGCGTGTTGAGTGTTGAGATACGACAGTCCCAACGCCGCCGCGCCCGTTATCTCCACTGTGAACTTCCCCAACGCGATATTTATCGACAACTTGTCGGTAGCTTCTAATGAGATGCTAGTTGAACGGGGCTATCCCAGGTTAGAAGCAACCTTCCCCTTCCGTGGCTGTTCGTTGTTTATCAAGGAGGATATTTCTCGTTCTCTTAGTGTACTCCTTGCCAGTGCTGTAGCACACTAACCTCACCGATGAAATTCAACCAAAAGAGGGATATCGTACGGACTGACAACGTAATGCGTGAATTCCTGTCCGAATGAGTTCGTTTGAGTGAGGGAGTCATGCGGTCTTTAGCTGGCGCACCATGGCATATGGGACGTCAACGCTGTAGTCATCCGCGTGAGGATATCTCTCTGATCGGTTTCGCAGGCAATGGCTTGTTTTCACAGTTGAATGCGACGAGTCATATCTAGATATTGCACATGAAGGGAACACGGTAACTAGCATGCCCAACATATCGGTGATCCGTCGACGATAGAAATTATAGTTGCCCCGGTTGTCAGCGAATGCTTCTTCCACCCCATCCTGCGGACCATAATCATCCAAGGCTTGAGGGTCACCATGCCTACGTTTCTCGTTTGTGTGTTTGACCTAGTTAAGATGTCTAATAAAGTTCGGTACGCCATAGTAAACGAAAAGTCTTGATATCTTAGTGATATCCGTTCAGTAATCTGGATGACTTAATGGATCGCATATGCTCCATATATGAAAGACCGATCACCATCGTCGACCTAGTGGATTCACATCCTTTGAAGGCAAAGCTGAAAGAAGTGCACTTGGTAACATTGAATAGTAGCCTATACAGAAGTGGTATGAATCGAGTATATGTATTTATCCTAGGCAGCGTGCCACATTAGTGTTAGAAAGAAGCCAAGTAGTACCAGCTTTATATCACATCTACCTAAACTCAGGTATATAAGCTATAAAATAGGACAATATAGCAGGTTTCGATATATAGCTAGAATAAGATACATGAAAGAAGAAGAGCAAGTAAGGCGTCCACGCGTAGTGTACCCTCAGGAGTAGACATGGAAGACTTGAAAAAACGGTCACGTATACGATCCCATTCAGTCGCCATACTCAACGGACCCCGTAGATGATTCTATGCTCTTCAAGCATAAACTTTGGCAAAATGCCCTTCTCAACCAGCTTTGCCATAACACGTATGAACCGCTTTAAATAGTTCGCGGTAGGTACAGCTCCTCGAGGAAGTGATTCATTGCCCACAATCTGTTTTGCCACTGTTGCTTCTGGCTCAGTCAAAGGATTGAGCTGAGTCCGATACGTGTAGGCGTCGAGAGCGGATTCACCGTCCCGAGCCTTGCCGTCAATATAATATGTCCAAACTGGTCCGTTGCAATTGGCAATAACAAAAGCCCAATCATGCGTGATGAACGACCTATCTTGTTTAAACAGGTAATAGAAGTCAAGCAATGGTGGGTGTATGTCTACCCGTAGGGATAGGCTGGGGTAGTGGGCTTCGTATCTCAGGATCCATTGCATCATCCTGCGAAGATAATCAGGTGGCCGGTGTCCCACCACTAAAATATCGCACTTTTCAAGATCTTGGTCAGATATAAGCTCGGATTGTTGCGGACAGCTCTCCTTCCATCTGTCGTCGCCACTGAAAATGCATCGCGTTAAACAGTGATCTGCGAAGAAAGAGATATTCGTCAGAGCCCAGAGAGCATCCGTGGAGATGTCTTCCTCATAATATATGACCGGGGCTGGAGAGCCTCCTTCCCCTGTTTCATCTTCACTTTGAATACCTATTGTAATTGGTGGGGGCTGTCGAATGAGCATTCGCCGCCAGCTAGCATCCTCTGAACGGAGAATTGGAATACCGCGTGTCTTAGCTTGTTGTTTTCGCTCTAAGGGTGTAAGCTTGCGGCCGCAGGTGGCAAGCCATGATAACTGAGGCCAGAGAACTTCCTTCAGGAGAGGGTTTATCTGACTTCGTCGCTCATTGGAGGCAGTGGCCTCTCGCTCCTCCACAGGTAGGAAAAATAGGGCTTGCTGAAGACTCCTTGATTTGGTGATGATGTGATGCCAAACGTGGCACACTCGTTGTGCGTGGAGAAGAGTTCGCATGTCTAGGTTGATGAGGATGGGATGCAATATCTCCCATACAGAGAGGGCTTTGGTCGTCGAGTTTAGATCCATGTTATCCTGGTCGTCGTTTGACTGTTCAAAGTGGTCTGATGTTATAAGGCTGTTCGACAAGTTGCGGGGATGAAAAGAATATTGCTAATAAGTCCTTAGGCGAGAGTGAGTCATGGCTGTTGAATGAAGTCATGTTGATGACTTAGTTACGCATACGACAAGAAAAGGGAGCCCTCTATCCAAGGTGTCTAGGCTCCAACGCTGGACTCAACAATCCTCTTCCTCACAAGTATAGTCAATGTTGTGGAAAGGGCAAGCAACACAGCAATCTCTCTCGTGAAATGAAGTGGCCTTCGAGCCTAGTGATCCTCCTTGAGACGATGGTAAGTTATGAGCTGCCGACAGCCGTCATATCCTCGGGACCTGACCTTGCCAGCCATATGGCCATTGCCCACAACAGTTAGCCCAATATGTTTTCGTGTCACAGGCAGTGTTGTTGTACTCCTAAAACTAATCTTTTCCGGGGCATTCACTGCGTGGGGAGCGGACGATTGGCACACTCCATACAGGGCGCCTCCTACGACATGGACGAGTGCGGCAATGGTATTCTGGAGATGAAGCTGCCGGGGTCATAGCAAATAGTAAAGAACTCCTGACACCTGCCATCGTCACACTGTCCTGCAGGAAGAAGAGGGGGAACAGGAGGCCGAATAAGGAAGGCTAGGGTGTTGGAGAAGAAGAGGAAGACAGTGAGAAGCGGCTGGAACGTAGTATCCATCAATAGAAAGAGCAGTCATGACTTGTCCATACCCGGGAGGTCACGGGAATTGCTATCCTACTAGATTATTCCACTTTTAGACAATTATTCTTGCTTTAAAGGAACCGCGGATCCTGGTGGGGTGGAATTTAGTTACAATGTAACCTTTAAAAGATATGTAATGGGACATTACCGCTGGCGCTCTTGCACGCTGACTTGGAGACCGTTTTCATACTGAACGTCTGCCGGTGCGTTGTATCTTAGCTCTTCTTGATAAGGTATCGCTAGGAGAGGTGATGAGCAACTTGCGATATATTTAAGTGGTTTCGCTACCACAGTGTGAAAGGTAGAGGAACATAGAAAATTGCAGCAGGGGGCTGGGACTATGTTCGATTCGCGGAACCAAGCTATCTGGCGAGAAAGCTACTTGTCCAACGTCTCGGTGGAAGTTATCACGGTTGCTATGGAGCACCAGAGTATCGAAATCATGTATCTGGATCAGTTAGGCTAGTGGGGAGTGTCTCGTACGAATGATGGGGGGGCTTGCTTATTGGGAACTGTTTCCTCGGCCAAAACCTGGTCACATTGAACGGATCGAAATCTAGCTTGGTTGGATCAGCGTCTTCGGGTTCCATGATCTGAAGGTGCGACATGCAGGCTATCTCTTCACGCATCTTGATGGCTTACCATAAGTCAAGTTGGGACCAGGCCAGACCTGGGCTACCGTGACTCTGCCCGCAGTCTGCAAGAAAATGATATTTGATATAGATGAACTGCACGCTCAATCAATCGGACTATCCCAATGAGCCACCTGACGGAATGGCTTCTGGACTTATATCGGCGCCGATAGATTGATTAGGCGACATGCCGAGGAAAGTTCCCTGACGAATGAAGGTCTTCAGCAATCGGTCGTTGTCATCAGACGTTGTGCTGATGAAGTGCATCCGGCTTATCTATGAAAGTGTCCAAGTTTATTTTGGTCGGCGGACAGGTAGCTGAGAGTGGGCAATTCAAGGAATGTACATGGCACGTTGTGAACCGGTTTTCGGTGGCTAAATATCTTATTACGTCTTGAGTAGACCAGACCTCGAAAGCGTCTCACTACTGCATCATTGCCCTCTTACCAAGTTTCTACCCTGACCTGCTTCTTGAACAAGCGTTCGTTTCGGAGAATACTATTCAATCGCTCCATCTGACGTACATACAACGTAAGTGATATGACTCCATTGAGTTGCCTTATCGCTATGCATAAATAGATCATTCCAGTCTGCTTCATCTCGCCCCATCATCTACTATCAACCCACGAACTGAAACAGTACTATTTTTCAACATGACTGTTCCTTCTTACCATCAGTCGCAACGCTCGTCTACCGATATCATTTCTACCAAGTCAAGACACAGTTGTGCCCCGCAGGCTTCTCGGCGACAGCTGTCCAGGCGAAAGTCATCCACAGAAGCCTCGGCATTCCTTACACGCTTCTATAACAACGGGCTTTCACGCCGGAAGACGGCGGCGAAGAATACGCGAAATAACCCCAAAGAGCGGCTGGACGGAGGCAGCTCGGGGTTATAGGGACTCATCAGTCATATCCCTCTTACACGTCTTGACAACCATGGGATCTGAAACTGACCCGCTTTTTGCAAGACCAGGGAGGAGCTATACCGGTTTATAATAAAGTTAGTTGTAATCAAGATTGGCCTTATCGATCCGTTATGTCGAACTGACACGCTGTTAAGCACTCGGCTCTAGTCGAATCGTGATAGTAAATGAAACTTTAATGGATGTTTAGTAATGGTTTGTCGTTTAGCTAGGAATGGTGATTTTGGTAGTTCGATGTGAAATACACATTGCGAGCTCGGTATGAACTCTCAAGATACAACAACGAATGCCAACTTTGGTGTTTCCGTTGTGATTAATATTTGCAATAGCAACACCGACCCTAGTGGGGCAAATCAATGGATAACTATATCTTTCCCGGAATGAAATATCTGTAGCATAAAAGAGGACGATATGTGTGTAGAGGGTCGCGTGTTTTCCTGCGACGTCTGCGCAACCCCAGTTATAAATAAGACTGCAGGAGGTGTGCTAAACGGCAAGGAAAAGTGATGTACAACGCATGCTGAGCATAGACTTAATTTCCCTTAAGAGGCGGAAGAACGGAGAGCAATCCTTTGACATGAGCACGTCATTTCATATAAACAAGGCGTCCTGAATGGCAGAGAGAATCACCAAGCACAAACTACCGGCTTGGCGCATGCGATAATCCTGAATCCCGAATTAAAAACGGCAGACTTCAGGATCATCTCGCTTTATCTTTATACCGAGCAGCGGCTAACGGGAGAAGCCAATATGTTGGCCATGATCCGAGGATGCTAGTAGTGGCGTTGCTAACGGACGAATTTTGAAGCGAAGGATAATTTACCAGCGGTTGAGGAGGACTAGCTGCTACAGGTGGATGGTGACTGAGTACAAATAGCAAAAGGATCCGGCAATTGTATACATGATAGGTTATACTCCCTCTACCACTCTAGGTAAATCAATTACTCGTCCCCAGTAGCATATTCACCATTGGCAATTTTCTCACTCAGCGCTTCATTGGATGCAAAGTATTCGCCGAGATCCTCACGTGCCTCCAACAAGAGGTCAAGAGTCATACGGCCAAAGACGGCTTCGCCTGCAGTATTCAGGTGTGTCCGATCGTCAGAAGCAAGGTTGTATTTGATAGCGTTCTCTTCACCAATGGCGTTGACGTAGTTGGTGCTGGCGGTGTTCAAGTCCAGGTATTTGATGCCAACGGCGTCGGCAGCGGCGATAGTCGCGTCACTCCAGTCTTTAAGGTCTTGTCTAACCTCATCGCCGTCAAAGTTACGGCGTGTGAGGGAGGTGATAAAGATCTGTCCAACTTGTCAGCATATGAACACTCCAAACAGGCAGATCGGAATCGGAGCCATACGGGAGTTCCGCCGGCCTCTTTGATGTCAGTGGCGATACTCTCAAGATTCGACGTGAACTCGTCCAGGGTCAGGGTCTTTTGGTCGTTGTGACCAAACTGAACAGTAACAATCGGCTCAAATTCATCGGCATTGGACCCAATGCTTTCAATGAGATCGTCCCATCTTCCATTCGATTTCCAGGAAACGGTGGTCGTTCCGCTCACTGCCCTATTCTCCCCCTTGGCTGGGTCCTTCAGGTAGGCTAAAAGCCCATCTCCCCAGCCGCCGTTAACAGCCACGGTGGAGTCACCGATGAGAAAGAGGTAGGGAGCTTTTGATGCTCGAGCAACAGGACTTGCCTGAACCTGGCTCAACAAAGTGGCAGCGAGTCCAAGAGCGCCGAACCTCATGTTGACTATGCGTAATGTTGTCAGAAGAAGTTATAGTTGCGGAGGGTGACGATGAATACAGATGAGAGGAAGTCGATTGCTGCAGAATGGACCATTGTAAGAGGTAGGGGCTTTAAATGCCATTTATAGCCAGATCGATCGTGAGTAGACCTTCCAACATCGCTATGTCGTAAAATAGTGATATTCAAGGAGCCCTCCATGCAGCATGGAATGATGGAGTTTTCCCGCCAATCACTCCGACTCCACTCGGCCGTCGCTCGGGGCCAATTCCCCCAGCTCAAGGACGAACGGAGGTTTGTCGGGCTATAGCTGTACGAGGATAACGATCGCAGAATTGGGTGAATGGCTAACATGCGTTGGCTGGTGGTGTCGCCATTCGGGCTTGGCCTTTACGTGAGGGGAAAGAAGCTGCGGCCAAGAATCGGCTACACTAGCTTAGGGGCCGGGACCAGTGGTCGACGAAAGATCGTCGAACGCCTTTCCCCAGATATTGCTGACCCCTCATGCTAGTGGTGGCATGGTACCCTGCATCTCCGAAGGATTGTTGGCCACGTTTCCTGAGCATGCCGGCGTTACGCTAAGCACCGCCGGCGAGTTCTTCAGCCGAACGAGCTTGACTATTGGTGCATTGCTTGTAAACCAAGGTGTTTTGCAATATGCTAACGCTGCGTTGCTTGAAATAATTGGAAAAAGGCCGTATTGGCCCTCGATCTGGTGGACCCAAAAGGAGACTACTCACAACATGAGTGTGCTTGACGGTGGCCAAGTATTCCCCACGCAAGTCAGCAGTCATACATTATAAGAGGCACGGGTGAAAGGAGGGCTTGTAGGCGAATACAAGAGAGCTGCCTCGTCGTATCACTTCACGTGGCTTAGTCAGGTCGACTTCCTGTAGTCTGTATGAATTGTCAGCTGTTTTGAAGGCCATGTAATCCGTAACCGATGTGTAGAAATGCATGACATGTTTGAGAGGGGAAGATTATGTGATGGTATTCGTCATGACGCTGCCCATCCTTGCCCAAGAGTAGTATGACAGAGAGTGTGATATTTATGTCTATATAATACCTAGGTATTGTTGGAGTTCCAACCACGGTATGGTCTAAGGATACAGAAATGCTCAGGTCCCAATGAGGAAGATCGGAAAGGAAGGCTTTTCAGTCAGTAGCTGACAAACACGAGCCAGTCTTCAAACTATAACTTCGATCCGTCGCGAGACTCCTTGGGATCCTGGGCCCCAAGTTCATCATGATACAGTACTTCATGTGGTCTTCTGGATGGCGGGAGCATATGCAGCGACACCGCAGGTGGAAAGGTCTTTAACCATTCGTTGTAGATAACCTTGATTGGCAGACTTGGTATCTTCGTAGCAACATACGACTTAAGTTCGGGTGTGTCCATAGCCTCAAGCTTTTGCCGCCTGTGAGCTGCCTCGATGAGCCAGCTAACCCTCGGCCGACGTGTCTGCTGAACTGTTTCGAACATGATGGAAATGTCTCTATCTGAAACACGCGCCTCAGGGGGTGTAGAGAGTAGCAGCTTGACAAGGCCATTGGTGAAGCATGCTGCCGTTTCAAGGCAGCAGTTCGCGCCTTGCCCGGTTAGTGGATGAAACTATGAGTTCAGTGTCAGCGTTGGCTCCATTGGCTGACACTAGTCCACATATCGACCAACCTTATGGCTTGCGTCCCCGAGCGCGATCATTCTTCCAAAATGCCAATGTTTGTATACATACTCCTGTAGGGGAGTGATACCAGATCTAATTCTACGTGCGTAAATGTCCCCAAATCTGACTTCTGGCGTGATCGGATCATCCAGGTGTCTGCCGACGATTTCGTCTCTGTTTGCCTCTGTGAGCCGAGGAATCTCCCGACCAAATCGCACCCTATCCATGTGTTCAAACAGGAAGAAATAAGTACGGTCACCAGGCCCGTCAGCAATCAGGTAAGAGAATTTGTCGTTAAATACGTCCTGAAGGGTGCAAGGCTCGATGCCAGGAGTTCGGTGTGAAATCCCGAAGACACAGGAGTAGGTGGCCGAGAATGCTATGGGGCCAATTAGTCCTGATTCCAGGGTTGTGAAAGTGGGATAATAATGTAGGAAATAAACAAAGATAAAATGGGATGTCAGCTCACATTTTTCTTCCAAGTAATCTCGACCCGTATCTACATTGAGACGTGCCATCTCCTGGCGAACAGTTGAATGAATACCGTCGGCACCGACGACAATATCACCACTATACACTGATCCATCTGTCGTAATGACTTTCACACCAGTCAGATCAGAGCTGTCTATGGCCCTTACTTTCTTTTCTGTGAGAATCTTGCTTTTATCCTGAACTTTGCTGTATAGTGTTTGAAGAACCTTTTGACGGTCCATAAATGCTACCGGATACCCGTGTCTATAAATGGGAGTATTAGACGACGGCTGGCACAGACAGGGAGTAATATCTACCGTTCTATCATCCGGTCGCTTAGCTTGCTGGTCTGCCACATGCTGTCGCCATTTGGCATTCGGTAAATACTGTCTTGCACTGTGTGGCCCTTGGCATGTTCCAAAAGCTCGTCACAACAGCCCAACTGGTCAAGAATTCGCAGTCCATTAGGCTGTAAACCCAAGGATGCTCCAACCTGAGGTGCAATGTCCGGGTATGCTTCGAGTACCAGAAAATCGATATTATTTTTCTCTAGCATCAGCGCCAATGAGAGCCCGGTGATGCTGCCTCCGGCGATCAAGACTCGGAAGGGGGCCATTTTTGGTCAACGTTGGTGCCGTTCCTCTAAGTGAGCTCCATGAACAGAGCAAAATCATCTCAGGGCATGAGTGAGACGTGTCAGCCGTGGTGAGAAACCGGCCTTGCTGGTCTAATATATTAGTGCCAGCACGAGTGGCCTGAATTGTTCCCTGTAGTCCTCGTCACGTGAAGCGCCGATGCCTATTATGGCCGTAGACCATGCCTCATCAGGATAAGTGGCATGCAGGGCTGTAATGCGACATAAGCAGGGTAGGATAGATTAGGGGAGGAGAATATCACGGTTCGGAGAGGCTCAATGGACATGGGCATTAAGGGCGCTCATCTAATTATCAGCTCTACTAGGCGCGGAGACACGTGGCCTGTCGAGATGCCTGGGGAGTATTTTGAAACTCGACAATTGGTTAGAGAGACCCCAGGAATCGGGGCTCTCTAGAAGTCGTGGTCTATGATGCATGCTACAGGAATAGAACAAAGATGGTAAAAGGCTGATGGTAGTCTGACCATGGGCTTTCCCGCTTTCCCCAAGATGTTCCTTCTTCCAGCAAAGACTCAAACTCAAGGACCACTGAATCAGCGATGAATCATGGGAAAGGATGGTATACACATGGCCCAGATCAAAACCGTTGAAGACAGATTGAGCCCAACGGGGATGTGGATAGGCAATCTTCCATTGTATTCTGCGCGATATACCGCGACGATCACACATGATTGGAAAGATTCGATCGGCCTATGAAGATCAAACGACCTAAACTAAGCTCCTGATCTTATTCTCGGGCGAGTGATTCATGGTATGTATGGACCTTTGTTCAGGGGGTCGTGCGCGATGTCATAGGGTTTGGTCTAGGCCGTTGTGGCACAGGGCCAGTTGGGATCCATGGAAGCCAAACGTTTCCTCCGCGGGGGTCAATCACCGACCGATGCAGCGCCCTTTTCCTGTCGCTGAGGCCGAAGATTCTGCTCGATACCGACGGCACGGATCTTGACGTCAGGGCGCCTTGTTGCGAAGTCTCATCCACAGCCAAGCCAAAGAATGTAGCCCGAAGCATTCCATGGGGACCAAGGGAAAGCTTAAGCCTCTCTGGCAGCCATCCTCAACTGGATCGACAATAAATAATCGCTGGACCCCTGTTTGTAGTACCCGTGGACAGCCTCTAGGGCTAAGGCTTGCGCAAGTTGCACTTGGAATCCACGGAATCATCTTGACTATGCGACCTATCTACGAGCCTGAGAGTCTATCGTCTCCATTTCAGCTTCACCTGCGCATTCAACCTCAGAGCCCTGTTGACCAAAACGCCTCTCTACTGTCCTCGTGCTGCAGAGGGGTCCGACTTAACCGAAGCCTTGCGCACTCCAGAAACACCAAGCGAGCTCTCTTGAGTCGGGAAACATGATATCTTCATGCCGCCCGACCCAGACCCCGGTTTAATCCAGCCCACGACGGGGGGCGTCACCAAAGTTCAGACCTACATCCTTACCATATTCGCGACGATTGCCTGGTACAATGCCGTGGAACTCGTAATTCTATGCATGACCACGTTCAAGCGCTACAGAGGTTGCTACTTCTGGAGTTTGTTGATCGCCTCCATTGGCCTGATCCCGCTTGTCCTTGGATGGCTCTTCTTCGTTTTTTACTTCGGACTCTCTCGCTGGGTGTCCACCTCCATCATCATTCCGAGTTGGTACTGCGTCGTGGCAGGTCATTCTCTTGTCCTCTGGTCACGACTGCATCTGATCCTGCAGGCGCCCAAGGTGCTCCGTGCCATCCTCATCCTGATCATCGTGGACAGTATTCTCCTGTTTATTCCCACGACGGTTCTCCTCTATGGTGTCCTCATCGTGGATGACAACCATCGCACGTCCGCACGGTTTGCGTTCGCATTTAATAAGATGGAGCGGATTCAGCTCGTGGGCTTCTGTTTGCAAGAGCTTCTGATATCCGGCGTCTATATCGTTGAAACGGTAAAGCTACTGCGACTTCGACCGGACCCCCTTCACCGTCGGATTCTGACTCGGCTAGTCACCATTAATGTTGTGGTCATGGTCCTCGACGTGGCGGTGGTTGCCGTCCAATTCGCGGGGTACCTCGCCATTCAGATGATGTTCAAGCCCGTCGCATACAGTATCAAATTGAAGTTGGAATATGCCGTCCTGAGCCAATTGATCCAGATCTGCAAGGGCCCGTCGGACGGTGAACCGGAACATCTGTGCTCATGCTCGCAAGAGCACAACAGCACCTCGACTTGCCCAAGTGATTCTGGGAGAAATGGCGCCGCGCACCCAGACATGCGGCCGTCCAGTGTAGATACGATCTCTACGGTGATTGCGCTACCCCAGCCCGCGGCGTGTTGAACAAATTTCCCTATGTGTATTATAATTTAGGCGTATATTCTACTAACGTGAACCTGGGAGTAATGGTTTCGCAATTCATATCAAGTGCATGTAGTATCTGAATCCTAACCTCAGTCAATGCAATGGAACCCAAATCTCAACGCTCCCGATACTCCGCATTAGAAGGCAGTCAGGTTACCCCGTAATCGTGTTTCCGAGAGACGAATAGTCTTTGTCGGCTAAACGATGCATCCGACATATAATGGGCGCTTGGCGATCCAGACTAGAACGCGAGCCCCTTTTGTGAACTTGATTCGCGGGATCATACTCCTTGCGTTTTGCTCCCGGCCCACGATCATTGGCAACCAAGACAAGTAGACTCGAAGCTAGTTTGAAAGCTTATCATGGAAAGGGCAATAGTCCATCAAACCGTCCGGAGGAGCACGACATCGAGGAGTTCATCCCCTTGGCACGCCGATCTCGCTTCTCTTTCCCTCGAATGCCGATGAGTTAAGCTTAGCGCGACGTTAGATGCAGCCATGGTCTTTAATGTTTCTTTGTTTCATTTTGCAGGGAGCTCCGGTGGGTACCAGTGGTCCACCAGTCGAAAACTCTACCTGCACCAGCACCCTCTAGGATTATTGGTCTCTTTTCTAAGTATCTCCACCGTCAAGGGGTTTTGCAGAAGTCGAACCGGTCTTGTTCCCGGATTGGCTGCTTCGTGTTCTGAGGGTTCAGCCGGTATACAGCACGATGTGGCATTGCCGATCTCTATTCTTATCCCTGGCCCTGATCTAACCGAAACGATGACCCACACAACAACGCAGGAGAGATGTTGACCGGTTGCTGCGCCAGCTTCCTCTGGCCTTTTGTTTCCCTGTATTAGCGTTTATGAAAAGCTAAAGTGTCCGCTCGAGGTCTCCAGACATGAAGAGATAAGAGCGGGGCCAGTGATATCCAAACGGTCTCTAGGCTAGAATACCACAGAGCGTGGCAGCTATGTGAAAGCCACAGTACGGCGTTGCTGTCAAAGTGACCAATCTGCTTATCGTTCGCGGTAGTTGCCGTCATCACCGAAGTTGCCTTTTGCCTGAACCGAGATTTACACAAAGAACCTGAAAAGTATAGCTATCACCTGGACGAGAGAGTTGATCCCTGGAAAGCTGCCACTCGACCCACCGGACCCACCCGTGCGATGCCACCCACCAGAGGGACGACAGCTTCAATTAGCCAACTGAGACCACTCCCAAGCCTGGACAGAAGCACGGAACGACGGTGGTAATGGATATACTCTGAGATTGAAAGAGTGTCGAGGTTGACGCACCCCAGAATAATAGTTCTAGCTAGAGGTAGCCCCCAGTAGGGGAATGCCATCCATCACTGGACACATGTCCCGACCCGAGCTTAACCATCATATCACCTGAGATCAACCCATGGGGCAATGAGCATCTCTGCAGAACGGTGCATGCCTTCGTTCGCCACTCCACTTCACCCGAGATCGGCATCGCGGTGAATATGGTTGCGGGGGATGGTAACGCAAAGGGATCGGAATGTGGACCACCGTACCGAAGGGCAAGGATATGAACCGTGGCTCTCGATTCCGGATGGAGGATCCGATGGCCATTCCAGCCCGCGATATAGATCGTGATCCTGGTGCCTCGTTGGCAACGCTACAACACTGGAACAACGATATTCGTGGTACAAGGTCCCTCAACATGAGTAGGTGGTCGCGTCTGGTCCAGGAATTCACGTCCTAACCCTTACCAGCGTTAACCCCCGTACACTTCTTTTCCCATGGCTCGACCATGATGTTGGGCGAAGAGTCTACCTCGGCGGACTATTGGAAACAATGTGGTGACGAGGCCCTCCGCAACGGCATCAAAGGAGTTATTATGATGGTGAGTCGGCGGCGGCAGACCGGTCATTCGGGGCCTGAAATCATTCGATCGCTGACCTTTGACAGGGAGCCCATTGGGATTGTTTTGGCGATCAAATCCAGGTCTCAACCAACCCTAACCCCGGCAAGAGCCCCGTCGCGTACGTTCATCCATCGAAGTACGTTGACTACAAGCTCAACCCCGATTTGAAGACCGCGAAACGCTGCATTGACCTGCTGGACGAGGCCGGGTACAATGTCAGCGGTAACGACACTTTCGACTGGATCCATGATACGTATCTTATCTTGATCCGTATGTTCCCCGACGGATGCCCGCCATCGACCATCGTCTCCATGAATGCCCGATATGACCCCCATTTCCACATGAAGGTGGGCTCAACCCTGCGTCAACTGCGCAAGGAGAACTATCTCATCATTGGAACCGGCGGCGCGGTTCATAATTTGTACCGCAATCGCTGGGCCCCGATGCTGCGCTTCCGCGATAACTTCGCGCAGGATTCGCCCCCGGAGCACTGGGCACTGGAGTTCCGACAAGCGGTCGAGGATGTCTTCACGAAGACCTCCGGGCCGCAATTAAGACGCGCAATGACGCGGCTGATGAAACATCCAGAGTACCGCGATGCGCATGCTACCGATGATCACTTTATGGCTGCCATGTTCGTTGCGGGCGCCGCTGGCGATTTCGAGGATGAGGGAACGCCTGCGATTCTGGCGACCGAAACGTGGGAACTCACGAATATGTGTAATTCTCAGTTTACGATTGGTTCTTGGCCAGCGGTGGTCGCATAAATGTTATTTTCTCTTCTGTATATTGTCATGACTTGAGTTGGTTTACTTTTACAATAGCTTCTTTGATTGAAATGGTTCACAAGCACATCGTGCCCTAAGTTGGTGTTTGCATAGTAGAACCCCTTTACCACCGTCAGCGGATATACCAAAGCCATCCTATATAACAGAGCCTTTTGCATACAAGTGGCTATCGTGTAGGTTTGGGCGATGGATATTGTACTTATATCTATTACGAGGACGTTATCTTGAGTACGCTTTCCATTCAATAGCGTTCATATACAAATACACAAATCGACATCCCGGGACCAACAATATATAACTTTGGCTACATTAACGGTATATCGATAAGCATACAACGATATCATATCTACCTCATTCTTAAAGCCCAGTATCCCGCAGCAGATACAATTGTGATCAGCGAGGTCAGAGTGATCAGCCCTCCTGTAATGATACCCTGTTCAAAATAGCCAATTTTGTGCCCGGGTCGCTGTTGGATGTCTGGGAGAGGAGAGAAGATCTCTTGCAGGGTGCGATCTGACTGAACCGACTTTCCTTCTAGGAGAGCCTTGGCGATTGCCGTGTTGGTGGTCCGGTTCACGACTTGAGGCCGGGAAACCTGGAAGTGCTCTGTTGTATACCGTGTCGGGAGATTCACACGATCGCTGAGAGGGACGACGACGGGTCCAACTTGGGAAGAAGATATATAGTCAGTGTCTGTGGGAGAATATGCCAGTAGAGCAATCCGACAGGTGTGAATTTGAACTTACCAAGTACGTCGTACGGAACGTGGCTGATCCATGCTGTATGCGCGTCGATTGACTCTGACACGTATTTGGCTGCGGCTGGAGCTGCAAAGGTGTACGTGGCAGCATGAGTACCGGAACTAAAAGTGTCATGTTGTTAGTTGTGATACTGAAGATGGTATCGCGGGTAATCCAAACGACGTACGCGTTACAGATATTGATCGCATCATCCAAACTGGACACAGGGTGCAATAATAGCCACTTCTCACTGAGTTTGGCGCGCATCAAGGGGGAATCACTACGCCGTGTTAGACGAAAGCTCCATGGGACGATGACCCCGTCGCTCGGAGCTGACCGGCTTACCGATCTTGTAGCAGCGCAACGCCCCAGCCAGTACCAGATACGATGACCTTAGCCCCCTCCTCGGAGCCTATCTGGTCCAATAGTGAGGACTTCCTGGGGCGCTTAGCAAGCGAGTTCGCGCCACGGTTGTCGCCCCCAAGATGTTTGGCAGCGTGCTTGATCACCAACTCCACGAAGGGTTGCATGCAGAACTGGTTGACGAACACTACATCTGGAGCGTACGGAGAGCGACCGTCAAATGCAAACCGCGCCTGGACCAAGTCAACTGCTGCTTCCTGAAGATTTGCCGTTCGGTCGACTACGGCCACTGTGCGCAAAGCGTTTGGCGACCCGAGGGTTGGATAGGTTGCAGGACATTCAGACTGCTGATCCAAAACAAGAGTAGTACTGAGAAAGGCCGCGTCGGGGCGGCTCTCGCTGATAGTAAAGGTATCACTATCTAGTGCTCCGGCGAGGACTGAGCGGAGCAGCGCAGTAATTCTTGAGGTCGTTTTGGGAAGCTGTGTCCATTATTAGCGCACACACACGGGTCACTTGAAAAGTACAACGACAATATATAGTGGGACCTTAGATACCTCCAAAATGATACAGTTTCCCGCCGCAAGGGCTGCACTTAGTGCGGCGATGACTGAGTAAAAAATCGTGTGTGCGCTGGGTATAATATAGACAATGCCGGCGCCTGTCTTCCTGTCCAGATTGTCTTCTCCGCGTGCCACGCGGTACTCTACCTGCACACTCTTCTCGAGACTTAAAGAAGAGTAATGAGAGCGAATTTCCTTCAACGCCAGACAGACTTCCGTCTGCACCTCTTCTACGCTATGGCCCGAGTCCTGCGAGATAGCCTCTCTCAACTCCGTCAAGTGCGTGAGGATGCTCGCCTGGAGACGGTGGAATTGTCTCTGACGGTATCGAACATTATCAGTACGTCCATCGATATTTCCAGCTATAACAGCGGAAAATTGTGGGGCGTGCGATTGGGAATTGGATGCAGACGCCATAGTGGTGTTGTCTAGTTACGCACAAGGAGCGATGAAACTGTGAAATTGCGCTCCGTTGACTCCGCGGTAGTAATTCACAGGTCAATAAAAGAAGCACCTAATATTACCGTCTGCGTATAGTAAGCAGATCAGCATAGCTATACCCCAGGTTCGCTGTGGATAACCTCTGGTCGTCCACTTCGGCCCAGTCGTTCGGCCCGAACGTTTCGGGACCACATCACAGCCATAATATGAGCTGAGGCAATATGATATGATTCGGACGCTAGCAGCATACCACATGATCCATCATGTTTCGGCACCTCCCTTACAGCTATCGGACTGCGCCCGCGGTGGGTAGAATCGGGGTTACCCCAGATTATCCTTACATCCCTCCTCTAGCTCTCGCCCTTCATTGAGCTGTTCCGCCCGAAAGCAGTGGTCATATACTCGACAAACATAGACGGCCACCTTCATACCAAGCTCCAAGCGGGCTATTCACAATCATGTCTGCTACTACAACTGAACCCCCGATTACAAGAACAACGGTATCCGTTCTTACGGACTACGAATTGCACCACAGCGAGCCGCAAGTGCCCTCCGCGCCTAGCCAAACACCCATCCAACGCCCAGCCCAACAACCTGCAAATTGGCCCGTGGATCATCTTCGAGTACCTGCCTATCGACCTATTAATCGCAATCTCGATTGGAACCAGCGTTCGGCGGGCAGTCACCCGGCTGAGGTGGCTTTCGTTCAGATCATGTTGCACGGTGTGTGGATTAATGCGGTACGTAGACATACCAAAATCGCTGGGGTGGGTCAGAGGAACAAATACTAATGAAGCATTGTTGGAGAAATAGGCTGTGTCAAGGCTCTGGCATAACACATTGGGGCGTGTGAATGATAGGATCTTTAGGTATGAGGTTGGGGGTGAGTGGTAGATTGGACTATCGACTGAACTCATGTCTACACAATTGAAGATTCAGAATATCGGATACAACTTTTCCCCGTATCGTAAAGCTATTCTTAAGTGAATGAGACTATTTTTTAACTTCATTATACATCCAAGGACCAAGGTATAGTTCATTTGCTAAACATACACAACCAAGGTCTTGCGCCCCGTTGACCTATACCTTAAGAGAATTTTTATTTCCGCATGCCATGAGTCTTCTTGGAAGCAGGAGAATGAGGATTGGTAGGGTGAAACTTCAGTATATCGACCAATTGCTTTGCCATCGTCATTAACTGTACGCCCGCTGGCCAGCCACTTGAATTCTACATTTCGCGTCTGAACTCGGCGGTTTAGTCGCTTGGGAGTTGCAAATGGTACCTTGTAAACTTTCTCTAACCGCAACTAGCGGCGTATATCACTCACCCACTATGCTTCCACCCAATGTGACCAGACCTTGTCTAGTTGCGTGAGGATAGTTGACGGCAACGACCTATACCGGTTACACTACAGACACCAGGCTTTCTTCCTTGCGCAGCGACGACAGCTACTATATGTCTGTGAAGATGATAGAAGAGAGTAATTCATGACTGATTGAATTCTCGGAATTGTCGGACCAGAGCATAGTGAAATGGTCCTACATGTCTACCTGTCTAATATATCGTCTAGTTTACAGTTCACAGCTCAAGCCTCCGAGCAGATGACACGTCTGGTACTCCCTCTCCTTCAACAACCTTAGCCTCTATAACCTTGTACACTGGAACTTCAGCCAGGCGAGAGATGATATGATGTAGAGTCGGGAGCTGGTTCCAGTCCAGTCCATCGATCTCTAGGGTAGCGTCTGTGGCGCGCAGCTCGCGTGTGATCTTCGAGGGTACAACCGTCAAGTCTTCAGCGGAGTTGACCACAACAGGATACTCCGTCTCGGGGATTCCCTTGCGGTCCTTGCCGACGCAAGGCATGTAGCGGTGTAGCAGAAGATTTGGTGGTGTCTGTGTCGATCCATTAGTCTGCTGTTGATGTTCTGACTTGTCCTCAAGCCCTGTCAAATTCAACCGGCCCCACACGCCGCCCCGCCAGCTAGTAGTAACATGGTACGAATGACGGCGCCTGTTCACATCGATGGCACTGAAGACCTTTGGAAATCCGAGCTCCTCGCGCCCAGAGAGGATAGGATCCGCTAGATCTTCAAATAAGACTGGAAGGTAAGATCCTTCGGTGATTTGGCCATCTGCGCTCTTGTATTGGACACCATGGATATATAGTCCGAAGTGGTTGTACCCTCCACCCGCGAGCCAATCTAGACCATCTAGAGTAGTCTGAGAGAAGGTCGCGTATGCTACACTTCCCATACCAGTAAAGCTGTAAGACGAATTTGGTAGCAGGTTCTTCAGCAAAGTACGACTCGTCTTAAATCGGACGGATGCGGTGCAAAACCTCGCCTTGCTCGAGGCAGCCGCTCGGCTTCTGCCCCAGAAGTCCTGACGCGGCCCTGGCATAGGGCCAAAGACACTAGGTTGGCGGTAGTAAACTTGTTTGTTTTGAGCCCAAAGATGCTGGCGCAAGATTTCACTGGAATGATCCCATTCATCATGATCGTATATGTATGACGTGATGATGGCAGCTACAAAGAGGTCGGTTAGCGTTCTGTTCTGGCAGGCAGACAGTGCCTACATACCTTCCTTTCCACCTATGTGCCTCCTTCCTGATTCTCGTGTGTACTCCTGTATCTGTAACACACGCTCTTGGCGAGCCTTTTCGTACAGGCCCAACCGTGTGGGGACATCTTCCCTTGTCACATCTCCAGGGAGCATAACGGCCAACGACAACCCGTCCTCAATGGCCATGGCGCCTCCAGAGGCCCGATAAGGCAGGAAGGGGTGCGCTGCATCCCCCATGAGTGCTAGTCGCCCATTAACCCATTGGGGAAGCGTTTCCATGTCCAGCAGTGGCCATATCTTCAGCGTTTCCGGATCGGCCTTGTCCAACATTTTCAGGACCCCAGTCTCAAAGTCTTTGAAGGTGTCCAGTAGCGTGTCCTTGCCAACGCCTTGGTTCCAGCCCTGGGAGACATACTCGTTGGTGAGAGTGTCTGGATGAATGCAGACAAAATTCAATATCTCGTTGTTCACGCACGGGTAAATGACCACCTTACGGTCGGCACTATGCCACATATGAACCGTTCCATTTGTTTGCACCATGTGAGCTGTCTCAGGGTCGTCTAATACCTCTTTGCGAGGGACCATGAACCGGAATGCGTTGCGACCCGAGCTAAATGCCTTAACATCTTTTTCTGAGACATGCCTGCGCGCCACAGAGTGAACACCGTCGGCTCCCAGCACTAAGTCTCCCTCGACGCGTTTGCCGTCTTCCAGGGTTATGGCTGCGTTATGAGGATCCACGTCTGCCACTTTGGCGGAGGTGTGGAGAACAATAGGCGTTCCCTGGCCAGCGCCTGTGCTTTGTCTTTCAGAGCCTCGTGAAGATGTGCGCGGTGAATCAGAACCCATTCCTGAACGAGCAAGGTTAGCTGGTGTCTCATGATAGTAAGCCCAGTTGGATGCAAGTATATCTTACATGTTGCCAGCTATCGGCGATCAGACTCGTGTCTAAAGTGTACTGGAGCTCTCCATCGGAGGTATAATCCCGAAGCTAGAGGCACAAAGTCAACAGTCAGTCTATCACTCCTCTCGTCCATGGCTCCATGTTGAATCGACGTACTTGCTCCGTCCGCACCGCGCCGTACTTTCGTGCATCAACCCCAATTCGCTTCAGGAGCCCATTTGCATTCGGGGTTAAGTGAATTGCCGCTCCGACTTCGTTTGCAAATCGTGACCTTTCAAACACCTATGCTATTATATCAGTCTCGGTGCCAACTGGTCGGGTTCAAACTAGGTTCTCACTTCTACTACATGCCCCTGTTGCCGGAGTGCAATGGCTGCAGCTAGTCCTCCAATCCCAGCTCCAACAATGAGGACTTTCAAGCCCTTCTGTTCAGAAGGCATGTCGACCGGTTTCGAAACAATGTGCCAAATAGCGGCTACGGAATAACTGCAGCAAAGATAACTGGACAAAGGAGATCAGTAGGCAAGGAGAGAAAGCCATGGCAGGCATGCATCTGCAATATGTATATACTGGCGCGACTTTCCTCCCGGTCTAAGCGCTGTGGGTCTCGGCTATTACATTGATCGACATATTGCTGTCGCTATAATTGCTGTGCCTCTGGCCTCGGCTCCAATTCTTCGGCTCCACATGCGGTCGGGACCATGGTCCCGGCCGCATGAACATCGCCAGAGGCATTATTTAGAGCAGGCAAGTTGTGCAAGAGGCGCGCATACTAATACCGGTACAGCAGCAGGATCTCCAATTTCAATTCTTCCATTGTAACTTTCCGGTGTATTACTCGTCCCAAGATGCCGAACCCCATCAAGGACATTACCCGCGTGGACACGACCTCGTTTCCCTACATTTACGAAGAGAATGTTACGATTCCTTTGAAGGACAACGCCGGATTGATTCGGTGCAATGTCTACCGGCCCAAGGATGCCCAACCCTCTCCAGTTTTGGTTACCTACGGGCCATATGGGAAGGATATCCACTACAAAGAGTATGGCCTCTCTGTTTTTTACTTAGAAAGCTCCATCACTAACTATACCCAGCTTCCACGCCAAGTCTTACAGCGAAGTAAATCCCGAGCATCACTCCGACCATTCGGCATGGGAGACTCCGGATCCTGGATTCTGGACCAAGCATGGCTATGCTGTTGTTCGCGCCGACGAGCGTGGCCTAGGTCAGTCGCCCGGCGTCTTGGACACCATGTCGCGGGGCACTAGCGAAGCCTTTGTGGATGTAGTGGAATGGGCCGCTGAGCAGTCCTGGTCCAGCGGTAAGGTTGGTCTGCTAGGTATCAGCTACTACGCCGGCAGCCAGTGGCGTGTCGCTGCCCGTCAGCCCAAAGGCCTGTCGTGTATCATTCCCTGGGAAGGGATGTCTGACTATTACCGCGACCGATGCCGTCATGGAGCATTCTGTCCAACTCCTTTATCAAGTTCTGGTGGAATCGCCAGGTAATAACGAATCAATATGGCCGACCTGGGCGCGCTGCCCGCAACTGGGGTCCCGATACGATTGAGGGTGACCTGTCAGAGGACGAACTATTGGCGAATCGCAACGACCAGACGGTCGATAACGCCACTCACAGGTTCCGCGATGAACCGTACTACGCCTCCAAAGAGTATAACATGGAGGATATCAAGGTCCCACTGCTCTCTGTTGCGAACTGGGGCGGTATTCTGCTGCACCTCCGTGGCAACGTGATCGGCTATATGAATGCAGGTTCAGAGCACAAATATCTAAGATTTATAACTGGCCGCCATGACCTGCCATTCTACTATCATGAAGAGGTCGAGCTGCAAAGAAGCTTTCTGGATGCGTTCCTCAAGGGGGAGGATCGCGAAGGATGGAGCACTGGCCAGGCACCCAAGGTGGACGTCTTGCTCCGGAAGGGAAATGTTGGCTTTGATAACGCTGAGGCTGAACGAGCCTATACTCGGCGTACTGAGAACGAATGGCCCATCGCTCGCACGCAATACACGAAGTTCTTCCTCACCCCAGATCTTCAGCTGCAGACGCAATTACCACAGTCGAAATTGCTGAAGGTTGATTACCGCGCGTTAGGGACTTTGGAAAATCCTCAGCTTGTGCAATTTAGCACCCCTGCTTTTACACAAGAAACTGAGATCACCGGCCACGTTGTCGCTCATTTAAACGTGTCCGTCACCCCTGACAAGGGAGGTCCGCTTCCCTCCGATATCGATCTTTTCGTGACGCTGCGCTATATCTCCCCTACTGGTGAAGAGGTATACTACACCGGTACTGCCGGAGACCCCGTACCGCTCGCCAAAGGTTGGCTGCGCGCAAGTATGCGCAAGGTGAACGAGAAGAACCTTCGCCACCGGGAGTATTTGCCGCATCGCGATTACTTCTCGACGGATGTCTTGCCTGTGATGCCTGGTGAGGTCTATCCGGTAGATGTAGAGATCTGGCCGACCAACGTAGTAGTCGAAAAAGGTGGTAAGATCGTCCTGGAGGTGTCGTCAGGCGATACACAGGGGTCTGGAATCTTCCAGCACAATGACCCCAGCGATCGGTATGTCCTTTCTTCCCTCTACTGTCCTGCCTTACCCGATCTCGTTGCTAATGAGGTGCAGCTCCCCCGAGAAACTGCAAGGAACCAACCACATACATTTCGGGCCGGCGTACGAGAACTATGTGACTCTTCCTGTGATTCCAGGCGAATAAAGGCGGCTTCGGATATGTGCTCGGAGTTAAACAATGCCCTCTGTTATGTAAAGATAGACTATATGAATGATAAGACAATTCCCCGGCGTGTTCCCATGGCCTCCGAGGGCAACGACGGTGGACCCGAACAGCAGCCCGAAGGTAGATCCACCACCAGCATCTCTTGAGTGGGACCTTTAGTATATAGATACCATTAGACCTCCAAGCCATTACTCTTTTCAAGTCCCAAGTTAATCACAATCACACACATTCTCCTTTCCCTACATCGCTATCCTACACAATGTCTCAACATAATAAAGATATCCGTCCCCTCCAACGCTTCGTCACAACTCATGACGACAATGGCCAAGCCATCTTTTCCAACCGTCTATCTGAAGATATGCCCGTCCAGGACGTTGACCAGGTTACCTTCAGTCTTGCCTACACTTCAGACCAATTCCCGTCTCAGCTGTCGGGCGACGCAGATATTGCCAACTATGAACGCCGTCTCGCCTCCCCACCGGGATTGAGCATCTCCACAGGCACTGTTTGCCGGATTGTGGACATGCCACCCAACTCAATAAGTCCCATGCATCGGACTGTGTCGCTAGACTATGGTGTTGTCCTGGAAGGGGAGGTTGAGCTATTACTCGACAGTGGTGAAAAACGACTGCTAAAGAGGGGGGACGTTGCCGTACAACGGGCTACGAACCATGCCTGGCGCAACGTTACCCCTAACCAGGGCTGGTCTCGCATGTTGTACGTGTTGACTCCCAGTCTTCCAGTGGAGGTGAAAAATCAGGGTGTTCTCGGGGAGGACTTGAATGGCATGGGGGTGAAAGCTAGTGAATAGTGCCCCCCCTTCAGCACATGTATACTTGATTTGGAGTATTTACCGCGACATAGACATAATGCACACCATGATTATGCACCAGACTTTAGTTATGCATGTTCATATTAGTTTCCCCATAGCCGAGGCAGTTGGAACTGGTAGGGTTTCGACTCCGCACGTCGGCAGTCCACATTGCCGATCCCTGAACCCGTGACATCATCTCCCCCAAACAAATGTTGGGGCCGACAACCCCAGACTATAGCGTCTTGTTGCGATATATCGCAATGTCCACAGATATGAACAGTCCGTCAGCGAGGCAAGAGAAGTCCCGGACGGGCTTCTACCAGTGCGGCGTTTGCAGAAAGAATTATGCACGGCCTGATCATCTCATTCGCCATGTCCGATCGCGTGAGTTTATGGGACCCTGAGCGCGGAGTCAATGAGGGTGTGGCAGAAATGCTCATGACAATTGCTCCTTCCAGATACCTCGGACAAGCCGTTCGTCTGTGACAAGTGTGGAAAAGGCTTTGGCAGAATGTGTGTGAACAGTTGGCCAGCAAGTCGCGCGTTTATCCGGCTAATTCCTTGATAGCGATCTCCTACGTCGACATGCCCGAGGACATTTCGCGGGTCAACGAGACTCCAGACTCTCCACCGCCTCGGCCATGCGAGGGCGCGTGTCGCGGGCCTGCAAGAACTGTGCTCTGTCCAAGCTGAAGTGTGACGACCAAAAGCCCTGTCGTCGATGTGTCAAGCGGAACCTCGAGTGCCATTGGCCTCAGGATGAGAGAACACCAGATGCTGTAGACCCACAAGGTAAGCAAGTCTTCTTTATCTCCGGCGAAGATTAAAGCCACAAGGGAGACTGGTAGTAGTCATGGCTGTAACGCTGCCCGTAACTTGAATCGAAGAAAGGGTTGCTCACCTTGCAATGGCAGAACCAGAACGATCCGTGGCGGAGTCTCCCGACTCAGGCGAGCAGATTGACGATACCGGGATCCCTCATGCACAAGATGAACCACCTCCACAGGATTTCTCAGAGGGGCTTATGGATGATTTTTACACGGCCGCGGAGGAAGTGATTGACCAGGCGTTCTTGGAGCATAACAGGTTACCGCTAATGGTGATAATAGCACAAGTATCTATCGCGGGTGATCCTGTGCTTACATATGATAACAGTCCCCAAATGAATACGATTTTTTTGGTGGGAATATCAGCCCCGAGCTGGGCTTGACCGAGGCGGACCTGGAGTTCCTGGCATCCCTCAATAATCACGACCTGGTCCATGACCGACCAAACACCACGACACAATATTCAACACAGCGCAGTGTCCCCGAAGCTTTGGGGCTGATGGACAAGGAGGCGTATCACAATTCCCCTCTGTCCAATTGGACCCCTCGCAGCGAAGACAACGCCTATATGGATCAACAGTACCTGTCGGTACCGAAACATCTTGACCGGTCCATCTCGTCCGGTGCTGCCGAGGTGCGAGTGTTTTCGGAGTGCCTATCGAAGGAAAGTCGCGATAAGGCGTTTTCTATTTTCGTTCAAGTCTGCCAGCGACGCGACTTTGGTCGAATGATGCACTATTTTCCAAGTGCGGAGCTCCTAGATAGTCTGATCCAAGACTACTTTCTCCATCAGAGATCTGAGATAGACTCATGGATCCACGAATCCACTATTGATCTGAATCAGGAAAGTCCGGAGATGATTATAGCCCTGGCGGCTGCTGGAGCCGTGCTGTCTCCAGTGAACGCCATTCAACGTCTAGGATATGCCCTGTTAGAGATAGCCCGTCTTGAACTAAGTAGCAAGGTAGGTTGGCCCTCAGCATGCCATAGATAGGGAAACCAGGCTGACCTCGTCAGTACGAAAATGACAATACGAACACACGCCATTTGCGTCAGCAACAGGCATACACACTCACCTTACAGATTGGACTCTGGAGTGGCGACAAACGACGTGTTGAAATCGCGGAAAGCTTTGCACAACCCATTGTGACGGTGCGCGTTAGACATTTCCTTGTCTCCCTCATCGCGCTCAACTTCCTCCCTAGTGCAGAGTGCTAACAACCAAGTAGATGTTGCGCCGAGCATCCCACCTCCGAAGCGAAGGATACCCCATCATTACACCTTCGGTGGTGGATGACGAAGAAACGCTGAATCAGAAATGGCATCACTGGGTCGAGTCGGAATCCTACAAACGGTAAGCAACGAGCGGCGCGGGTCCCCCATGGACGCTTTGCCATTGATTTCCCATAGCAATGGATGCTTATGCCGACGCCTCCATAGAGTCGTTTACCATCTCTTTATCCATGACGTGCAATCGTCCTTCCGGCTGTCCACGCACGCATTACTCTCATACGGTGACCTAGAGCTACCTTTCCCATGCTCTCGCAGACTGTGGAATGCAAAGACAGCGTCCGAATGGGGTTATGTTTACCTGCAGGAGTTTCCTCAAGTCCCGGATGCCTTCCCATCCCTTGCAGGTGTCTTGCGAGACCCATCGACGCTCGGTCTGCTACCCCGCCAGATCGACTTCCCTTTAGCAGCCTTTATCTCCGTACATGGTATGTCACTTATGGTAGCCGACTGCAATCGTACGCGCCATAGCCTACACCGTCCATGGACCGGTCTACTCTTCCAGTCGTGGCAGCGCGAATTGGAGCAAGAGCTCGATCAGTTCAATATCGCGATCGTCGAGCCACTGCATGAATCTGTCCCTGCCGTATCCCTCATTCATCAAGCCGCATGCCTCTCTTTGTACCTACCGCTCGGTACACTTGAGCGATATGCTGGCAAGGAAGGTGAGAAGCGGTCTGCCGATGTGTACGAGGTCTTCATCCAACACATCAATCCGAGTCATCTACGGCAGGCTGCGTGGCATGCCGGGCAGATTTTACGCATCGCTAGATGTATCGCTCCGGGTCTGCTGACTGGGTTCTGCGCCACGTGTTTATACTTCGCCGCGCTTGCTCTTTGGACATACAGCACGGTGACGGCGCCGGAAGGATCTTCAGGTCGCGAGCTCAGGACGGACGTGGCGCTTCAACACGGTGCTTTTTTCTTAGACGGAGAAAGCAGTCCCAGTGGCGCACTGCGTCGTTTTGTTATTTCCGGCCAAGGAATCCCTGCCCTGTCGTCTGGGAGTGGACCTGCTTACCTCGACAATCAAGCGGCCGTGATGCGCTTATTCCAGCAGGTATTACGGTCGAAATATCCCAGTCAAAGTATCCCTCAACAGGCCCAGACTCTGTATCATGCCTTTTCTGCTCTCGGAAGCATCCGGAGAGTAAAGGAACACGAAATCCCGAGCAAGAAGCTCCCTCCAGATTAGTAGTCATCGGCGCGTCTGTTCTCGCATATGCTTTTGCCCACATTCCTGTGTGTTTGCTTCCTGACACGCTTCTCTCCGGTGAAGAAATCTGTACTAGCGATCTCCTTTTACTTGTATTCGGGCCGGGCACATAAATGGCGTTGAGTGGGATTTAAGATGCATGGTCACCGACCGATCTTTTTGCTTTCTGACCAGCGAATTACAACCACATATAGCTCAGGGACATATATATCCATCCATTAATGCTATCCAGACGACATGTATTATCTCAGTGAACACGACGATGGCCCATCAAATAGCGTATCAAATTATTAAACACTGTGCATCCCGGTGTGCTCATGAACGAAGGACCATCCGCTATTTTTAGCCCACGGCAAATATCCCAATTCAAAGTTGCTTGTAGCCACCAGGGCAATCATTCCATCACGGAAGACGAAAACACGATTCCCTAGGAAGATGCCGACTCGGAAGCTTTCCGCTCTTGTTCCAACCGCAATTTGTAGCGTTTATATTGTTGTTCCAGTAACATCAACTGCATCTGATAGGATTGCAGGGTGTGTCCCAGCTCTTGTTCAGCAGGATCCTCGGAACGCACCAACTTTTCCGTATCTTCGAGACTCGGAGGGGTGTAAGACGTTCCTGCCGAGCGTGCTTCTGCGCTCTGATCCTCTGGAACCGTGACGGGGTTGTGGGTCTCGGAGCTTCGTTCGTCAATCTCAGGGTCGGACGCGTCCCGTGGTGGGTAGAGTTCGTTGGGGCGTGGGGTCATGGCTTTCTTGGCGCCGCGTATCAGGATGTTCCGGGCAGGATCACACTGGAGAAGTCTAAAAGCAAGGCGGAGATAGTGATTGGGAGGCATCGAAACAGCCTTTGGATCAGAGGGCTTGGGCAGTTCATGCCCCTTTCAATGGAGGGGAAAGTAACATGGGCCGTGCGACTCATGTGATGTGGCCTGCATTAGGGCCAGCTGAGCCTGCCCTACCCTATGTATCTCGACCGACAAGACACACCATTTCTGGTCCATTAGTTCGTAGTAAACATGGCAGAACATAGTCTCAATCCTCTTTGGAGCCATATCCAACCATAATTCCCGGTACTCTTTGGTTGACTCTGGTAGACGAATGTTTCCCGGACGACAGGCAGCGATCGGAACTCATCCAAGTAGTCATGTATTTATGTAGACTTCTACTCTCGTACTAATGAGACAATATAAGCCATTTCATTCATCTGTACGAGATACGTAGAATTATGTCGATGAGTTCGGTTTACAATCAGTATTGGATTTTGCATTTGTAAAACGAATGTTCATGCGGGGGAAAGCATACAGATATATATTCTTCCATGAATACGCTCCAAGACGAGAAGATGGAAAACAAAGAACAAAAAGCCAAGCGCAACGAGGGATGGGGATTCTATATGTGCCTAGTATTTCTCCTACCTCCTTTGAACCGTATGTTTTGTTCTTTTTTCTACCGTGCTTTCCTTGTCACCGTCGCAATAGACAAATGGTTGTTGAGTCCGTCGAACTCGTTTGGTCCGGCCCGGATCCGAACCCTTCGGATCCGGACAACAACTCCGAGGCCGCATCAACATGTCTATCTTACCTATTATACTATTAAAGAAGCCATAAAAGACCAATGCTGCTGCACTGATAAAGATAACTACCATACCATAGTACTACCACAGCCTCACGACCAAAATGCATGTTCTAATCATCGGTGGTAGCGGCCGGACCGGCCAGCTGACGATTGTAGAGCTTCTTCGTCGAGGTATGTAGTGGTTACTCTTCTGCTATGATTGATCATAACTGATATTCGTAATGCAGGACACCAAGTGACAGCATTGGTGCGAAACCCCTCTGCAATGAAACAGCAACTTGGCCTGAAACTTGTGCAAGGTAAGTTCGGTCAGTGGTCAACCATTGGCATATTGTCTCGTGGAAGCTAAGTCATACGCAGGGACTCCGACCAGCAGAGATGATGTGTGGGCTGCATTCCACATCGATGTTCCGGACGTGGTTATTGTAACCCTCAATTCTCCTCGAGCTTCCGACAGCCCATTTGCTGCCCCGATTTCACCGCCGCGTCTCATGGCTGACTGCAATAATAATGTCATTTCGGCCATGAAAGAATTTGGGGTCAAGAAGGTCGTCATTCTACAAGCATTCGGTGTGGGGGATTCCTGGAAGAACATGAATTGCGCCTTGCAACTGTTGATGAAGAAGTCCAATATGATCTACCAGTACGAGGACCATAACCACACGGATCGCGAAGTACGAGCAAGTGGTATCGACTTTGTCCTCGTCCGTCCGTCACGACTGGTGGATACCGACGTCCGGGAGGTAAAGTTCTGGCCACAAGATGGCAAAGGGGTTCCACTGATGGCTAGCACCAGTCGTGTAAGCGTCGCCGGTTGGCTAGTGGATGCCGCGGAAAGGACTGACTGGGATAATACTGCCCCAGTGATTACGAATTAGCGAGCGACCGGGTGGCGGGACGATATGGGAGCCCACTGGAAGTTGGTGCGGCTTGTGCTCTGGTTTGTGTTTCTCCAGAGTTCCATGAGTTCGGCTGTAATACGAGGTGTATATAGACTACCGCTTATAGTTAATGACATGCAGTGTGCTTTGTTTAGAGTATTCTCTGAAGGAGGCCAGCTCGTCTCTCATTCCACCGTCACGATGCGTTAGTATGACTTATGTTGTTCGCAGAGTTCTACAGTTCTACCAACTCTATCCACTGACGCCAGTTTCTACATTCGGGCAGTATAGTATTTTTTATAATTAGAAACATCATAGACTACCATCCCTCACTTACATATGGCGTGCCCGTGCGCGAAGCGCAAACAGTTTACAAAAATCCCAAACCTCATATTCCACGACTCCACAGTCGGAATTACTGCCATACACGTTGAATGGATCGTGTTTCATTCTGTCCAGTTGTGTGCGTAGGAGGGACAAGTTCTGCGATGCGTCATCCTGCATCTTCTGCATCGCTATACAGTATACCGAGCATGGAGAGCGGCTATAAGCAGGCGCCTCCGGACCCGTGATTCACCAGCCCTAGGAGACCGTATATCTTGTCCTGAGGATTCATTGCCAAGGCATCTCTAGCAAAGCATACAAATGTACCGAGACTTAGCTTCTGCGTGTCCTTTCTCTTCCACGCCATTCCTCGGCCGCGTATGATAGCGGTGTGCGCTCGTCGTCGGAAAATTGATCTACGAGAACGACTTCCTGGAGGACTGTATAGTGTCACGGGAAGTAGTGGCCGTCACGTTCATTTCGGTCCTTCTCTTTCCCTGAAGATCACGAAATGCTGTGCTCCTGCCTGCATAAATACAATACTCGGTGTATCGCAATTAGAATGTACGGCGGTGGTTGCAAGTTCTTTCGTCCTGCATCTGTTTCGTCGCGTAGTCAACAGAAGAAAAAGGATGATCTCACAAATGTACCCGGGTTTTATAAAACCTGCTAAAAAAACAACGAGAAGATTAATCCAAACAAAGACTCACCAACTGAGGCTGACAGTGGGATCTCTACCTATTGTATTAGTGCCCCACAGCTGTCGGCGTGGCTATAGCGGGGAAAGGACGTGCACTTGGGAGCAGCCTTTAGCGCCGTCAACCAGCGTACCATTCCTTCCAGAGACCTTCCACCACGGCATGGAATTGGAGAATCCGAGGTCAGTCTACGATAATGGATCGATCCGAGGAGTATGATGCTTTGTACGAGGTGCAAAGTGGGATTTCGTGAGGCTCGGAAGGACATCGGCCACCTGCAACTAAGAATATATGGCTACCCAGCCGTTCTTGCTGCCGTGTGCACAACTAGAGATAAGGTTGCAGAGACGAAGTCTAATTGGGACAGTGATACAGATATTGAGATCCTGGAGGGGTTTACCCCGATCGACTATATTGCTGAACAAGGCGACATTGTTTGCAGGTAACAAGGAGGGTTGGGGCAATGGCTGTTGATCTCAAGTGAGTTGTCTATAGCCTAGTGGATCGTGGCAATAAGACCTTCTAGGAGCCAAGGCGTCAGCTTCTCAATGGGAAGAAATCCCACGGACGCGTCCAACAATATGCCATACTCTCTACCTGGCGTTATATGTATGTACTATATCCCAACCACGTAGACGTGCAGCCCTACCAACCACCTCAGAGAGGACTATCCAAATACAAGGGATCTGGCGGGAACTATTTATAGAAACAACTTGGGGGCTGAATCTCAGTCGCCGACTCCTGACTTGGCGTTCAACCCAACACTCGCGTGGTGCATCATCAATCAGACGAGCTGATATGTCCGAAATGGAGGCCACCTCCAGACAGAGCCCGGTCGAAGGGGAAACTCTGAATAGCACCCAGCTTCGTAAGCGGCCACGGCCGGTAATTTCCTGTCTGCGATGCAGAGAGAAGAAACTGAAATGTGATCGACGGACGCCTTGCGAGAATTGCGCCAAAGCGGGATGTTCCCCGGATTGCATTTACAACCAGGAACCCAATTCAATTCCCAAGGCGAAGCGTGTCCGACAGGGTGCTGCGTATACTGACCAGCAATCTACACCGCGGGGCGAGTCTGGACGAGGGGCAGGGATTGGGATCATTGAAGACCTGCAGCAACGAGTCATCAGATTAGAGGAACAAGTCGCCCTTGGATCACGCATAGCAAGCACAGACTGGTCCGGGGATGCTCCCGTCCTTCCCATTAGGTGATAGATACATCGCAAACAAATTGGTCCATTTTACCAGAAAGGACTGACACCGTGGATAGTAATCACCCGCGACCCGAGGAAGCCAGCTGCGAATCAGACATTGCACGGCCGTTTCGCGGTACGTTGGTGGTCAAAGGAACACGAACACGGTATCATGGGCAAAACAACAGGATTAGCCTTCTGAACCAGGTAGATTCGACTACCCTCGACTCGTTGTATTGTGTCAGCCCGACTGATCTTGTCCCTAGTTCCCCCAAGCCAAGCAGTTCATTACTCAGTGCAGTGAGAACTCAACAATTGTTGGCCTTGCGCGAGAAGTGCAATTCCTGCAAGGAAAACTGCCTCGCCAGTTGGACTCACCAGCTGCAATGGTGAACGGTAGGAGCTCACCTGAGCTCGTGCAGCTTCGTGTGTCGCTTCCAGCGAAGAGCATATGTGACCGGCTGCTGCGCACATACACCGATAACTTCGAGAAAATACACCGCATCATACATGTGCCCTCGTTTCGTCGCGAGTATGCGAAATTCTGGACCGAGCCCGATCATGAATTCTACCAATCTTCATCGGCATTCATACCGCAGCTTACGGCGATATGCACCATATCGCTTGCCTTGGATGGCCAACGTACGAAGGTGAACGACTCTGCACTGTGGGAGTACTTGAACGGACCAGCAATCACGCTGGTCCAACGTTGGGTTCAGAATTTGAGCCGCAAAGGGCGAACGGAGCTCGCCGCACTTCAAGTCGAGACGCTCCTGCACCTGAGTCGTCGTCTGCGACTCATGCCCGCCGAAGAATTATGGAAAGCCACAGGCGCCCTGATCCGCTCGGCGATGGTGATGGGTCTACACCTGAATCTGGCGAAGTGTAGCGGGCTTTCTGTCTTTGCGGCACAGGTCCGGCGTCGACTGTGGATCACGATTGTAGAGATGGACCTTGACGCGTCGATCGCTTCGGGCATGCCGGTGATGACGTCCCCACACGACGTTGGACCGCCGCCGGCCAACCTGGACGATGCTGATTTCGATGAATCCACATCAGAGCTTCCACCCGCGAAGGGACCATCTGGGCTGACAGATTCCATTTATCAAGTTTTGTTAGCGAAGTCTCTAGCCGAGCGCCTACGGACGATGTCTGTAGCCAGAACGGCCAGAGAGCAGACTGATTTGAGCGAACTGATCAAGCAAGGAAGGGCGATTCTAGAACACCTTCGGCAGATACCATCTCCACTGAAACTGGGGGAGGGTGCCATGATCAATGACGACCCGGCAATCCTGCTTAATCGTGTGTTGCTGGATATCTATACACGTCGGCCTCTTCTATGTCTTTACCGGCCGGTCGTTATTGGAGGTGCTCACGGCGATCCCGATTTCGCGGAGATATGCCGAATTTGTTTGGGCTCATCCCTCGCCATTTTGTCTTACCAGGATCATTTCGACCCGAGTGTAGCCGACTTGGAGGTGTGCAATCTGGGCGCATACTGGGATCTGTTCCACACTCTGTGCAAACATGATATTTTATGGGATGCCATCAGCGTATGTGGATACATCAGGGTGTCCACCCAAAGACACATCATCGACCCTCAGCAGTCTGGGCGGACAATGCAGTGGAGCTCGATGCATAGTAAAGCAAGCCTGACACGGATTGTCGAACATACTTTGGACGGTTTAACAACACGGATCGGTGAACCAGGGAGTAACCTCAAGGACGTTTTACTTCTTGCGGTTGTTCTGCAGTCCGTCCGCGCTCGCGGCTCAACCCAGGCCCAAGAAGAACGAATGTCACAAGGAGCTAGCAAGGCCTTGAGTGCTTGTCGACAGCACTTGCTTCCCGCGGTGGCGGAGGACTCCTTGGCATTGAATCTCACTGATTTTGCTCAAATGGTAGGAGTGATGGCCAAACCCTCCCACTAGATGGCTTATAATACCTAACATGCTGATAGCTCCAAACTACGCAACCGATGTTTACACCCGACGGTCAGGGGTCATTCACCTCGTCCGCTCAGTTGAATCTGCCCGAGGACTTTCTTGCACAGTCATCAGCACTGGCCATGGAGTTTAGTAACTTCGTAGGGGACCCGTTCATCTTTGAGAATGATGCTTCTACATGGAATGTATAATGTTCAATATGCATTACCCCTGCATTCAAGTAGGATATTCCCAGTGGGCTTGCGCTTATGAATATGCAAATAGGAAGATTCTATATTCACAAAGTCAACCCAGATTTACTGGTTTGCCGATCAAGATGTTGAATGCGCTAGCAACTGGTGAAGAACCAGCATCGGATCCGAGTCCCGGATCCGAATGGCTGTCAAATCCGAAACGCATCTCCGGCGACTCGTGAGATGAACGAGAATATAAAACGTAAAGAGAGTCACTAATTTCTAACTCAAACGTTGCATACAGTACCAACACTGAACAGACATCTCCTTCAGTGAAGACTTGCGAAATACCATGTCGACCCCAGAAAACGTTGCCATCATCGGTGCAGGCCTTTCCGGTTTGACCCTAGCTCTTGCTCTCCGTCGACAGTCCATCCCATGTACAATCTACGAGGCTAGATCTGCCCCGTTAGACATTGGTGGTGCTATTATGCTGTCTCCCAATGCACTCCGCATCCTCGATATACTCGGAGTATACCAGCGCATTCGACCACAGGGATATGAGTTCGATCATTTGTACTTTCGCTCTCCCGACAACGAGCTGGTTGATACTTACGAGTTCGGACACATGAAGTACGGTTATCATGGCTTGCGGATATATCGTCATGTCCTCATCAAGGAGCTCTCAGAAATGGTGGCCCAGGCGAACATCCCCGTTCACTACAACAGGAAATTCCTACGGGTCATTTCCGAGACCTGCTCCGATGTCACCTGGCAGTTTGACGATGAGACTACAGCAACGGCAACCTGCCTGGTAGGTGCAGATGGAATCCATTCTCGGGTACGGAGATATCTCTATCCAGACCTAGAACCGCGATTCACAAACGCAATTGGAGTGACCGCTGCAGTTCCTACTAGTCAGCTGGAAGTCCCCGGAGGATACGAGATGCCCGTCACAATCATGAACTCGAAGCACGGGGCTTTTGTCATCGCACCGCAGCTCCACGATGGGTCCGAGGTCTTGATCGGGAGACAAAAGCGTGCCCCGGAATTAGGACGAGAGGGCTGGGACCGACTCCTGAATGACAAACAATGGTGCATTGACTTCCTGCGTGAGGGCGCCAGTGACTACCCTGACATTGTACAACGAGCGGTGTCGCAGATCTCTCCATCCAAAATCAACCTCTGGCCGTTTTATGTCGTCCCGAAGCTGGACCGATGGAGGTCCCACCTCTGTCGGGTTAGTATCCTGGGTGATGCTGCACACGCTATTCCGCCCTCGGCCGGACAGGGAATCAATCAGGCCTTTGAAGATGTCTATACGTTCTCGTTGGTTTTCGCTAGGAAGAGTCGGGGTATTTCGCTGGAACAAGCTCTAAGGCTCTGGCAGCAGGGACGACAAGCGCGAGTCGACAAGGTATTGGAGCTTAATGCGCAAATTGACAAGCGTCGTATGCCAAAGCAGGAGGGGAATGATGGATCGGATATGCACGACGCGTTTGACTTGGAATGGTTATATCGTCCCGACTTTGACGCCATGGTGGATGAATGTGAGAAAATCCACGAGGGCCCGTCCAGTAATGTTATTCACCCTTGAATAGTGAGGCCAATATGACAAATATAGGGTTCTATCACCATTCATCTGGCCTAGAATTAACTACTGATTACATGTATCACTTTCCTATCATATTCCATCACTGTCTAAGGCTTCAAAGCTTCACAGTCCTCCTTCCACATCGACCTATTTAAACCCTCATCTTTTTGCTCGAGTAGCCTCATGATACACAACAGAAGCTGGTGCCACTTTGGTTGCTGGTGATGCCTACCCTTACGGTCAGTCAGCAACTTACCTCTCTTATCTTTGACCCAGCCCAATCAGCTACCATGAGCCCTGTAGACGAGCTCCTTGACCTAGAGCGACGTGAGCCCATCACGTACATGTTGCATACTATCCGAGACCCTCAGGTTAACTCGATTGGATGGGCTTGCCTGTGGTTTGCGGACCTCTCGAGCATACGGTAGATGGTCAAACAATGTGAACAGCGTCGGGCATCGTTTGCAGTTGCTTGAGGATGGCCCTCCACACCGATACCCATACGGATATGATCAAAGCTTGTGGGTGACTCCTTTGACCATACGATTAGGTACTAGCTAATGCAACATCAGGGGCGGTTCGGTCTAAGCCCCAACGGCTTATTGCACGGTTCGACGAGAGCTTCGAGGAGTCCTTTCAGGACAAACCCAAACCAGGAAGTGGCGGCATGCATCCGGTTTATGAAAGCCTTGCGATCTCTAGATGGATGAGCAAGCAAGAGGCTGAACATCCCTCAGGGATGGTCTCTGCGGAGACGGCAAGACCTGAAAAAGGAGCCACTTGTCGCCAAAGAAGTCGACTGGCCGTAAGGCTACCGCAAAGAGCTGGTGAGTTCAATCTACATACAACGGAGTCAAATTCTCACTAATCAAAATAGGTGCAATGAGCAGGACAAGGACACTTGTATTCTCACCGGGTTTCTTTAACCGCTTGAACTTGCACATATATCCCCATGCAGCCTGGGTCTTCAGGAGGTAAAGGCAGATTTAATGGTGGGCGACAGCCTTCTGGGGCATTTTGAGAGTTTTCTGGACCCCAGGAAAAGTCGATACCTGGGAGAGCATTATATGTATGGTCAATATTGCCCACAAGCTGTGAGAAAAGGCCCGATTTGCCCCGAAGCCTCTATCATTAAGCAAGGATCCGAGGGCTCTTACAGTGCAATTGTATTGATTGCCGGGAAATTCATACTGTCGTCAGATGGCAGCAATCGGAGTTCCCAGTCCTTTCCCTCTCAATCTCTCCTCCAGCACAGTGAACGGTTAACACAGCGCGAAGCTGCTAGAGATGCAATGGGTCTTGCATCGAGTGCTTGCCCTGAGTGGTGCTGCGGACGCGACGGATGAAGAACTTGATCCCTACTCGGATATGTGTTTTGGGCTTGCCTCGTTCAAGACAGACGAAGAGGACACTGGGTGGGATACCGAGGAAGCAATGGAAGGAGAAGAGGATGTCCGAGACACTCACGGAGTCCACGAAGGAGAAGTATACGAAGAAATAGTTGTGGAAGCACCTACAGGTAGGGGTAGAAGACATACTCCCACCGACGAGAACCGCCCAATTCGCGGAAATTATCCGGGTCCAGACTGCCCAGACCCAAAGATGCTGACCATGAGTGCGAAGGGGAGCAGACGAAGGAAGCAAGCTAGCCTCTCGTCTTGAGATTCCGCGACACCAATGTCCGTTAAAGGGGTCATTGCGACTGTGATTGCTTGTCCAGATATGCATGCTAGTAACCTCATTTACATAAACTCCTTTTCGCCAAACCGGGCACAGCAGCAGCCAGTCTCATTGCCACGTTGGAAGAAATATGTCTCTTTTCAGAAAGGGGAGTTCGACCGTCAGGTTCCCGGTCAAGTCCATCAAATATCGTGTCTCGGACGAAGGGACTGCGATGACCGAGATCGCAACTGATCCCGCAATCAGTCTGATGCTGTTCTCGGTATTCGTGAAGCTCCGGTAGGGTACCTCCACTGACCAGGAACGCAGTCGCTCATTCTGAAACACCACGTTCCATGTTAACGAAACTACTATTGTCACTTGAGGCAAAAGGAGACCGAATTCGTTTACACCTTCAAGTCTAACCCCGGTCTCGGGGGCGAAGGCAACACCGAAAAGCCAGGCAATCTACCACAGCCGTCTACGTACCCACTAGCAGCAGCACCCTTGCTCAATAAGGTTGTTGTAATCACCCTGGGTTTGCCCAGTCCCAAGCTATGGGAAAGCAATCTGAGTTGGTCTGCCAGGCCCTCCGGGGCGACAAATTCGCCCTTTCCAAAGGGGAGAGTGCTTATATCAATCTCAACCGCGATGCTATTAACAACGAGGCTGACGAAGAGCATAAGTGTCTCGGTGTTCGTGGCTGCCAAGTGAAGAGTGTTGCAGTTGCGGACCGAATTCTCTTTGGGATCTGGCCCAAGGAAGAACGTCCGTTTCGCCTGTACAGAGGATGCACTTTGGTACTCCGCGGTGAGGAATGGTTTAACAAGGAGAAAGGCAAGGATCATCAGATTCCTGGCGAGAAGTGCCTCCCGGAGGACTGGATGGCATCAGTGACCGAGACTTCCCCTAAGTGGAGAGGTTTGATCGATGCCCCGGTCCATGCCGTCCTCCTCAATCAAGTGGACATCAAGCTTATCGGTGAAGTTGAGGAGGACGATGTTAAGGTCCATCAGGTGGCCAGCCCCATGGTGCAGATGCAGATGCTGAACGCCACTAGAAAGCTTTCTGAGCACTGGGGTGAGGAAAGCTTTGACGCCATGTGTCGAGAATTCGAAAAGCAGGAGGCGACAATCCCCAGCGGCAGCAACAAGAAGCTTCCGCTTAAGTCGATGTTCCTGGTGTCAATTCCCCGGGTCAATCTCATGACCCCTGGGACATCTCCCTCACCGATCTCAACCCCTGGTCCCAGAGAGCTGGGGTCTCAATGGGGCACAGAACCAAGCAGCTACTCAGCTGCTGACATATTCATTCTCCCTGGTGATTGGGCCTCCCAGCACAGGTAGAGCACGAACAATTGCCGCGGCAGCTACGCTCGTCACTCAGATCCTCGCCCGAGGGTCGGGAGGATAGTCCAAACTGGCCGTCCTTGTCACGGCTCATGCAGCAGGAGCTGCTGTGATGAATCAATTGTCCAGTGCATTCAAACACGAGGAGTACTGCATACAAAGGCTTATACATCGGCGTTGCAGGGCAGACTCAGAAGCACGGCTTTTTGCGGCAGTACCAGAGCGCCATGACGATGTTATGTGAATCACCGTTTGTGCGAAGAAAGCGCCTGGTAAGTACCGCAAGTTTCTTGATGGTATTGAGGATATTAAAACCTCGGGCCGAGTGAAGAGGAAGTTCAAGGTGTTCAGCAAACAACGGCAGGACTTCAATCCTGAGTTCGTCATCTTCGACGAGGCCAGTTTTTTCCGCGACCCTGAGATTGTTTACATCCTGGGTCAATTGAAGAATGATGCCCGCGTACTATTTGTGGGTGACCACAGACAGTTGTCACCCCCTGTCTTTACGCACCAGGGAGAGATGGCATGGGCGATCCCTTTGAGCGTCTGATCAACAAAAAGTATCATCAGACATTGCTGAACATCTCGTACAGGTCCCACAAGATCCTGTACCGACCCACCTCGGTCGCCTACTATGACGGCCAGGTTGAAGCCTTGCACGCTGCGCCCCGTGTAGACGCCGGGATCCACCCGAAAAACCCCCTGGTGGTCCGACAGGGTAACAGGACCTGGACTCTGCCAGGCCTGTCACACTTCCTTCACCTTGCACATGTCGAAGGTGATACGAAGAAGGATCTCTCGGGATCCTTATTCCACCCTACGGAAGCCGAAATTGGGGTCGCTCTGGCCCGAAGCCTTGTCGACAGAGGCTGTAGGGAAATTCTAATCATGTCCCCATACCGGGCCCAAGTGGCCCTGGTAAAGAAGCTTTGGGAGCAGAGGCATCCCGATGCTGCGCCCTGCCCCAAGGTCCAAACTGTTGACGCTTCCCAAGGGTCGGAGGCGGAGGCCGTGATCGTCCTAATCACGCGCAATTTTGGCTCGGCCAGCTTCCTCCAGTCCGTGAAGCGGACGAACGTAATGTTGTCAAGGGCATGCACTGCCCAGTACGTCGTCGGCAACTGGGACTGGGTGGGCGGCCGGAGTTTCACAAAGGATGCCGGCATATTCTACAGGCAGGTACCTCGACGAGGCCGATCATGCCCTGGACCAGAAGGTCAATTTTTATACCGTCATCCCAATAGTATGGTAGATGTGAGGCATCTTGAATGCATTTTGGAGTTTTTTAGAGAATATACGAAGCTTCCAGCTATAAGCTTGCCCACTCCATGAATAACAAGTCAACCCGTCTTAGGGATACGTCCTTTGGTGTTAAATCGTCGTGCTGAATGTGTCGCTCTAGGGGCTCTCTGCTTCTCCCTTTCTCTGGCTGTGGCTCTATATTTGCTGCATTTAGCTGGATGCTCAGGGCAAAGAATTCCTATATCTATTGATAGGAACCGAGCTCCTGGCATGGCACGGGGGCTGCCATATTCGACTCAAGAAGTATATCTTCTGCACTCGCGTACTTTTAGTATTTCGAGGCACAGGGGACATCATGACGAAACCCACCCTACCAATGCTCGATACCTTGAAATTTGACTCGGAATGAAAACAGTGATTGAGTGATAATCTCTACTCTATGCCTCTTCCCGCCGCTGTGCCCCTGACTAGCCTAGGCGTTAGTTACATCAGACGTCTTAGTCGGCAGACAGCGGTGGGATACATGTAAAGCTTGTGAGGAATAAGGTCAACCCTTTAACAAAATGGTCTGTCGACTTAGATTACATCACCAGATGGAGAAAGAACGCGCTTGAGGAGGCTAACCAATGCTTAGATCAGACGTTTTGGTATGAGAAAGAAATCTTCGGACAAGATTCTATGTGGAAGGATTCTGGAGAGAAGCCAGTGATACATCAGACAAAGTTCCAGACGAGGTCTCTGTGTCAGCTAGTCAGCCTCGTCGTTACGAAACTCTTCTCTCAGACAAAACGACGCTTGATTGCTTGAAGGCTAGATACGTGAGGTCACCTCCTCGTATAGCAAGTTGTTGCCTTCAAGAATTTTTGGCTTTCTCACGGGCTGCTGTTTTATGAATACTGCAAGAGCCACCAGTGTAGCGGTAATTTCGGCAAAAGTTCCATCGGCTTATCTGATCTGGTCCTATCTGAAATGGCACATATCCTTTGCAATGTCTCCTATACAATCCGTGTAGTATCTGTGAGCCCTCCACTCAACACCAACCTTGTAGTAGAATTATTCTGGTCAAGGATTAGGGTGGTATTATATATGATTCTATATGATGAAAAGGTCCATGCGCCATATGTACGTGTGAATAACCTATTTGGGTAAAAGCACCCATGTAAGACGGCCGTTTCCCAGTGCCCCCTTAGTTGATGTCCACGACATAGCCCGATTTGAAATAGAACAACTCGTGTATGCGGATTATGAAATCAGTTTTTGCTATACACGAGGGGTCGGTTATGAATGTTTCTCTCATCCACACGCAACCTTGATAACCGTGCCCCATTGGCCGCCATCGACCATTCGGTGAGGATAGCTCCAGGAGGGTTTGGAACTATTTTTCTAGGAGGGGGTCTCTTCCCGATGTCATATTCGATTTCAAGGGCTTCAAATAACCGGCACTACTCGTTACAATTGTGTAACACTCATCTGGGCTCGTGGTGATGAGGCCAGTCGAGAGCAAAACCGGCACAGGAGGAGGGCAAGCATTGCTGGAATCGGAAAAGCTAGTTATATCTCTCCGTTTGAGTACGGGGAAGCCCTAAACTAGAACGTGATTCCAAATAGTAGTTTAGACCTGTCGTGGTTACATTTGCCTTCTCCGAAATCTTTCCCCGAATCCCGTTGCGAAGTGGCCTCACAGTAAGAAAGCTAAGATGTCATAGATCCCTTTGGAAAACCCAACGTTCTCTTCCAGTACGTTGACCATCAGTTTCGCTTCATGCAGCAAGGATGCCAGTCGCTCTTGACAGAAGTCGAAAGATCCTGTGGACCGAATATATTCCACAGCGTACTTCTTGACCGACTCCTCCTCGCTCCGCTGTCGGAGGATATTGAGCAGTTGTTGATTACCTGGGTTACTGTGGATGCTGTGGATGATCAGAAACGAAAATTTACCCTCCGTGAGGTCTTCACAGAACCCTTTGTTTTTGCTGTACAGGTCACTTTGGAGATTCTGATAGTCGTCACGGATCTGAAAGATGATACCCAAAAGATCGACAAGCCCGAGGAAATCGCTGCCCTAGTCAGCAATCTTCGTAGTGCAAAGAAAGGGCAGAGAAAGCCCCACCTTGATATCTCACTTTCGAGCTGCATTAGCTTGATTGCCAACCGGAAGAGGCCACCCGTCTTGTTCGAAATCATCTCGATGTACTCTTCTTCGGTGGGGCAGGTTAGGGAGTCTCGCCAATATAGATCCATACCCTGCCCCCGATGTAAACGGAGTAGCTCTTCAGTAAAGACCTCGTACGCCTTGGGGCGGTTGAGCTCTCTGAGCTTCTCCTGGGCGGCGAAGTAGGCGTAGTTGGCGGAGTTAATAGTTTGCGCGACACCGAATACGGAATGGGCTACTGGTATCCCTCGTCGCAGCTTGGATGAATCTTGAATGTCATCGATCCTGGAAGAAATTACATACGGAAAACAGAGTCAGCACGGGTGAGACTGACAAGCCATACTGTATACCTTCCTAAGTGGACGCTCACGTACAAGAGAGACGCGGTGTGCAGTAAACCAACAATTTCCGCGATGATGTCCAACCGGTCCTCTGGAATTCGTAACCATTCATTGAAGGCTTGCATGAACTTGCGACGGATATCCTTTCCAGGACATTTTAACAGATAGTCAACAGGCCCCCGAATAATCTTCATGTCTCGGTCAGCTTGTCACATTCCGAGCAGCAGTAGGTGGGTATCCGTACTTTCTCTTTGTCAACCGGCGTAGACGCCGGCGGCTGGGGGGATGAGCCTCTAGTATCTGTGGACTCGGCTGACAATGTACTCGGAGTGGGATAGCTTGCATTCAGCGTTGGTGAGAAAGAAGATGCAACAAGCTTCCAACGATCGGGTACGCCTGAAATCATCTTGACAGGTTGGGGCTTTGTAAGGAGGATATCGTAGCAAATTATATGAACTCGTGGAATACAGGGTTGAAGTTGACTATAGTAATAGGAAATACTAGGCTAGAGGAAAGCTCTTTGGGAGTTGAAGGGTAGCAAAAGCCGATATATAACGACCATGTGGGGTAGATTAAGGGCAATGCGCAGGGTAAGATTACACCGTAACATCCATTATCAGGGGTCTATTATTCGTCTTACGGCTGGATCAGATATGGGGAACCCTACAGCGTATCTCAGGTCTGCATCTCTTTAGCCCACGGACCATTCCGGTGACAGGCTCTCCTGGGCTGGTCGTCAGCTGTATCGAACAGGTGACAGGATATTTGACACCGGTGGCTTCTGCTAATAGCTCTGCATATGCGGGCACGGTCAGCCTCCATTTTCTGCTCTAGCCAGTCTCCCCCTTCGTACGGTCCATGTGGAGTAGCCAGTCTTGATCTCAAGCAGTCTTTCTGTATACCCTCCGCGTGACAATGCAACGGCTGCTGGCTTCTATATGGAAGGAATGGGGTCACTCTAAGTTGTAGAAGACAATAAAATACGAGCGACTCATTAGGGCCTTGTTATTGATAGACTAAAGCAGAACACATGTCTCGACTATCTGCATACTGTTGAACGTAATGACTAGTAGCAAGAATTATTCCGAGTTATTTTTCGCTCTTCATGTCCATCTTCTCGTTTCTTCCCCAGAGTGCGAGCCAGTCTTGGATAGAAACTGCGGATTCTTTCATTTCAGTGAGACATATATGTCTGACTTGTTCACTTTGAATCACCCGGAGGGCTTGTCGGATATTATGTGGCGATCGAAACTCCAAAGCTCGCGCCACACAGTGTCCCTTAGAAGCATTCAAGGCGACAACAATTGGGTAAGTAAGCTCACCATTGCGTAGGTCTTCGGCAATCGCTCCCTTGGCCTTTGCATAGTCGGAGGAGTACACGTTCTTGCAATCATTTTGCAATTGCGAGTACCATCTAGGAAGGCGATGAGTTAGTACGATGCTCCCACGGGAATGGTTTTCTTGGTCGACTTACGCTACAGTAGTTAGCGTATCATCGTGGGATTGACTCTCTAGTACCAGCTGCCCTACTAGGCGGAAGAGGGCACCTGTCTTCAAATATGCCATTTGGCGATATGCCGTCACTCGCTCCTCTGACTGCACGGGAAAGGCAGAGAGGCCGTCCCGGCGCCAAACAAGTGAGAGGTCTTGTCCTTGTAGGATCTCTTCGAGACATTGCAGCAGCCAAGGTGCAAGCTCGGGGTACTCATGAACAGTGCGATTTAGTAGTTGGGTTACCCGATAGTACGCTCGGTTTGCTGTCTCTGAAGGACCGTAAATGCGGTGGGCTGCAGGACGTCCTTTCCGATAGTCGCTGTTGTCACTGATCTGCCAGCTAATATCAGCAAGGACAGAAGTTACTCATGGGAATATCTCGCATACATCATCAACAAGCATCAGACAAAGATGAATTCCATCCATGATCTCGAGGATCATGTGGTATCTCGCCGGCCTCTCTGTCTTGAGGTTGGGTGAAAGTTTGTCCACGAATGGTGCCCAGTGATGCATTCCGTATATCTCTCGAATATAGCTGTAAGGGCACTCCATTGATGTTATCTCAGAGGGATTCTTTTTGCCAACCAATAACCTCTTTGCAGAAGGCAGCAGGCCCGGCAGCCTGTCCCACGCCAGAGCCGTGACGGGAATAACGACTAAGGCCAGTATAGCATAGGTTGTTGGCTGGGAGAGAAAGTCATGAAGGAAGCCCATGATGGCAATGAACGATACTAATGATTGCAGTAGTATCGCTGCACACGAAAGCCAAAGAAAAGAGATATTCCACTTTCCCTTGTCTTGCTTGTTTGTGCGGTGGGTATCGTTGGATATACGGCACTATCCTGATTAGATGTAACGTCGAAGTCGGCCAGCATGACGTCTTGCATATATCTCACTACATTACCCATAAAGATGTATAGCTGTTATACTCGTAGTTGCCTGAGCACATTGTAGTCAGTGGCACTAAGATTCAGGGACCGACTGGAACGTGGTGCGAATACACCGTAGACCCTGTATAGACATGAGGTGAGATTCGAGAAGCTGATCCAGCAGGGTCAGCTCGTAACATGGGTATGACTCTCATGGTCACACATCATTCCATCCCATCCTCCGCGAACATCTAGGTGTATCAAATCTAGATATAATACGCTGCGGTCAAACAAGGGACCCTTCCCTTATCATCGATCGCTAAGATAGTCGCCATAACTATTCATCACTATCCATGGTTTCCTGGAGCATATTGCAGACTCTTCAACCGCTAGAGAACGATATGACCCGATAATGCTTTCGTGGTATTTCAAGAAATACCGTGGACGGATTTGGTAAGGCTTGGAGCAACAACTGACTATGAGGTATCATAGACAGGCAATGTCTTCGTTGTGTATGGGAACTGGATGGCCCACCAGCTACGTCCGAATGATCTACAAACTGCTCCAAGGCCGTCTGGATGGAATGGCAAAGGTGCCAATGTACTTCAGTATTACAAGGGAACTAGTGGAGAATGATCTAGGACTGGCGTTTTCATGGACAGTTTTTGCCAGCAGCTTCTCCGAGTCCCACGGCTCTTCACGAGGTAAGTACCCGTGGGGATTCGTATAGGTTCTGGTATGTGTAGCCTCCATTATAGCACGCTTTCCATTCACGCCTGACCAATGTTGGTCCAGCTTTCCCTGTGCCTCAAAGCTTGTGGGAGGATGGAATTGGTTGGATGCGTCAGCCGCACCGGTGATGGGCATTCGCTGGGCGAGCAATCCCACTACTTGTGTCGATGTTATTATCATTATCCTTTCACTGTACTCTCTTGTCCTCTCTGTTCTTTGCTCTTTCTCCACGGATAGACCCTATAGTATGTTCTTTTATTACGCTGGCAAGCCCGAAAAGTCAACGGTGGGAACAATGCGCGCAGGAATATCCGATCCTTGAGTCACCTGCTTACTGTTGGAGATTGGGCAGATTTAGAAGTAGCCAGACCACTGTCTCACACAAGATATCACTCACATCGTGTCAGTTGTGGTGGGGGAGCTAGCGGTTAATAGGATGCCCAACATTCTGTGTTGTACAGGCATCATCATTTGGACCAGGGCTACCTCACATGCAATCATTGGACCCGTATGCATATGGTCCTCGGTGGTTACCTTGCAGTTTATTGACTTCACGAAACAATTCAGCTTCGCGAACTTCCTCGGTCTCCCAAGACACCAGGAGAATATTCTTTGGTCACGCCGGGCCCGTATCCCAGCTTCTCTGCACATTGGGCTGATAGATGATGCATAAAACGTAGTCGTATTAGGACACGAGCTTGACGTGCCCGTGCAGTGCGGCCATTGATAACCTGATTTAGATAATATCTCCATGGTGACCCCTTCAGTACGTGCTGATACGGAAGTCCTGAAGTCCAATGACAGGTCCTCTGTGTATCCAATCCAGTGACCCCGTGCCGATGCGATTCTCCGGCGGCCCGGTTTGCAATGACTATGTCTAGACGAATGTAAGAACCCTTTCGTTTGCTGAGGACCGAGGGAGCCGAGATACACCCAATAAGTGGTTCGGCTGTCATTGTACTGTCAATCCTACCAACAGATTCACAAAAACGATAGTCTGAACTTTGCAACATGTCGTAGACCCTTGGAACCATCGTGTTACATATCACATACCTTTTATATACTGCGAGGTACAGGCAGCCACCAGGCGACGCCTTGGCTAGCTCCTTGTCAGCTGTCTACCCTCTTGTTGTTTGCTGTCCCACATAGCTTGAGCCTAGTGTATTCTGTATTTCCTGGCCTCGGAAAGCATTCATTCCCCGCCCTAATACATCCAGACACCTTCCGTTATGTGTAATAAAGATCATTTCAGAGTGATAATTGTTGGAGGATCTGTCGCTGGACTCACCCTGGCCCACTGTCTCCAGCAGGCAGGAATTGACCATGTTGTCCTCGAGAAAAGCCCGAATCTCTCGCCACAGGTGGGGGCATCAATTGGTATTATCCCTAATGGGGGACGTATCCTTGATCAACTGGGGCTCTTTGATGCCGTGGAGAAGATGACCCATCCTCTTAGCATGGCTACTATCACATACCCTGACGGGTTTTCCTTCTGTAGCAATTATCCTAAGATTGTGGATGAAAGGTCAGTGATACAGCAGGTTCTTGCTCAAGAGATGCGGTCCAACGATTTCAAATGTTAGAACCAGCTGACAAAGTAGCTTGAGTGGAATTCAGATTCGGATATCCCATTGCATTTTTAGATCGACAGAAATTCCTTGAGATTCTGCACACAACGTACCCTGAGCCGTCGAATATCCATACCGATTGTCGAGTGACGCATATCCGACGCCTAGACAGCCACATTGAAGTTGTTACAAGTTCCGGGCTGGAGTATATGGGGCACCTAGTGGTCGGTGCTGACGGCGTCCATAGCATCATCCGCTCTGAGATGTGGAAATTGGCGGATGCGCTGGAACCTGGACGGGTGTCGAAGCGGGAAAAGAGAAGTCAGTAATGCTGTGCTATCTTACCTGGGTAGTTTCCTCAGGCTCAATCACTGACTGAGTCTGCTCAACGAAAGGCATGAAGGTCGAATACGCCTGTGTCTTCGGCATCTCATCGCCCGTGTCAGGCTTAAATGCCGGAGACCAAGTGAATGCATTTCATGACGGCCTGACCATTATCACCATCCAGGGGAAACATGGACGAGTGTTCTGGTTCGTGATCCAGAAGTTAGATGACACCTACACATACCCGGACACGGTGCGATTTTCTAGCGCCGACGCCGTACGTACATGTGAGAAAGTCGCTCACTTCTCACTGACAAACGGGGCCACTTTCGGCCAGGTCTGGGAGAATAGGGAGGTTACGTCTATGACAGCATTAGAGGAGAATATCTTTAGCACCTGGCATGCGGATCGTATTGTGTGTATTGGGGACAGTATTCACAAGGTAAGATCAGTAACGCTGGTTAATTTGGCGAGCGTCAAATAACAGTACAGCAGATGACGCCAAACATCGGGCAAGGAGCGAATACTGCAATCGAAGACGCCGCAGTCTTAACCAATCTGCTGTACGATAGGCTCTCGGAGAATGGATACAAGAAACTCTCACGGTCAACGCTGGAGCAGCTTCTTCGTGAATTCCAGTTTGAGCGCTTTAGCCGTGTCAACAAGATCTACCAAGATTCCCGATTCCTAGTTCGGCTCCATGCACGAGACGGTATCGTTAAATCCCTTCTTGCACGATATATAGTCCCCCGTATGACGGAACTACCAGCAGAGCTAGCTTCGAAATCCATTGCTGATGGTCCCACAATCAGCTTTCTCCCAATGCCTTCGCGCAGTGGGCCTGGATGGGTGCAGTGGAGTCGAAAGGAAAGACGATTTTCTGCCTTGTGGATACTGGTGCTCCTGGTGATTGTTGTCAGTTTCAGTCTGCACTCGCCCGAGCTTCTTCCAGGGTTGTGGAGTAATTCGCTGGTTTCTAGACCTACCGAGTGAGGCTAGTTAGAGCTCCATATGTTTACTGGTATACTTGTCAATACACCGTCCTCAAAAGCACAGGGACTTGGTAGCTTTCATCCAATCCATAGACGCTCGATGATTCATAAATGGCGAGATAACAACACTGTGTCTTTTCTCATGTCCTACCGTTCTTGCCAATGCGAATATTATCTCCAATCTCAAAATAAGTACTAGGGGCGAAATATACTTTTATCGTTGAACAACGGACATACGATGCCAGTTCCTTTATTTATTACTTAGGGTTTCCGAGGGAATTCCTCGCTATATATACATGTAGTTGGTGGCAATACCCATGCCACCATGAGCCAGACACATAGCCCAGGCATCTTCATCGAGTTGGGGCCGGCGAAGGGCGCAGACGGTCGCTTGTGCGGTCTGGTTTGAATAAAGCGCCGGCAGTGATGTCGTTGGCGACGGACCAAGACAGGCATCCCTGGGACTTTCCTCTAGACCATGGCGTGTGAACATGATCTGGTTACCACGAGCGCCTTCGTTGTCTGGGCGCATAACCGCCAGCATGGTCTGACTTTGATGAAGGTCATGGTTATTCGTATCTGATGGGCTCATAGCATATTGCATGCCCATCTCAAACAGGGCTTTCGCTGCTCGTGATGTGAAAGTCACGCCGCACGCTGATTTGATACTGGTAGTCTGTTGAATCCTTGGGTAGGATCAATTCGTGATCTGATAAATCATCTTCAGTTCCAACACTCGACGACGACATCCCCGGTCCAGTCTCGACGGGTGTACCGGAACGCACATTTCCTTTCAGCCTATGTTGTCGCTCTTCTTCCGTCGTGAGAGAAGACAGCGGCAGGGCGTTGCTCCGCTGGAACGATGAGTTATGCCATGTACGCGATCCAGGAGTCGAGGGGGTATTTTTGTTATATGATCGACCGGTTCCCGGACGGATCATGCGTAGTAGAGGGCGGAGGGTTGCCAGACTACCAGCAAAGATTCCCAGGCCGGTTTCAATGTTGGACCACACTGCGATGCCAACAGTGGCGTCTAGATGATACATGTCAGTGGGCGTTCTTGTCAGATTGCTTGGGCCATGCAACAAGGCACGGCAAGACAGACTGAAGGAAGACTCACATAGGAAATCTGGGTTCCGAAGTGTCTCGACATATGCCATTCGGACCAGAACTGCGACGGAAGCACTAAAACAGGCGTGTTAGAAAATTCTGTGGGTGGGCTGCCGAGGACCTTGTGGTAACATACATGCAAGCCATGCCTAGCAGACCGGCGACGGCGTACTTTAAGTCACGGCGCATCTGCAAATTGCGCACAACGAAGATGGGCAGAAGCCCCACAGTCAGGTCAAAGATAAAGGACACTGCGCTGAAGATATAGAGAGCCACAATGACCACGGTCATGTTGATACAGGACCCGGAAACTGGGTTTTCCGTGGATAATCGCATCCAGAAGAACTTCACCGGTTTACACTGGGCGAGAAGGAGGATCCAGAACATCAATCCAAATACCACCGCCAAAGTGGTAACCGCATAAATCACCATGCGATGAAGTTTGTCCACGGTCACTCGCAGGAGGAATATGCCGACGGAGATCTTGCACAGGATGGACGAGATGCAGTAGGCAATATCGCATAAGAACCAGTACTACAGGCCGTGTGAGCACCATAGAATACGTCTGACCGTAGGCAGCCCAGCAGAAGCCTAGCAGAAGAAGCTTACCTCCATGGCGGTTGTTCTCTGATAATTCGTAAGTTCGGTGAGGTGCCTTCCGGTCCCGTATATGCTTCCTCCGATCATACACCCGGAAAACATGCCGAAGAATGCCTGTTTCAGATCGACAAAGGTCAGAAAGACATCTTGAAACTCCTGCTCAACTACGGGGACAAGACGCACCAACGCAAATAACATGATGACATCATCCCAGCCGAACGCCTTCACAATCACCAGGCGTACATAGCATCGGAGAGCCGTAGCCACTGTAGCCAATGCGAGGAAGACGGCCGCAACTGCTCGCACCTCCAAGCTTCGATCTTCTGCCATGGTGGATTTAACCGACGGCTGCTACGCACAGTTGCTTCAATATCCAGAGCGCCAGAAAGGTAAACCACTGCCGAAGACCTAGGGCTTTATGAAGTCATTGTCCCTGGTGGTTTCGTCAACACACAGGTAGTAGTGCCTGGGAAGACAATGACAAGAGAATGACAAGAGGAATTGGGGTTGTCTTAAAATCTCACTGGGTCTAAAAAAATATTCTTATCCAACGCCTACGTCTCTTAGGCCATGACCCACGATCGGAAGTTCTCGCAAGGTCCACCTCATCAGCTTCGAGACCATGTGGCGAGTGGAGTCCGTGGCTCAAAGATGGGACGCTGATTGAGTCAATCATGAAAGCTGGCTGCTCGCTACCGTGAGCCGTTTGAATCAATCCTGCGTTCTCGAACTTTGGGTCCAGGCTTTTGGGGGGGAACATTCACGGCAATGCCGAAGCCTAATACCGGCTTCGGCTCCCCTTTGGGCGTGATTTCGTCTCTTCATCCTTCAACCGCTAAGATTTTGCCAAGTTGTCAGGGGTGGCTCTCGTTCATCCTGACTCACGGATCCCATGCTCTTACCAGCAAGGCCAAGGCAGGAGAAGCACTTGGATTCTTGGAGTTCCTCTCGAAAGTCGCGAACTCGGACGCCTCATGCCTCATTCCAGAGCTGAACCCGGGCCCATTTTTCCATCCTATTCGCCAGGGTTGTGCTGGTGCAAAGTCTTCCAAGTGGGGCCGGAGATTACTTGCCTCGGATGGAGTCGTCCGTTTCACTCCCAAGAGATCTGAGATCGTGGGACGCTTTGGCCTCCTGTCCGAGTGCTTGGTATCTACTTATATCCTTGATCTTGAGACATGCCTTCTAGTGCAGGTCTATGCATACCCTAGATTTCACCAGATCAAGGAGTAGTTGCTTGTGGTGGCAGTCTACACGATCTTTTCTTCTATCTCACTCCCTGGGCGGGGGCAAAATAGATTGCAACCACTTAAGCGAATATACCCCGTATTCTAGATCTCGTATCCTCCGTATAATGCAATTTCAATCTCCAATTAATCGTACCACAAGTCAGCGAGGGCACGAAATAAATTGAGACAATGTCCGAAAAAAATTCAAATTAATTAATTGCGTTCGATGACCAAATCTACCCACGTGCTGCATCCTACCCTACTTTCGCTCCCCCACGGCTCTTTGGCCACGCGTTCGAATCCCGGCAGTATCTCGGCCTTGGGCTCCAGTCTCCACCAAGTTCTCTGCTGCTTGGTTGCAAAATGGAGTCCATAGGAAGTTGTTACGATGCAAATGTTATTGGTCATTTAATAGCTACGAGTATATATCTATTTGTCTACTACTACTACTACTACTACTACTACACTACTAGTGTGATGTTCCCATTTTTGCTGGAAGAACTCGTTCATTCTTATCCAAGTGTCAAATGTAACCTTTAATATATTGTGAGAGTGTGTAGTAAGACATTACAGAGGTGTCAGTGTTTACAGGTTGATCTTGTGTTAATTTATAATGGTAAGATGTTGAGAGGAGATTGAATCGGCAACGAGGTTAGATATATATCGGGATAGTACTCAACCGACGACCCGTAACGAGTCCCCACAAACGAAGCACAAAGGATACCTACAACATCGCCTGTGCTCACACTACAGCGAATGGTACTCAATTCTCAACTTCCACTTATATCCAGGGCCGTTCCCCTGCATACTGGTTGATGACAGGATGAAATCATTGTCCCTGGTGACCCATGCAGATCGTACGCACGGACTGTGTATAGACCCACTAGATCAGCATCCGTTGTGGATATAGATTATCACACAGCACAAGAAAACGGTCAGTGGGGCATAAAGGACTTGATATATCTTGGATTTGCGAGACAGTCTGTCGTAGGTGAGTATGATGAGACCAGGCTGAACTATTCGGACTGAAGCAAATCGACTGGGTTCCGTAACGCTACACAGTACTGTCTCTGGGCCAATATCTACACCGCAAGTAGACGGGGTGTGGAAGCCAAATCTAGTTTTGCCGGCATTGCCAGCGTTGACGGCTGTAAGACAAAGCCTTGGAGATAGACCAGACGTAGGAAGAGTGATTGAGATTGGACTTGCATGTCGACAGCAAGGTACATAGTACAAGACTACAAGGGGACGAAACCGAAAAGAAAAAGGAACATTGATCTTCCGAGGCAAACGCTAGAACGAGTGGGGCATAGCGCCACGCTAAACCAGATCGGAAGATGCCAACCAAACTTCCGTCGAAACGGTCATCAATCAATATTCCGATCTTCATTCAACATTCAACATTCAACCCGAAGCATGTTCTAAGGTTCCACCCTGCAGAATGTCGGATGCCTCCTCCGTTGTAGGCTTCACCCTCCTGGTGGCCTTGCTGGCTTCCACCTTATTCTTCGTCCAGCGAAGGAAACTGGATCCCCGGGAACCACCTTCGGTCTCCACCGCAATCCCGCTCGTCGGCCATCTGTTGTCATTTCTGTACTATGGCCTCGAGTACTTTGCGACGGCGAGGTGTGTGGCTCACGTCTTTTTTTTCGTCAGGTAGAAAAGTATAACTGCTGATTGCGACAGCCGCAAAAACCGTCTCCCTGCCTTCACGATGGACATGCTCTATGCGAAGGTCTATATCATTGCATCGCCCGAGCTGGTCTCCGCGGTGCGACGCAGCCGCAACGCAATGTCATTTGGTCCGCTATTCGAAAATGTTGCTGAGCATGGGGCGGGTGTCAACGGTCGCGGGATGCAGCTTCTCCGCGACAAAGAGTCTGGAGGTCAGGGACTGGGGCAGCGAACTGCGGACTCCATGCACCCCGCTCTGTTGGGCACCGGGCTAGATCAAATGAACGGAAAGATGATCACGACCCTCAATACCCTTATCGATGAGTTAGCATCCCAACCAGACACGGTGGTGGATCTCTACGAGTGGTGCTGCCATGCCGTTACGGTCGCCAGTACAGATGCCATTTATGGCCCATTGAATCCTTACCGGTCCGAGAGCAACCGACACGCTTTCTGGTGAGTACTTGTCTTCTCCACGGTATCGCTGGCAATTGACCTGTCTATAGGGCTATTGAATCGAATCTAAGTCTGCTCATGATGAATACCCTTCCCTGGATCACCGCACGGAAACCGTGGAAAGGCAGACAGCAACTGGCCCAAGCCTTCATCCAATACTACCAAGCGGATGGACATCTGGATTCCTCGCAGTTGGCGTACACTCGATGGAAAGTTCAGCACGAGGCGGGGGCAGCCCTCGAGGACATTGCGCGCTTGGAGGCGTTCACGGGTCTGGGCATTCTCTCCAACACCGTTCCGACCTGCTTCTGGGTCCTGTTTGATATCTTCTCTCGCCCTGATCTTCTTCATAAAATCCGCCAGGAGATCCACACAGGGGCCCTGTCGATTGACTCGGCGGGCGTTCACAACCTGGACCTAGCGGATATCCGTGAGAAGTGTCCGATTTTCGTCTCAACGTTTCAAGAAACTCTCCGTACTCGGTCAAATTCCGGACAGTTGCGTGTTGTTCAAAAGGATACCTTACTTGATGATCGCCTACTTGTGAAAGCCGGGTCCATTATTCTGATGCCTGCGGCAGTTATTAACAAGCATCCTTCCGTCTGGGGCTCGGACGCCGATACATATGACCCAGAGCGGTTCAGCAAGATCGATCCGGTGGAAAAGCGATCCAAGGCGTCTGGATTCATGTCTTTCGGTTCGTCCCCACATATCTGCCCCGGACGCCATTTTGCATCCGGCGAGATCCTGGCGCTGGTTGCCATGATCCTGGTGCGATTCGACGTTCGTCCCGTCCGGGACACATGGGTCGAACCCAAGGGAAACACGAAGGCAGTCGCTGCATCGCTGCCTCCCGCGGCGGAGAAGGTTGAGGTGAAACTTTCCGAGACGTCCAGGTTTGCCGGTGTGACCTGGGGATATCGGCTTACGCCCGGAAAGGGAACCTTTGGTCTGATCACTGGATAAGTGGCTGTCTACACTGTCTCTAGCAGTCGATTAAACTGAATGCTGAGCGCGGAGCATACGATGCAGCTTTGGAGCTAGATCGCCATCCTCCGCTTGTATGATATCTCCAATGTAAGGGGCATATTTATATGTCGCCAACTATGTATATACAGGAAGTTTTGTCAATGTATTTCGGTGGAGCCAAGTCCTGAACGTTGATCATTCGACACCTGCTACATGCTCACACGGATTCGCAGAGGAATTGCACAGTCAATATCCATGCCACTCGTTGCCCCTAGTTCTAACTAGTCTATCTAACATGCGTGACAATCATTCGGTCGCAGCAATTGCTAGGGCTTCCACTCGTTGCAAGATTCGGAGTTTCTGACTTTCCTGCAGGTACGGTTTGACAGCGAGCAGGAACCAACAGGTGGTTACTGATTCGCTTAGTGCTATTGGATGTCGCCCCTGTATCTATGGCCATGATCATCTAGTTCAAATATATTGAACTTAGCGAAGCGCAGCAGGGTGAGAGCCCTGCATTTAAGGCGGGCTACAAGATGAGCGTTGATCATAGACATCCTGTTCGTCTCTGGAATACAACCATCATTCTTTCGAAGTTACCGTTCTACGTCTCACAAAATGGTCCATCAGGAAGTACGCTATTTGCACCCATATGCCTCGGAGACCAGCCCACAGGAGGAGCGGTACAGAATCTCGACGCTTGACTACCTTATGGGCCTTTGCTACACCCACCTCGCGATCTTCTTTCGTTTGGATGACGGGAGTAAGCCTAAGGCCGCTGCAGTACTCAAGAAGGGTCTCGAGCGGATTCTCCGCAAAGTCGGCCACCTTTGTGGCACCATCGAAAAAGTCCGGCAGGGGTCATTCGTTTGTTAAAAGAACGGAGAGCACTGTGCAGTTGGCTGTACAGTGGCTGGACGCTGCGAGCGATGCGGATCGGCTCCCCTCGCTGAACGACATGGAAAATTCGAGCTTTGCTGGGATTACACTGGGTGATTTCAAACATTGGAGCATTGACCCTATGGCATAGGGCGAAAAGCCATAGATGTCTTCTGATCAGGGCGAACCTGGGTGATGTTGCTGACGACTCAACCACGCGCGAGCTGTGGGGAAGTGCGATCATGCGGCATTCATAATCAAACATAAAAATCATACACCGAGCCTCATAGTCGCTCGATCCGAGCAGATACATGTATCACATCGTTGCGACAAAAGGCAACACTTAGGTCTATTGCTAAAGACCATTGTACACGCTTGACCATGGGGTTTCTGCATGGAACGCCACAAGACGCGCAGTACAGTTCTCGCCACATAAGCACCACAGAGCTTAGAGATACGATAGGTACTGATTTTGGGAGTCCCAGTTAGTTAAGAAATGGACTTGATGGCACTTCCTTCGGAACCAAGTCCCAGTTGCTACCGGATATGCTTCTGCACACCCGGTGGGTACGGCTGTTAGGGTAAGGTTGAAGATTACTCTAAAACAGGAGACGATCCTTCAGGTTACAAGCCCCAATCACTGTAGGCCCACTCAGACATTGTATATAGATTGAACAAGTTTCCCACGCACGAAGGATCGATGAGTGGATTGGAAGGGCCCCCGCCATGGCAATCAGATTACACCTTCTACCGACGTTTCGCCGAAGAAAGCCCTGAAGAGTTTGAGGTTGCTATTCTCATCGTAGATAAGAGCTCCGTCATGGTATTGCTGACTTTGCAAAATTCTTTCGCATTGTAATCGATCGAGGGACAAGCTGTGTCGGCGTATATTGATTACCATGCCCTAGCAAAAGTATCTAGAGCTTCATACATTGATCAGACACATGCTCCCGCGTCTGTAGACGATAGGTGACGGATTAATGCATCTCGGATTGAACGACAGCTAACGATGCCCACAGAGCCTGACATCCTGTACCATTTAGGAAATTCGATCACCACATATCGTGGCGCAGCAATGCACGACTGGAGATGTTCAGCGTTGGAGCTCAATTCTAATCCCCACGTCTCATGAGGTATACTCTCGCCATCTAAACCCATCATACCCGAGTGGAGCCAACGATTGATACGGATGAACCGGCCTTGGCTACTTTCCGGTTCCGAATATGATCGACAGTACCTGCATATGCTCATGCAGCTGCCTGGTTTCAAGTCACTATTGGTATCTTCTAAACGGTGAGGTGCGTTGCCTGTAATAGGCAGATGCCTAATCCGGACTCTAGTACATTGGGCCGAATAGAACACTTGGTTGGAAGGGTTTCGGGGTTTAATCTGCTCGCCCTGCGAAAGGTTGTTAGTCGTTGCCCTAGGACCCAGACCCAGAGGCTGAGACTGATAGTGATTGCATGTCGTGATCAGGCTAAACTGCGGGAGGATCTGCTAGTAGGCATGTAATCATGGCGGATCCTTCGGTGCAGCCGGCATTCGGAAATGCTCTCGCCCGTAGCAATTTAGTATCTGAGGCATGATCCTTCCTTGCCTGATGAACCTTGGCAGACGTCGGCAATTGGCTTCTATAAGAGAAGGCCATGTTCGATGAAAAGATATATAAGCCAGGATCCCTCCCATCCTTCAACACTCTACAGACTCAGACAATCGGATCAGCCTCTACACGCAGTCAGAAATATACCCTCCCTCAACGCTATCAAGATGGTTCCCAAAAACATCCTCGCCATTCTGGCTGCTGCCCTTGCAGTGCAGGGCAGCCCCATGGAGAAACGTGCAGTCGTGAATCATGACTCTATCACTCCATTCCCCGAGACCGTCCCCAATACCGCCACCGGAAATGCCTATAAGAAGTTCGAGCCGTATCTACACATTGCACATGGCTGTCAATCCTACCCGGCCGTTGCCGACAACGGTGATGTGAGGTAAGTCATGTATATTATTTCACAAGGCACAAAGCCCCAGTGCACTATTGTAAACAAGATGAAGGTTGCAAATTCACTAACCTTTGGGTAGTGGAGGGCTTCAAGACACCGGTAGCGCCACGGGCGGTTGCCGTGACCAGAGCAAAGGGCAGACCTATGTGCGCGGTGGCTGGCACAATGGGCGTTACGGTATCATGTACGCATGGTATATGCCAAAGGACATGCCCAACAGCGGAGTTTCAGCGGGTGCGCACCGCCACGACTGGGAGAATGTTGTTATCTGGGTCAACAACCCAGCCAACGATAACCCAACCTTGCTGGGAGGTGCCGCATCGGGTCACGGCAGCTACAAGAAGACGGACAACCCCCCGCGAGAGGGTGATCGGCCCAAGGTGGAATACTTCACCAGCTTCCCGACCAACCATGAGCTGCAGTTCACTAATACACTTGGCCGCGATCTACCACTCATTGCCTGGGAGTCTCTTCCTGCAGCCGCGAGACAGGGGCTGGAGAGTGCCGAGTTTGGGAAGGCCACCGTCCCATTCAAGGACTCAACTTTCCAGGGCAATCTTGAGAAGGCTGCTCTTTAGGGAAATTGAGATATCCTTGTCTGGCTAGTCATATAGATGACAACTCGTGGCAATCTAGTACAGGAACATCCGCAATTTGGATTTGGTTATGGCTGAGAAGTAGCATGGCACAAGATCTGCGTAGGGGATCGGCGGTCAGGAATATATATATGTCTCTACCAAGTCGTAACTAGACTGACGAATGGCTGGATTAGCCTGATATAACTCGATAGTATAGAACAAGATATCTTAGGGGTTATGTCGGCACACTAAATTGTGCTCACATTGAAGCTCGAAGTCCTATTATTATGTGTTTATCTTAACTATCTAAGTTTGGGAAGCCCGTTACTATAAACTGCGTAGTAGCCTACTCTTATCTCTATACCCTCGTACACTCTGCAGAACAAGGGGAAACGGTTAAGAAGTATAGTACAGAGTCGCTGATAGCAGACCTTAATAACAAGAAAAAGATTGCCATTTAGATAGTCGCGCTCAATATTACTATGACCAACTATACAAAATAGTACAACATACAGAGCTATATGTTCGTGCCCGGCCTTGTCTACGGACGCGGCGAGGATATCGGTAACAAGATATCGATCTAAGAGATCTCAATTGTACAAGCCGTACAAGCCGCGCGTCGAGAATATATTGTAGATTCTGATAACCCGGTATATAATCTTTACTATATCCTAACAAGGCTATGATCATGACTATTCTTGGTAGATATGGCCGATTTGCCACGTCGTGGATCCCGCGACACTGTACCTGGAGATCTTGCGAAGTATCTTATTAGGAGAAAATATTGGGTACGGTAAAATTGGATATCATCTGGCGTTGTCTGGAATTAAAAGTTCACTGTATCTTTGCGAAAGCCTTGTATAACGGTAGTATTGTCGACGACGAGAATATCAGCTATACTGATAAGAAGATCTATCTCCTATATTCCCGGTCCGCCCAGTATACCAAAGACAATATAGAATATTACCGATAAAGCTCTATTGTATTCTATTACTGAGGAGATTACAGCCCAAGGCTATTATATCTTACACTACAGTAGTACCTCTTCTAACATTGAACACCTTCACACCTACAGCAATCAACAACTCCACCGAGAAGCCCAAAGCAACAGGCCAAGAATATAACATACCAGGTTAGCTTCTTAAAGGCCGAACCTTTGTGGTATTCGAGTTGGGGCGGGTTCGGGCCGGGCTGAGTCGCCAACTCTTAAGTGAATGGGAGTCTGCACGTAGGAGAGTCTGAGCGAGGACCTCCGACGTTGGATAGATAGCCTCATACAACCCGTACCCTAATGATAAGAACAAGAAAGTACTTCCCAACTCAACTAGTTAGCACTAATCAAGTCTTTGTAGGCCACGGCACCAACCATAACCCTGGTGACAAGTCTAGTCCAACGAGGTTTCCTTAAAGCGAGGCGAAGAGAAGGAGAGCGCCAGAATGGACTCCGGCCGCATTTGTGCGATCACCTTGTCTCTGTGTGTGTACTTTCCACGACTAATTGTTTATCAAAGGCTTCCAAGGCCGGTAGGCGTTTCTCGAAACGCGTGAGGGCTCCCGGCCAAACGCGCGCATAATCCAAGAAATGAACGGTTCGAAGGGTTGGAAAAAGGGCCTAAACCACAACATCACCGAATCCTGATTAGCGAGATTACACTGATTGCAAGCATAGTAGCACTCTACGCACAGAAATCCGATCTAACACGGTATCCCACTGTTCTTGGCTCAGCCCATATTCGTTTCTACCGAATTCACTGTCAAAATACGGATCAATCTCCAGTATCTTTAGGGATGGACACTGCAGCGGTGGAACATAATCTAGATTTTCTGGGCAGTACAGGCACAGCCGCTCGAGGTTCGGAAAAGTCACTTCTTGAAGTAGACGATCTTGGGCGTCTGCATTATCTTTGTTGACCGTGACCAGGTCGGCTTGCTTGACCAAGTTTGCGTACAGCTGTTTGCGAGAAGGATCAAGAAATCCCGCAAAGCAGCCCGGGAGATCGGTGTCCCAGTGGCCACCAGATAGGCGTGCCCAGATAAACCGGATAGCCTCGCTCCACCACAGTGAATTGACCAGGCTGCATCGAAGCAAGACGCCACGCTTGCCGTAATAACGAGCCTCGGGGAAATTGCTCCAGTCAATCTCACTCAGTGAACCGAGCTTGCTCCAGTCGATACTTTCATAGAAAGCATCCTCCGCCTCATTGGCTAGTACCGTACAAGAAAAAGTGTCATCCTGGTTAATCCAAGCGAAGATTTCGCACAGGAGCTCTGGCGAGGAAAGCACACGACCAGTCGCTGTCAGTGATAAGTATGGCCTGTCTGGATCATAAGATGGGCTCCCCATGCTTAGAAGGAATAGCGCTGCAGGATGTATGCGGCCGGCCCAAGTCTTGAACAGCAAAAGATCCGGTTGTTAGAACTGACTATGGCCGATATGTTGCTGCTAAGCTTCGCCTCGAGCCATCGGAACAGAATGGTGGGGCGCAGAGGTTGAAGCTTTGTCGAGGCACTATAGATGCATGCCAAGAGGCAGATCTGACGATCTTAACCCATTATGTTTCAGAGAGGAAAGAGACAGGCGGCCCTGTATCAGCCAGATGATGACCACAAGCAAGTCGTTCGACGTGCACCATGCCCCCTGACGGCCAAGACAGCGCCACTTGCGCCTTTTGTATGTCTATTGAATGCAGCACGCATGCTGGCACTGCAGTAGGGGGAAGTGAATATCACGATGAATTATTCCACTCCCCTTGTGAGAGATGCTTCGAGGCAGACAGGGCCACATATCCTGACCTTTGCCAATTCTGCCGGCACCTGAGGCTGCCACATTTGGGCTTGTGCGTAGAGTTCCAACTGCCCTGTATTCTAGAGATTAAGCTCAGACGCCCAGAGGATTTGCACGCCGGGAGTTCATGTTCCTTCTGCAGGTTTCTTTTTGACGCGATCTCTACCCACGGAAACATCGCGAGGTTGAGTGACAATGAACTTTGGGGAGTTATGCCAGTCCTCAAGATTTCCTCCCGTTCCTTAGAATTACGTTTGTGCAGCAGCGACGATGTCCTGCTATTTTTTGTCTCACTCTCAATTTTCAACGTAGGAATCACCTGGGCGTCATCCGTGTGGAGGAAATTGCTCAACCGTTATCGGCCGCCGGCAGACACGCACGGAGCGCCAAGTCGATATATCGATTGGAGAAAGGCTCGAGTATGGATCGAGCAGTGTCCTTCTCCCCACGGATTACCGCGCAACCTAAAGGTCATTGATGTCCATCAGAATCGCGTGGTGGACGCACCGGCAGGGTGTAGATACCTGGCCCTCAGCTATGTCTTTGGGGAAGTGAAGGCCGAACATATGACGCTCCCAGATGCCCTTCCTGCCACAATTCGCGACGCTATCATTGCTTGTCAGAATCTTGGAGTGCAATATCTCTGGGTTGACCAGCTCTGCATTAACCAGAATGACCCGTGTGTTTTGCAAGAACAGATCGATCAGATGCATGATATCTATCAACACGCTTTATGTTCCCTGGTAGCATTGACAGGCGAGAATTCAAACTGTGGATTGCCTGGTGTGACTGGAGCTCGGCCACAGGTCCAAAATGTCGTCGAGATAGCCGGCATCATGTTCACCAGCTTGATGCCGAACATACACGACTGTATCAAGTTCAGTAAATGGGCTACTCGTGGCTGGACACTCCAAGAAGCTATCTTTTCCGATTGCTTTCTTTTCTTTACCGACTATGGCATGCATTTTGTGCAACGGGACGCTCTCAGGATCAAGGGAGCCCAGATCAAATCAGACGTCATCTCTGGCGTTCCGGCAGAGTTTACACTTCCTTCTATGGACAAGTTCTGGATCATGCTGGGGATGTATAACGCGAGAGATTTATCATATTCGGAAGATGCGTTACGCGCCTTTTCAGCTGTGCTACGGTCCACATACGGCGACAATACCTACTACGGACATCCTCGACAGCAGATTGACAAAGCCGCTGTATGGCATATGGTAGGGCAGAGAACTGCTTCTAGGATGCGAACTATGTTTCCTTCCTGGTCCTGGGCTTCCAACTCTGGCCCCATTGGGTTTTTGAAAGCGAATGCTGCACTGGCTGTCTGGGCCACGCCAGAAGGATCCACGGATTCTGGGACCAATATCATCGTCTGTACGCCAGCTTCAGATGAGGCCTGGGGGGAACGAGGCATCTCCAGAGAGAGCCGCGGCTTAGTAAATGAGCACCAAATTGCCCGGAGGCAGAACCTATTTCTTACAATCGACGTAGCCTGGCAGGCAGGGAGCATCAAATGTTCACGTCTGTTTGAGTCTGGTCTGCATTGGTCCAGAGCTGCCACACTGGCTGAGCGGTGGCCAACCTATGGCGCCTACTGGCACAGCACGCTGGGGAGATATAGTATTGATACTATCTTCCCCGAGCAGGACCGTGCGACCGCCGCCTCTGCTGACGGCCGGATTCTTCTCCACGGCCAGACTGCGCCCTTCCCTTTAGCAAGTACCGAAATGTCTTTGCATAAAACTGGTAAGCTTCGGATAATGTCGCCAGACGGCATGGTTGCGGGTGTAGTTGTCGTGCCATCGTACTACGAACCAGGTGGCGATGGAGAATTTGTCGCGTTATCCATAGGCGATATCGATGGCCTGAATCTTAGATACGAGCTGTATGACTTTGCACGTTCAATGAGAGTGAGCATCGATGAGTTCATTGAAGGCCTCCTTTTCTATGACAGTGACGGCCATAGTTTCCCTCCTCCATGGGATGCCAGCTTCTTGGCAGCGCGGCAATGTGTGATCGTCCTCAATGTGTTGCTCATTGAACGGGACGAACAGAGCAACGTTGCTCGCAGATTGGGCCTGGGATACGTGTTTCTCAAACGATGGGCTGAGGCGAAGCCTATATTTGAGACTCTAATTCTGGAGTAGGAGCATGGTAGGCACTGGAGTAGATCGTGGCTGATTTGTGGAACCTGTGCCAATTGAGGTCGGCTATATGTCTTTCTCGATATAGGGCTGAAGCATTTAAATACCTATCGAAACAGTCCCCCACCTTCCCGCCCCCACGGCTAGACGAGGCTGAAGCTGACTCGATCTCTTGAACCCGTTTCCTCCTTCTGGTTGCGACACCACAGCCTCCTCCCAAGGCCAAACATACATATATCGTTCCTCGCTGGAAGCTGGCGCAAGCAACCAAAATGCCACCCATCACCAAGTTATGGCTTAGCATAGTTAAGACCAGGGATTGCATGGACTCGAGCGACTTCCACGACCTCCTCGCCCAGATTCTGAGCCATTGCTCCTCTTACACCAATCCCGAGTCCAACCCGGACCTCCCACCTATGCACGCCTTCTTTCAAAGTGTCGAGAATCCAGGCATCCTCCTGATGATAACGGGCTATCCTTCCCAGGAGATAAACAATGCGGCGGACAAAACCTACGCAGCGACCTTTCTGCCCCGTATGTTCCAAGTCGTTGAGCATAAATGGCTAAAGCAGTTGGACTTGGATGTGAGATTGTTGCCCTTAGGGGACGATGATTTAACGATCCAATTCCGTGACACTCCTCTGGATCCGGGCACAGGCCAGGCAATTGGGGGATGGGATGTGTGGCTAGAGACGGAGCAAGCGATCAGAATGAGAGAAGCTGGTAAAGTACAGGACCTGCCGAAGGTCTGGGTAGGCATCGGGAAGAAGGCTGAGGCAGAGCTCCCTCTGGCCAGAGACGTGATCCACATTCGCAAGGTTAAAGCCGCGTAACTGCGTCAGAGGATGTGGTGGATGAGTCGAAGACACATGAAGGTTATCGCTCTCAGACTGCTGTACATCGATGTGGATGAATATTGCTATGCTGTCTATGTACGACCGAGGGCAGCAATAGTCGCTAGGCGTCTACGAAGCGTAGTCTAGCGAATGAACAAAATGCATTTAATGTATACAGTCAACTAAGACTTACCCGATTTCCTGCCTGACTCCTTCGAAAGCCTGCAGCAGAGTCGCATCGTCAAGCCCCTTTGCGATCAAACGTACGATGACAGGTGCGTCCTTTTGCTGTAGTCAAAAGCTCCGCTTGCCACAAAATCGCTCATGATTATTCTGGGGCAAGTAGAGCCTTGCCTAGATTGATCGTTGTCGTACTCCCGCAAGGCCTGTACATTCACCAAGATTTGCAGGGCGTTCTCCTGGCCAGATGGCATTTTTTCGTCGACGTCAAGATATACGAGTGTTTACACTCATTCCACCACCTCTGTCAAAGCTCATATAACTATGGGTGCGGGAGCAACAACGCCTGCTCTTGCTTGCCAAGGAAGCGGGCGGTTGTTTGAAGCGGCCTTTGACAGGAGGGTTATGGATGCACTCAGAATCTGCCATTCGATCGCTCTAGGACCGAACGGATTGGGCGTAATTGGCCCCGGATACATACAATGAAACGTGGAGACTAGAGTTCTAACAGCCAAGGCGCAAAGGCCTATCGTCCGAATGCAGGTCGAAAAGGTTAGGTCTTCGAAGGAGTCTAGGTTGAGCTTCGGCCTGGGCACAGCCATGAATCCTTTGTTGCCAGCGTCTTGGCAAGAGATTATCGGCCACGTCAAGGACCCATAACGATCTAACTCTACTCCCCCACCATACAATACTAAGCGCCGAGCGAGACAGTTGAAAAGACCCTGGTATCCAATGCAGTTCCACGGAACGTGGACGGCCTGTGTATCTCATCAAGGTTTCCATGAGCAGTGGTAGAGCTTCAGCTCGAAACTGAACCCGTGAGTTCATGAAAGGCCGCAATTGTGATACCGCATCCTAGCTCTAGAGTTTATTCTAGCCATTACCATGATCATGGCAGACACCGCCACTTAGAAGATTAGTCTCGGAAAAGTACGGAGGGTACTGCTCCGCAGTGGACATTCAACAGAGCATGCCGTGAGATTAGCCCTACTTGGCGGGCGGGCCTCTGAGCCTCAACTGGGCTTTACCTACGGGAATGAGTTTCGACCTATCTGTGTGGGTGAAGCAAGGTTGGGTTAAAGTTACTCGAAGGAGGCCTTGGGAGTAGCGATAGAGATGTGATGTTGCATACTCATACGTGTCGTGTGTCAAGATATTGATCGTAGGTTTCAACATGACCATGATGCACAGCCAAAGGTACTTTTCACAACCACACAGCTTCTAGACAATTTGAATCAACTACTTGGAGTGGAGGGTTACGCAGGCTAGCTTAAGGTCTTGGACCCTGACATTGCCAACCTATAGAAGACGTTCTGCTTGGACACTCTGCGACCTGCTGTATCACCAGATTCATGTATGCTGTTTCGCCGGTGCCCTTACTGCCCACACATAACCCGAGACTTCGGCTACAGGCCTCTTGTTGAAAAGTGGCCAGGGATCTAGCCATCCGTGTACTACGAGAATCTATCGACAGAGGTTCCAGCGCTAATAGTGTTGTACAGGGCACTCTAAGCCTGTGGAGACCTTTGCCCCAAAGGTGTATACTGTCCTACGAAGTGCGATAAGACATGCCAAAGTCTGGCGTCTGCGATATGTCGCCTCTTGGCATTCCAGATACATAAATGATCACATCTTCCTGCATCAATCAGTCTCCTTTCCAATCCAACTCAGTACATTCATTCATTCGATCGTTCCATTCGTCTAGTCCAGAAGTCTGCGGCCGGCTCGCAATTCTGCTATCTTATTTTCCCCCAACAGTATACCTACATTAGTCTATCGTTTTACCATTCATTTCATTTCTGTGCTAGCCACATATCTGATCCCCAGTATTTCAACATGAAGTTCACTATCATCTCCCTCCTCACCGTTGCCTTTCTCTCCGTGGGCCCTGCAGGTGCGATTCCCGTCGACAACATGCAAGACCCTACCACTACCGAGGCAATGTCTCGGACCGACGATGCCACGCCAGCAGCTACCGGTGCAACCCTGATGTCCCATAACTTGGGTCACAACTGTACTGATGGCCATGCCCATGCACATGGAGAACACGAAGATGTCGATCCAGCCACCGCCACTACCGCCCCAGACAGTGACGATGGGGTGACAGCGTGGGTGAAGAGAGGTCTGCACGCAGCCGGCAATCCTGATTCCACGGGTGGTACTCCAGCAGGGGTCTCTTCCTCCGGTAGTCAGGGCAGTTCCATACCATCCCAGTCGGGCAACGGTCTAGGAAGCACCGGCCAAGCTGCCAACTGGATCCATGGTGTAAGTATCCACCCTACAGAGTAGTAGCCGGTCGTGTAACTAACCAACCAATCTATAGACCTGCACTACGCGACAGGGACAGCCAAAGGAAGGCGTTTGCCATGTCACCATGCCAGGTGATAACAAGGAAACCAAATTCAACTGTTCATCGGAGTTTCCGGTAAGATTGCTATCGTAATTCGATTATACATCGTGTGTACTGATGATAGCAGTGCTCATATCTTGGTTCTTGTGTTGTTGCTTCGAAGTTTGACGGCACGCCACGGCTGGCAACCTGCAGCTAAAGAGGTCTAGAGCAATGACACCTGATTATGGTGTCTTCCGCGGCTGTACTTCGGGGGTAGTGATCCCTCTTCTCGATTGGATCCCTTACTAGGCGGAGGACAAGTGGAAAATATATGGATTGGGACCTGGAAGTCTGTTGAAGATACTGGTTCTTAGTTTCTTCCCTATACAACCCGTCAATACATACACTTTCTGGACCTTTCCAACAATTGCTCGGTGCAGTTGCCAGCGCCTTGCTGCTGTCTGTGTAGACAAGAACCAACGGATGCCAGGTGGCAATGGTGTCGATCAGAGAAAGATTAGTAAGTTTGACATTTAAAGCATGCTATTCGGAAGGATGGAAGCATGTTCAGCTTTGGAGCCCTGGGTGAATGGGGAGGAGATCACATTTGAAGGCTCTGGTGACGGTTATCAACACATCTGTCACAGATTGAGCGGGTCCTTGTGCATATTGTGAATTCCGTGGCAATATGTGTAGACATAAGGATGTGCCCCGAATAGCCAGGGTGATTAGGTGTCGGGGAAGATGTCTTAATACTTCCAGATCATTTGTGTCAATGCCACCTCCCGATCACAAAACCTAGTGTCGAGCAACACCAGTAGCATCGCTCTCGGCCTCCCGTCGTCCGAATATGAGAGGTTTGTGTATAATACTCAAGCTGCCCAACTAGCCAATAGCCAGAAAAGTACGTAAGCAGAGCGTTGATCTGGGAAAACGCATATGATAGCTGTTTCAAAGAATCTCAGGTACGGCGAGCTTCGGATGTAGTAAGTATGGGTAAGTGTCATCGCATCGTAATAGACGTACTATTTTGCGCAGCTCCCCAAAGAGCCAAGACTTGGCACTGGGTGAGTCAACTTAATGCTCGATAGGTGTTCCTAATTGGAGTTGATTCTCAAGAGATCTGTGGTTGCCGTAGGGTTATTATGTGTGTATACACCGCGTACATGGTCCTCGGCACCACCATCCATGGTTCTGGGATCGAAGGATGGCTCCGAAAGAGTGGATAATGCAACACAAAACCAAAAGTAAACGAGGTCTTGACGTCAGAAGGATTGGGTTGAGTCCACAGAACACGAGCTATGCACAGACGCAGAATGTGGGATGAACCCTAAGTTGAACAACAAAAGCTGGCCGGCATCGGTAGAGGCTACCCGCACAACCCTCGGTGACTCTACTATTACTATCTTAGTATCGTGAACGATACGGCGAGTCTTAGCGTGCTGGACATATGACTAATAGTGCGTATGCCCCTAGATTTATATACGTTTCTCCTCGGACACCGACCCTCAACGGCGGCAATCAGTATCCTCACACCTTAACCACAACACTGAATCCTCTTTCACTCACCTCTCCTACCTTCATTCAAATGCTCGATTCTCAGAGGCCCTCTTTGCGTTCATAACCATGTCCTTCCCATGTCTCGCGCCGAGAGTCCCGTCACTCAGTTGACAAACGAAGAACTTGACCAGGTCCAAAAATACGTCATCGCGAGCTTTGCAGCCATTGTCTGGTACAATTCGATAGAGCTCATAGCACTTTGTCTAACGACCTTCAAGCGTTACCGGGGCTGGTATTTCTGGAGTTTGTTCATCGCGTCCTCTAGCCTCATTCCGCATGGCCTAGGCTTCATCTTTTTCATCTATCCACTTGGCGTCAGCCCTTATGCTTCGGTCACATTGATTATTGTAAGCTGGTACTGTATGGTCACCGGACACTCGCTTATCCTCTGGTCGCGTCTCCATCTGGTTGTACAGGCACGCAGGCTTCTCCGGTTCCTTCTGGTTATGATTCTAGTCGATGCCGTTGTATTTCATGTTCCTACCACTGTGCTCTTGTACGGGGCACTCGAGCCTAACCGCCGGCGGTTTGCGAATGGATACAGAGTAATGGAACACATTCAGCTCATTGGCTTCGCCGTGCAGGAATGCGTCATCTCCTCCATATACATCTGGGAAACATCGAAATTGCTACGGCTGCGCCCAGACCGACTTCACTATACCATTCTCACGCAACTTCTGGGCATCAATATCATCATCCTAATCCTCGACGTGGCCGTGGTAGGGATTGAGTATGCAAATCTCTACGCTCTGCAGGTGATGTTCAAGCCGGTTGCATACAGCATCAAGTTCAAATTGGAGTATGCCATCCTAGGGAAGTTGATCCAAATCGCGAGGGTATCATTATCGAGCGACGAGCCGCTATCCTCCAATTCACAAGGAGCCGATCTCTCTTCCTCTACTCAGGTCAGCTCCCATGGGAATGCCCCCCCTGCTCATGATATTCCCGTGCTTCGCTCGTGCTCATTCTGTGCCTTGTGTACGGGCTTTCGGAAATATCAGCGCCAGCGGTCGCGTGTTTGAGAGATTTGAAATCTGTTCCATATGTTCCACTAGCAAAAAGGCGTCATGCAAAGTCATCCGATGGTCCGTCCGCTTGTTGCCTTCTTTGCACCTCGCTTTCAGCAAGAACCTTTCAACTCAAATGAGTCATTCCGGTACTCTTCTCCCGTAATGAGGTTCGACTTCATTTGTGTTCGAAGGCGAATGCCCTAGACGAGATAACGGGTATCGGAAGAAATACCTTCTCGCGATTGGGACCCAAAGCTGGAGATGTTTACGCCTTGCAGGCGGCCTTAGGGCACATGGGCCAGAACGGTTGTCCTGCCATTTGGTCATGGAAGAAAGTAATCGTTGAGCGACTGATCGGACTGTCTTACCAATGGCGGCTATCAAACCAGCTATGATTGGAGTAGTCATGTCTGAGATAGTCATTCCAGTGGAAGGGTGGGTAGAATGAAGGCGTCGTCCGGCGGAAAGGTTGACCCTTCATAAGGAATACGCACCTAACGCAGATCGCCAAGCCCAATGGGATTCGATTATAAGGAGACTCAAGAATGATTTCCTTATTCCATAATTTTGAGGATCGTGCGCAATATCACGGATCGGCTGATCGCTTCGACCGAAGTACCAATAACGGTACATCGGAGGGCAAGGCCCACTTCTACCTCATTCTTCCTGTCTTTCTCATGGTTGCGACCCCGTTGGTGCCTCCTCTCTTGACACAATGGGCTCCGCGAATCAAAGCTGAAGATGCGCACCTTAAGCTCAAGAAGCACCGCTAGCTAGCAGGACGGTAGTTGAGTGCCCCGCGGACGCGCATGTGGATGTCTGTCATGAACGTATCCTCCGGTTAAAAAGGTTAACCACTCTCTGCTTTGTTGATACCCCAGCCAGTTAGTCGTTTGTGCAATATACTTTCGCCCTGTACCAGCTGTCCATAGAATGATTCAGATGGACCTATCATATACTCTGTGATTAGAAGGCTTGCCGCGAAAGACCAGTTCATTTGACCGAGTCATGGATGGGAGCGATCTCGTAGTCCATCTAGACCTATATGCTAGTGTATCAGCCAATTTAGCAAGGCTTTCCTTCGTCTCGCTCTTTGTTCATGCGTGAGACTGGCTGCTTCAGGGTGCATAACAATATCATGAAGCCATAACCATTCTCTTGGCTCTGAAGGCATATCCTTGCTTGATCGGAAAACACCACGCCAGGGAGTTGTCGCTGTTGCTGCCACCTTGCCGACAACGTTCACCAGGCGGATGTCATATATTTTGAGAACTATCTGCTTCCAGCGCAGGCCTGAGACAGTCACATTTTGAGCGAGCTTGGGAGAGTATCCTGCACGATGCCCCTTTCTTTCCCTTTGTGTTATTTCTTTTCGTAAGTGTTTCTTGTCCGATATTTGCTTCATATCCTATCCCTTGCACTTCTCTTGGCACCCGAGCCGAGCCGATTGCATCGAGATCTCGGGATGCCCTCCCGAAACAAGTACCCGTGGGGGGTGTTTATATACGCAGCCGATGTCTTGTCGGGCTTGTGCAATGCTTAGTCCCGATGGCCACCTGTCTGAGCGAACTGTCTCACAAGGGCCATGGTGACACTATGCGAAGTTGTTTTGCAAAACGTCTCGTGAGCCCGAGCGGTCCTTTGTAGATATTGTATTCCTGGGCACTCGGAAGAAACTTAATGGATGAACCATTCCCAATGTACGATAATAGCTCCGAGGATCCTCGGTAGGCCCCCGACGGGGCAAGACCCTAGTCCAACGACACATTCAGGAGACGGCAAGGCTGGAGAGTGCGGAACTTGGAATAAGCTTGTGGAGAGTCCGGCTAAATCCCCAGCGGCCAGAAGAACTGGGGAGCCGCTCGGGGTAAAAATGAGCCGGAGCTGGGACCCCAGGAAACTAGTGATTTTGCTCGGAACATGCAATGTTCTCATTCTTTTCTGTCGGAGTTGTTGGGAGCCTCCACACGCGACGATCCAATGAACAGTAGCCAAAAGCTGTATTATGCCCATAGGCGATTGCGCACACTGTCCAATAGGACCAGCGATAAAGATATTTACTGCGGAGGAAAACCCTCCAGCGATCTGATGACAGGCGCACTAGGTTATAGAATGTTCTTTGGGCGGTTCTGGTATGCATGTCTCGTTCTTGTCTTCCACTAAGTGTGAAATTAGTCGCCTTACCATCAGGAGGGAGGGAAAGAATCGCGCATTTACGCAGATGATGAATGCAGGGACTCTCATTTTTCTTGCCATATTCGGATCAACTGGTCTGTGCACACATTCCATCCTCTGGTGAAGTGAACTAGTCTATAGCTTCGTACGGGATCCGCAGCGCTCGGGACCTGAACCCGATCCTCGGATTCGGTATGCCAGAATCCGGGTTACCCACCGCATGAAAGCCTTGCCTAGGAATCTTGATCTGGAAAGTTTGAGCTTGGGCAATAGCTTGGAGGTCAGATGTGCTAGCCTGGATCCTTGGCATAGTCTAGACGCCTTCTCCAACACAGTTGATGTGCTCAGCAGGTGTTGATGACGATCCGGGGACCCCGATGCCTCCCGAGAAGCGATCCACTCGTCCAGAAATGGTCAATGTCTGGAGAAGGGGAGTCGGTTACCACTCAGGATGAGCGATGATCGACCTTTAGTAAGGGTTCCTGTCTGGCTCGTCGAACGGTTTCCCCCAATCTTCACTTGCAACTCTGCATATAAAGAGGAGTGGAGATCGCGATGGGACACATGCCACTGCTCACACGCTACCCTCGAATCCTTCCACCCTTGTCGCGTCGAAATCGACCCTCCCTCAAACAGGCTGCTCCCAATCAATCTCAATAGCCGGGACCCGGTGAGCGATGTCCCCGATGTCCATCTTCCAGGACGCCTTAGGGCGTTCTCGAACCAGAGAGGGTGCCGACTCAGGTAAGCATTGTTATCACCGAAAGCAAGGCAAACACTGACGGTGGTAAAGAAGACGGACAGATATCGGATGAGAACCCTATCACTGTGACCTGGGATGGAGAACATGACTCGGCCAATCCGTACAACTGGTCGCTTGCACAAAAATGGACATTGACTCTGCTCGCCGTGTTCACCACATACATTACAATGATGAATGGCACGATTATCACAACAGCACACGCTGCAATTACGGAGGAATTCCATGTCTCAGAGCATACCTTCCCCCACTCGTACTGGCCTGTGACATCATGGGCGCTAGGAGGATGTTGTTCTTCGCTCTTTATTCTTCCCTTGATGGAGGATCATGGCGTGCGGCCGATATTCCTGTCAGCATATGTAGTATTTATATGCTTCCTCGTCCCCCAGGCCGTGGCCCAGAACTTTGCCACTCTCATCGTGACCCGATTCTTCGCTGGCAGCAGTGTCGCAGTTTTGGCTAATACATCGGCCTCGATCATTGGGAATATCTGGGAAACGGAAAAGTCTCGGTCTATCCCCGTGAGTCTGTACATTTTCTCGTACCTCGCCGGTAGCAGCACGGGCCCCGTCCTTGGCGCCGCGATCTTTGAAGGATTGACATGGAGGTGGATTGGGTACCTCCAGCTGATTTGGTTTGGTGCACTTCTTCCAGTATATTACTTCCTGTTTCAAGAGTCGCGTGGTGCTGTCATACTCGCTCAACGTGCTCAAGCACTGCGGAAACAGGGAAAGCCGGCGTTCACTTTGCTGGAGATGGAGGGGCAGACGGGCTCGGTGTTCAGTCGCTTCGTTCAAAGTTCTACAAGACCCCTGGTTCTGGTATGTACAGAGTCTGTGGTCCTAGTTTCCACACTGTGGTCCGCTTTTACTGTGGGCACACTGTTCCTTTTCACCCAGTCCGCGGAGCAAGTGTTTGTGGAACTATATGGCTGGACGAACACCCAGGCGGGATATGTCCAAGCGGCCATTGTGATCGGCGAGATTTTGGGCTGGCTAGCCAACCTATTCTCTGCAAAGCTGTATTTTGGTTCTGCCTCGCGCAACACTGAATGCCCAGGGGTTCCTATTCCGGAGGCCAGATTGTATCTGGCGGTGATTGGAGGCGTCCTTGGAATTGCTGGCGGCATGTTCACGTACGCCTGGACCTCCTTCGCCCATATCCCCTGGATCGCCCCGGCGATTGGCCTGGCGATGGTGGGAGCCGGCAGTGTGATCGTCGTGGCAGGGGTCTCGGACTACGTTGTCGACTCGTACAGCAAGTACGCTGGCAGTGCCATGGGTGCAGTCGCCACCGGGGAGAACCTGTTCTCGGCTTTGCTTCCCCTCGCGACGATGAGTATGTACACCAATCTGGGATTCCAGTGGGCCAGTACCACATTAGCATTCATCTCCCTCGTCCTCTCCCTGGCGCCCACTTTGATGTTCATCTGGGGCAAGCAAATCCGTGCACGAAGTCCGTTTATCATGGAAGCAACGCTGGGCTCGGAGCGTAAGGACGCTGTTGCTGTGTAGCGAGCCACCCTGCCCGTGAGACCATTACGTGCTATGAATCATTAGACATGAAAACGATAGATAGATATCTACATCTTATAGACAAACAAATACTTGAACTATTGCCATGGTTACCAAAATATCACACACAGCGTACATGCTGGCCAAGATGATGTATGAAACCTTCGTAGCTAAGCGCTGTAGGCCACCAAGACCTGCATCTAATTATGGTGGGCGAATCTGCTGGTAGGAACCATAAAGGTCTTCTAAACGAGACCAGGAGACGTGGGCCCAACACCAAGTAGTCTACGTTGTTTAGGCCGACTGAGTTCCAGGGTCTGCGAACGATAGACACGAAGGAGCTTTCAATCAATTAGCACTTCAACCAGAAGATAGGGTTGGTGAGGTCCATCCTGCAGCACGAGCACCCTCAAGCGAGGAGATCACGGCTGCTCGCGTAGTCGACTCAGCAGCACCTGCCCGTGCTAGTTCTCAAGATAAACTACAGAACGTCAGAATACCCCAACGTGATTTGTAGTGAGATATCAGAGACGAACGTCATCCATCTGGGCATGAGGCGTAGGTTGTGTATTAATGGGTGTCAACAGTACAAATACAAGGCGCCACCGGGTGCAATTTCGAGCCCCCAGGGAAAAGGATGTGTTTCCCTGGGAAACAATGGAGACACTGCGATCAGGCTCAGCACTTTCTTCTATTATTCTAATGCTTGAATGACTGGAACTCCCTTGGGCAATTCAACCAAACGGATATGCGACAACACTGCCATCCATCCAGTCCTGGCCGGCATTCAAGACGTAGGGCATTTCCGAGCCGCCGATCTGATCCACAATGGAAAGGAATTCGTAGGAAGAGATGCCGATGACATTGTCCAGAGGATCAACGCTGGCCGTCAAAGACTGATTTACGGAGGGTGACTGGGCTGACGACTCTGTGAAGGTTGGAGGCTCTGTCGTGGGCGTTTGTCCCCGGCATTCCTGACTAGGGTTTTCATCCGGTCCAGCCTCTGCCAGTCCCCGGCCAGACAAGGTGAGGACTTGCAGCCCTTCCTGCTGTACGCGCTTCGCGAAGTCGTGGAACAGCCCCTCGATGCAGCGCAACTCATCCTTTCGGACCTCGGCCACCTTATTCCCACACAGAATCATCTCATCGAGGATTGCATGCGCAGACTTGCTATACGTGTCATCGTTGGTACCCGGTGGGTAGAGCGTGTTCGCCATGGTCAGATGTAGCGCAGCTGCGTATGTAAATTCGAGATCGAAGGGAAGGAAGGTTTCTGGAATCATGTCAGTTGAAATATCTTCACCCAGGTAATGGGTCCCCATCATTTAGCGTACCGAGGTGGCCATTTTCGTCCGACAATATTTGAAGTGTCTTCTCGGCCGACTTGATCCCAATGAAGATCAAGGATTTGGGGAGAGCTAAAAACTTCTGCCAGTCTTCTTCTGCACGCCCTAGCTTCTCTAGGCGTTCTTTCAGAACCGACAAAAGCAGAGGCCTGGTGGCGACGATCACGCACTGGGATAAGATTGATTAGCACATCCGGCCAGTTCTCGAACGCTTAAGATGTGACACCCTGCAAGTACCTCATGGTATTGTAATATTATATGACGCATCTCCTGAGGCACATTATCCATCGAACCCTGGAAGCTAATCTGCATCATCTTCTCGATCTCCTCAGCATGCTTAGCCATGGCGTGCAAAATGTTTCTCGTAATCTCTAGAAACCTTCCGAGCTGTGTCTTCTCCGTTTTATAGATGGCTATCCCCAGACACGTCAGAGATGAACCGGATTCTAAACCGATATAGGTCGGAACTTACTGCTTAGAATAAAGGACAGCATCTGTGATAGCCTCACTTGCAGGCTAAATGTGATGTCGTGGAAACCCATGCTCGGGGTGTTGATCAGCGTACTGATGTCGCTGTCCTTGGTCGTCATCGGGAGTCCCAGTGACGAGGAGACATGTCTGTCCATGATGTACAGGGTCCACCAAAGGTTTCGGCATCGGGTTACCGTTGCAGTGCCCAGTTCCGTTTCAGGAAGCTGGGTGTGTAAGCCCTCCATATGGGCGATGCGTACCGCATGACCGACCTACACAGCACAGCGCGTGTGTTAGCGAGGAACCTCTAGCTGATCACCCATGCTTACGTGTACGTGAGCCGCCTCTCGGTGGTCGATTGCATACAGATATAACCCGGCCAGGGCCAAGGTCTCGATGGCCAACAGACTATCCTTTCCTGTGGAGGTATGGTTGGGCATGATAGACATAGCGCGCGCAAAGTACTTTGCGCCGGGTGGAGTGGAGTGGCCTCGAGGCCGTGACACGAACGCATTTCCAAGTGCCAGCACCAGCAGAAATTGTACAAACCAGAAACGAGGCTTGCTCGCTTTCTCAGCTGCATCGCTCGCGTAGAAATCATGCATCTTAGAAACAAAGGTATCTTCATCAAAGAATCGGTACATCTGGCCCAGGTGAAACTTGACAATATTGAACAGGTATAAGGCATAATCCGCCGACGGCAAGCCACTCGTATCAAAAGGTTCAGTGGCTGTGGCGCGGTCCCATGCGAACGGATAGATATCCCCATCCAAGTAGAACTTCGGAATATTGTGTGTCGAATTCAGATCGAGCTTCTCGGTCATCATGACCATCAGTCGAGCTGTGAGTGACCATGCCGAGGTCGGGGCCAGCCAAACTGTTCTCCGTGTCAGCCAACGCTCTATGATCAATCCTGGATGACGGACGAACTCCAATTTCGCTGTTCCATGTGTGGATCTTTAATGACGGTTGAGGGTAACGTGAAGGGACTCGTCCAGATGTTGCATGTAAACTCGCTCCCCTGTGATGCTGCGGATCCCTCGGATTGGGGGGCTACAATTTCTGCGGCGACCTGGTCATCATGGACCACGCTCTCCTCGCGGGCGCCATCCCCAACCTTGAATGCTGAATCCCACGAGCGTTTGATTCCTGAAGCACGTTGCCAGTTGTAGGCTTGCTTTTGCAAATCACGCAGATACCTAGTCCATCGTCCCGTTACCCCTTGGCCACTCGACGGGGGGCTTGGCAAATGACGAACCTCTCCGACACGAGCACTTTGCTGTTTGCTTCTGAAAACTGGCACGTAAGTGATCGTCGGACACAGTTGGCGCAGGGTTCATCGCCAGAGCATTTTACCTTGCTCTGGCGACACGCGATACACCTAAGCACACTCCTCAGTAACACGGCCCCCTTTCCAGTACCAGGGAACGGGAGTACCTTACGCAATGGCAGTTCGTCTCGGCTTATGGCTCTGTTCTTGCATGCCTGCTCTGCTGTCCAGATACGGGGGGGATGAACTGGCAGACCTGGAGCTCTGGGGGTCGCCGGCACAACACCGTCACTGCGTGGACACATTTTTGGGTATTTTTATCAGAATAAAAGCACACCCCGCACGACGGGAACACTTTGCCCTTTTCAGCTGCCCCACGTGAATGGTCAATTCGCGTCGGCGCCACCAAAAAACATGGCATTGGCGTCCATCATTCGTGCGTTACCAGTTTCCCTTCCAGGGCAACGCTGCCTCACGTGCGCATCTTAGACTCTCTCAGCCCTCGTGGAGAGCCACCCCCTTATACGGACTTCAGTAGTGAAAATAAACAATATTATATGATAGATAAGAAAAACAATGCAACTATTCTAGTAGTACGAGATAACTCCCAGTAAACTACTGCAAAAATAAAAAATAAAAAAAAATACAGGGCCTTGGAAGCAAAAGAGAGATAAATAAGCAAACATCGTGGAGGACTGACTCTCCACGGTGTATATATACCCAACCATCTATCCCTGCCAGGGATGAGATCAGGCACCAACTTCCATTCGACTTCTAGAAATCTCGATATCGTATGAGGTAGGGTAACGATAGATCTACTCTATATGTGAGACGACATTCTAGACCGTCTGCGAGCATCATGTTAGTTGAGAAAACGCTCGGCGTTGGAAACAGGTGAACAAGGGTTGTGTTGGCAGGGAGTGGGTCCCTTTCGGAAGGCCTGCCGGTGTTCTCCTCGGACGCGCCGACCACGTCCACCGTTCAATCGATAACTTCTCCCGTGCACTGGTGTTTGTGAACTGATTTGACTGGGACTCAAGTAAAATGCATCACGGTAGACCCGATCTGCTAGGCCCGTGCCTTCTATAGCCCGTGGATGACGGGGTCTAACGCGATAAACGCCGAAGCATCTTCTGTTGCCAAATCTCGGGATCGCCAGCGAGATATCCACCCGAACTAGGATGCGATATGCGGCGGTCTATTTTCGTTGGAAGCATCAGACCTTTCGCATTCCTTGTCGGCCTTCCTTCAACATTTTCACAATACCTGTGACTCCATCGCTGCTGTGCGTGGTGGACAACTTCTGCGACAAATCTCGTCTGCCCGAACCGCAATCATTGCGAACCACCGTGATCGACGATTAGAAGATAATGGTCGCAAATCCACGGGACGGCCACCCTGCGCTGGCGCACTGTCTACGCTTTGCCGCGACGACCGGTACGTGCCGCATCTCCTCCGATTCCCCCTATCGTGTGAAAGTGTGCTGGGTTTCCCGTGTACTGTCGAAACAATGCGAATAACCTCTACCAAATCCCAGTCGGCCGGGATAAGCTTCTGCGGACAGCGCAGTACTTCTCCCAGTTCTATATCTGGCAGCTCTACCGCAGAAAGCACCAGCCGTCCGCAATCGATTCTTACATTGCCCTCTGGACGCAGCTCGGGACCACGCGCAAGATCTTACGTATTGGCAACTTCCTGGAGAATCTCCAGACCCTCGCCCGTGTCCTGAGCAACAAGAACCCGAGTGAACCTGTGTTGAAATTCCTGGCTATTGGGGGTCAACTCGGGTTTGGTGGGTATCTGGTCTTCGACAACATCACAGCTCTCAAGGCGATTGGTATCTACAAGTTGCCGTCGTCGGAGCGCCTAGAAATTCTGGCGGATAAATTCTGGGCTGCTGGTTTGATTTGTAGCATCATGACAGGCATCTATACCTTACTGCACTCGCAGTCTCAGCAGAGAACGAAACCCGAGGAGGGCGAGCGAGAATCCAATGATAAGAAGCGTGCCATGTACGTTGGATCTTCACATCATTCGCATGCAGTTCAGAATGCTAATTGGTTTGCTTGCAGGGAGCGATCCGCTGCCTGGATTCAACTCATCTCGGACCTATGCGACTTGACCGTTCCGGCAAAGGGTTTGGGTGTTCCTGTCCTCGACGATGGCCTTGTTGGAATGGCCGGTACCGTGAGTAGTTTGATAGGTGTCCGGAACCAATGGAAGAAGACTGCGTAGATAGGAGTCTATTTTCAATTCTCTCAGTGCGGACTTCCCCTATGTCCCGAAACAGCCGGTATTAAAGTAACACGATATAGAACTTCATAGACACCGTAGAAGATACAATTGTGGCACCACAGTCACTGCCACAAGTCCTTATATAGGAAGGCCAAGTCCTTCGCATAGCTACCGAGCCTCGGCCCATTTAGATGACGCTCAGAGTAAATGTTGGTATCGAAACGCAGTTGCTAGTGTAACCAATAGGTACATAATCATACGGCGCTCAAGATTGACAAAGATACTGTTAGAGGTATCTCATTTACACAATGGACCTAGATCTTGAGGTGGAATGATGTACGAAACAGCAGTTAAATGAATAAATATGTGCCATCGTTGTTGAGGCAAACGCACGGCAGTGCCATGCTGCCATGAGAAGACACGGCACAACGACCTGTCCTTACCACATAGTGAAAGGGCATCAATAGCAGTCACGATGTCAGCAAGTCTCCACCCGTGGCCCTAGACATCAACACGCGCCATCTTTGACTAACATCCTGATCTGGTGACAGTTAAAGTGTGTCAACCGAATGCCGTCGGAGCCACTACCGATGAGGCCCGGCCGCCATTCAGGTCGGCAGATTTGGCCGACGGTCTCCTATACAGAAAATCACTCAGAATATAATAGCCTCACCGGGAAAGCCGAAGGCTCCAGAACTTCAGCACTGCCGCCGACTATATTTGCGGGGTAGATCCTACTGGCATCAATAGTTATATATACCTGAGTTCTACCCCGCAGAATATCACAATCCTCCAGAGCTTCAAGATTGAACACATATCCAACACATTGAATCCTGAATCCAGCAGCATTCCGTGTCTCTCCTCGATCACACAATGGCCCCAGCAGCACTCGATGTCCCTACGACACCACCAAGAGTGGTTGGACCAGCAACTAAAAAGGCAACACGCCCAACCAACCAGCTGCCTCAATATATGATTGATGAAGCACGGATGGTCAAAAAGGAGGCCTTTGACCCAAAGGTCCACCTGAACTACGAACCCCCCAAAAGGATTTATAGCATGAAGGAGATCGGACTGGAGGGCCATGGGATCTCACCGAATGCCGCATCGGAGCCCTTTTCGCTCTTTACCGAGGAGGCTATCAGACAGATGAGAGCGGAGATCTTCAGTGAGGAGGCCCTCAAGGGCTGCCAGTATACTTCAACCTTCATCAAGAATATGGTTCGAGGCATGGGTCCTGCGTACGTACAATCGGTGTCACCCGTCTGCACCCACATCGCTAATCACCATGCGTTTTCACAGACTGGCTCCATTTATATATGATGCGTGGAATAACCCAGAGGTTCTGGCCAAGATCTCTGCTGTTGCCGGTGTGGATCTCATTCCTTCGATTGATTTTGAGATCGGGAATGTCAATATCTCTTTCGGTGATGGTACTACGGCCAAGTGGGATAGGGGGATGGACGGCGAGGACAGAACGTCTGCCGTTGCCTGGCATTATGATAGCTTTCCGTTCGTGTGTGTGACAATGCTGTCGGACTGCACTGGCATGGTTGGCGGAGAGACTGCGCTCCGGAGACCCGATGGCCACATCATGAAGGTCCGCGGTCCAGCAATGGTATGTCCCTCACGCCTATCCAAGCAAAGTCAAGATGAGGCACTGACTGTTAGAACAGGGAACCGCTGTCGTGTTGCAAGGGCGATACATTGAACATCAAGCGCTCAAAGCTCTCGGCGGCCGTGAGAGGATTAGTATGGTCACTTCTTTCCGACCCAAATCACCCATGGTGAAAGATGAGACTGTGCTCACTGGTGTACGGGGGATCAGTGAGCTCAATACCCTGTACAGTCAATATACCGACTACCGACTGGAGCTCCTAGAGGAGCGCCTTAGAATTAAACTGAAGGAGGAGCGACACCGCCAGGTAGCAAATCGCCCATTTGATATCCTTAAGATGAGGAGGTTTCTAGCTGAGCAGAAGGATTTCTTGGATTCTATGCTGGAGGAGCTTATTGAGGTGGATGATTAGGCAGTGCCAGAGACCATGATGGGACCACGATAGACAGATAGATAATGCAGCGTCTTATTGTATTTTACTGCAGAGAAATAGACAAGCCATACAGAGAATCAACCATATCCACAGATCTCTTGTGTTCACAGCCGCGGGCGAAACTGCTTTCATTCAGCTTTCTCTGGCCCTTGTACTGGCGTCTTACCAAATCGAGTGTTTGGGATATATTGTGGCTTGCTTGGGTTCGTCGTTTCCTCAACTCCGGGTTCATCGTTCTTCATACGGCGCTTTGCTGTACCTTGGTTTACGTGAGCCAGGGAACTTGGTATAAGTGAAAAGAGAAGAAACAAAACATGATCAATCCAAACTGCGTGAGTTACTGCTCTCTTTATATTGCTGAAACTGTGCCAAGATGGGTTGCGGAAACCTTTCGGTTTACCTCATTTTGCGCTGTATGAAGTCATTAAGCCGGGAATAGAGGAATCCTTCAAAGTGACAATCAATTAGCTCACAGTACATTAGTCGATTTGAGTGCTTGACGTAGGTACTTGCCTCGCGAAAGGATGCTCGTCACAACATGTAACGTCGCTGCTTAGCTCTTAGACCAGACGACGACGATTGTCAGTCACACCTACATGGAGACTATTATACTTGGCCATGAAGGTCCACAGAAGAGGTTCATGGAGTAATTAGATGTTCTTTGTTCTCCTCTGCTAAAATACAGCGCTAATATAGATAAGGGCATAATTCGAGCGGAATTTCGGATCGAATCCATTCATCACAGTTTTGCTGGTACTTTCTGCATGGCTTCCACAACCTCACGAGCCCCCCTTTCTCCTGAGCAGAGCGCTCCCTCCATGTATCCTTTCCATTCTGTGCTGTATTCTGTCCCCACGAAATGGATATTGCCGACTGGCTTACCATACACGGACGCATACTTGGTGAGGTGTCCAATTGCTGTGACAGGAGCCAAGGCGCCTCTGCTAAATTCCTCGTGCTTCCAGACCTGATCGAAGACCTCAATCGGCCGGAAGGCCTCCGAGTTGGCATCGGCGTTGAAGATCTTTGCTATCTGCTTCAGGACCACGGCGCGACGCTCATGCGGGTACAGCTTGCCCCAGTCACGCCCAGGCTGGCCATTGACAAAGCACGTCAAGGAGTAGTGGTTTCTTTCGTCCACACTGGTGTCTCTGGCCAGGATAACGGGACCTGTGTAGCTCGCGAAATAACCGTTGAATCCTTCACCACGCCACCATGGCTTATCGTAACACACGATGGCCTTGTTATAGTCACCGAGCACGGTCCCATCGGTAACCTCCTGAACAGGCTTGGGCAACGCAGGGGTGATATTCAGTTCCCTATACATGGTACTGGGAATTGACAAGATACACTTCCTGGCATTAAACGTCTTGCCATCGCGCGTCACGACGCTTACATGTGCGCCATGCTGGTTGATCGACGCAACTGGTGACCCCAGATGAATATTCTGCGCTCCCACCAAGCGAGCAATTCCCGCGGCAATTGACTGTGCCCCTGTAAATGTTGTTAGTAGTCATATCGCTGCATTTGGCTATCGGGGTGGCCCGTACCATCTTTGAATCTCATGTATTGACCACCGGTCGAATCATCCGCTCTGATAGCCAGAAGACCCTTGTTACGACGGCAGTAGTCGATAAACCAGCCTGCTGATTCTTCCGTTGACTCTAAGCCGTGCATCACCCGCGCCCAGAGGTTCACCATGTTGGCAACCTTTGGTAGGGCGCCGAGATTACGGACATACTGATCCAAGCTGACATTGTCATCCTGTGCGGTTGGCAAGCCCGATTTTAAAGACTCGGCTTGGATGTGATCGCGGATATACTCCAAGTTCTTTTTCTCCTCCTCGGACCACTGTATCCACTGGTTAGAGCAGCACCATTCATGGATATTGGCGGAACCGGGAATTCATCGTGACTCACATCAGGTGTAACGCCAAACGGAAATTCCAGTCGACTGTCTGGGTTTTCTTGCATGACGGCCTTCCCTTCCAACCGCTGTGTCACCACCTCCAGGCCAAACCTTTGGACATAGCTCCAGACACGCGGCTGGAGGCTGTTGTTGATCCATGCTCCGCCCAGCTCAGCGTAGCCACGACCAGAAGCGAGTGGCACACTCCAGATCTTGCCACCAACACGATCCCGGGCTTCAACCACGGCGGTTGAGAGGCCAGCCTGTTGCGCTGAATAGGCTGCCTGAAGGCCACTGAAGCCAGCTCCAATTACAATGACGTCTAACATGACAGCGAATAGCCAGTTTCAGGGGGGTAGCATGGAAGTTAGAGGATGTAAGAATCACAGCCAGCGAAGGGGACTGCCAGGAGATATTTAATATGTACGACCTACTCTTCCGTTTCCCTTGTCTGTCGGCTTCGGTCGTTCAACTCTGGCACGCATCGTGGCGGATCGCAGGCGTCGGGAACTCATCCGAGGCCTTTGACGGTCGGCCGATCCGAGGCCGGCCGAGTTGATTTACCCGATCCAGTTAGAAAAATGAGAGCACTACCAAACCAGTAAGTCAGTCTTCTCCAGATATGATCTTGGAATCGGTAGATCTATCCTGGGGTTCCTTCATCGCCATATGGAAGACTCTCTCACCCCCTCACCGAGACCCACAGCTGGAACAAACCTGGGGTAGGATCAATTGCTGGCCCTGGCAGCGTTCGGCTGTACAAGCTCAGCTGTAGCCGAGATATTCTTGGTGTTAGATGGAGTATTGAGACTTGAATCGCCATGGACAAGCTTATCAGGATGAAGGCAACCACCCTGCATGTCGCTTTTAGCTCAACCTGCCATCTCTGGAGTTGTTCAGTCGGCATAGCTGATCTATAAGCTCCCACCACACTACACACAATGACAGAACCGGGATCTCACTTCCACTGCCCTGGGAGTAATAGGTCAGAGTTGTAGAAGGTTTATGTTGATGAGCCTCTCCTATGCGGCCACCACGCTAATATATGCTTATCTTCACGATCTACTGCCACGTGCCGACTGCATGGTCATTGCATGGGCTAAGCTACCATCATGGCTTGCTTGTTTGTATTCTAGAGTTTCGGGCGAGGTGGCATATGGCACCATGGGTATATCCCGAGACCATGGACTCAAGCCGACTATCTCAACATTCAAGGAACCCCTGATAGTAGCATGCTTTTTGTTATCTCCTTATCGGCAGGGTCCTATAACGGGGGAGATTATACGTGGTCCTGGTCAGGGGTTAAATGAAATTAGGGTTACATGGCTTAAACCCCTGACGTGAAAGAAGAGCCACCGTCGACCCCTTTCTCTTCGTGCAACTTCTTCTATCGTATGATACCCAGTGGCCATATGCTGGATTTGTATTTGGCATGTTACTTGCCAGTTTGGTAACGTGCGATCAGCCACATCGTCCTGCGTAGGGATCAGTTTCGTGACTCGCCGTTGCCAAAGTCGATCGCCTTCCCTTTGATAAATCACGAATGGCCCCCAGACCTCATTGCTTCCCCGGTATCCTGAGTAGTTCTTGTCAATCAACATGTCAACGCGTCGGTGGTATTCAGCACTTTGGGTCAGGATTGCTGGGCCTCGGACAGTCTTAAATCCAACCAGACCACCTCGTTCGGTTGGATGTGCCTCCTGGCGTGGGCTTCGGACCTTGCCCGCGGTAGACGACTGTTCCCGGGCTCGTCTACGGTACTCCATTGAACTGAAGCGAGGGTTCCAGCTATTACTTTCGATACTCCAAGAACCTCAGCTCGGTCGGCAACTGAAGGAGATCGTACTCGATCGAACTCCGTCTTTCACTTGGCGTGGTAAATCATCCTACAGCATCCAACCAACCAAGGCGGTCGTCACCGCAGACGACCTACAGCGACTTCAACGAGCGATTAGGGATATTGGTATCAGGGACGGGGACGAACAAGCCAAAGTCTTGAATATGCTACTCCAAGATTTCGATTTCTTCGAGTACGTCACCCTCCGACGGAGTCTGGGAATGAATACTCACGATCTAGACACTGGAAGACGGGCCTCTTTTATCGGGCGCAGGCACTGGCTACGTTGCTCATCTCTGTTGGTCAAGTGGAGAAGTTAGCATTCGGGCCTTGTGGGAAAGGCTCCACCGATGCAGACTTGGTATTCCACAACTACCTGCACCGCATGGCTGCCAGTCGTGAGCCCACTGCCCTACGGAATCTACGGCATGTGCGATTTCTCCCTGATAGCGACTCGATTTATGAGGATCCGACGGAATACTCCGAGTACGATATCTACGACTGTCTGAACCTGGTGCGAAAGCTTCCATCCATTGAATCCGTTCGCTTCGATGCTATGACCCTAGGCCGAGAGCCAGGGGTCTGGCCACCACCTCGCTCGGCCAATTATACGGACATTATGCTGTGTCGTTGTATCATTCCAGATGAGCGGGACCTGAGCATCATCATCAGCTCCTCCAAAAAGTTGAAACGATTTACCTATACCGTAGGCGGACGCTATGAAAGCGATCCCTCGTCGGTGCGTTCACGCCCAATTTTGCAGTCACTATTGCTTCATCATGAAACATTGGAGGATCTGAATCTTGACATCCAAGGTCATACCTCAACGGATGAGATGTTTGATGAAAGTCCCATGGACTATGATCCTACTCGTCTTACAGATGATTGGGAGCAGGAGGAATATGAAGCGCACTGGGCGGACGAACTAGAAGAACTAGCACTGCATGAGCAACAGAGGTCCCGAGAGCCCCCAGTGCCCTGTATGCTACGCAGCCTTTCCCGATTGAAGCACCTTAGCATTGGCGGCCATCTTCTCTACTGTTATGCACGCGGCTTTGGTGCTGGGGTGCGAGAGCCCTTCTCTCTCGTGGACTATCTTCCGCCAAGCCTGGAGTCGCTGCGGATCTATGGCTACGGTTCAGAAGATCCAGATGGGCGTCTACCAGATATAGGCCTTGGCATTCAAGTAGCCAAGCTGCTAGAGGAGAAGGCACAAAAGTTGCCATTATTGTCAGTGATTGAGGGACTCGATACACCGATTCCCCATGGACAGAGCATCTGCAATGTCGACGACGACGAAGGGGAGGCGCTAGTCTGGCGTCGGATGGACGACGAGTGGGTGCAAGGTGATGCCGACTAGGTAGGCCTTTGTAGGTAGTCCGGGTTACAGGGGAACTTAAACCTGCCGGATGAGAACGATCATGGTAGATCTTCTATCCTTGATGTTTTTTTCTATCACCCGCCGTGCGCTTTGTACGAGTAGTTTGAACATTTACTACTGTCTGCTCTGTTCATTTATTTGCCCTATCTGTCCGGTCCGGAATTTACTAGCAGCCATTCGGGACAGACTGAGGAGGCTTGCGCTTCCGGGAAGGAGACCTAATGTGTTGCAGCGCCAGTTGACGCGATCTTGGAGATAGCGGCTGTGATCCCGACTGTCTATGTAAACACCCGCCCGACCCAACCTGTAAGCGGTCGGGGATGCCAGTGGAGCCACTGTAAATGTATGGATTTGAACATCGTTCTGAAGGTTCAGGTAGTTGGGACAACTTTAGATTGCTCGTAAGAGGGGCCAGGGAGTTGATCGAGAAGGGTCGACGATGTGGAGCACGGAACCACCGTGTCCGTGGACCTGGATCAATGGCCGGCCGTTTTCTTGCCTATGAATATGTGTTATGTACAGTATATGGCTAAAACAAACCCCAAAAGGTTAGCTACACCGCTAATGAAGTACACCTTCCTCCATGGTATTCGATATGTGGCTGACATCGGTCAGAATCTCCGCCACCTTGCTAATGATCTGATCGATTACGAGAACTAGACCACACGTCAGCTACGCGACGGATGGCAATGTCGACGGTGGCAGAACTTACCGTAGGCATATAATAGGCTATATGTCTCTGCAAGCGCCGATGAGGTTGTTTCGTCCCCAGTGCGATAGAGGAAAATAGTGGCCAGAAGCCGGTCACGGGAATGCTTCGCCTTGGAAAGGTCGATATGGTTCGGGGGGTATGCGTGCGTGATTGACGAAGCGATGACTGAGATTTGGCGTCAATTATACCTCGTCCGGTACAAGGCCAACTGCAGCGAAGGAAGAACTTACCTCCCAGAAGATGACCGATCTGGCTGGACAGGCTCTGTCTCTCTCGAGACGTGTATCCTAGCAGAGAGAGTTGTTGCTCGGACGGAGGAATACCTTGCAGCTGCAAATCTAACGCATGGAGATCGTCCACAATGGTTTGAGTGTGTTGAATCATCTTGCCATATGCGGTGTCGGGGAAGGGAGCGTTCAGTTCGATTTCGTACCGGGCTGCAACCCGAAGAGTCTCTAAATCCGACAGCATACCCTGCATTTTGAGTCGGTCGTCGGGCGTCATATAGAAAGCAGCAACTGCCGGGTTCGTGATTCTGCTAGCCAAGGGGTCTGATTCCCAGATACGACCTAATCGGAGCCAAACCAGCTTCAAGGTGGTCCTCAGCTTCTTCCGAGCACTAATCGGCCAAACACCTCGAGTGACAATAATACCCCAAATGCAGCCCGATAGGACTGCGGCGACTCGGTGCAGGGTGATTTTGGTGATATCCGGATTGTTACCACTTCTCTCGTCGGGATCCTCGTCGGCGCTACTTTGGGATAGAGAGAATGAATAAAGCACGGAAAGGTTATAGGTCAGCATGATAAATCGACCCAACGGGCCCTGGCCTTTGAGCAGACTCATGTAGAAGGTACATGTGGCCATGACGAATCCCAACAGTGCCAGTCCAAAGGCATTGCTGCCCGCAATTGACCAGACGAGAATGGAACAGAGCGCTCCAAGGCACGTTCCCAAAAATCTGGCATATCCAGTAGTGTTCGACGCCCCGATTGTCATCGAACAGACTAACATGTACGATACCAGACCCCATTCCCCCTTCCAGTACAGATAGATAGGCCGTGTGAAAGAGAGAAATGAAGGCAAGGCAAAGAGTGCCGCGCCAACACCGACCTTGAAAGCAAAGATAGTCTCGTCTTGTCGGAGGAACCGCAATGTGTTCCAGATACGACGGCTAGTTGTATCTCCAAATGAATGTATTCGGGATGGTCGCTCGACGTTGGACGCTTCGTGCAACTCCGTGTGATCGACCGGAGGGACTTCGGTCAGGGAAAGTCTGGGAACTGCCCCTGGTTAGTATGTCTGAATATGCCTAGTCGAATGGCGCCCCGTTTGTGGTACTCACTAGTATTCGGATGCTCTATATTGCGACTTCTAGATGCATCTCGTCGCCAGAACTTGATCCAACTCCACGATTTCTTTCTGTGGTACCCAGCGGTTGCAATTTGCAAGTCTGTGAGAATCGTCAACAACTCTCCCAATTGCTCCCCGAATTTCAGTAGCGAGTAGCTGAAATGCGCGCAGATGGCGGCCACCTCTTTGAAGCATGCTTCCTTCTCGAATGTACCACTCGGCGTATCCTGCTTCTCTCGGTAAAGCAGGCCGAATGCTTCCCTCTGGGCCTCGCGATACTCTTCAATAGCCTGACTTAGGATGGCGGCGGAGTTGGGGCTCAGAGTAACTCTGTCATCAAGCGATAATCCCAGAGGAATTTCCGCGAATATATCCATTAAAGTGAGCGTTAGCGACCGCTGTTATAGGTTAGTAAGGAAAGCACTTGGTAAGTACAGACATCGGTAAACCAGGGCTAAATACCACAGATGGACCCAGCCGGTCAACAAAAGAATCAAAAAGTTCCGTCACTAAGAAGCTCTCCGAGAGTCGTTCGTTGCTAATTCTACCTAGCTGTCGTGAGACCGGTTGACCGTGACCAGACACATCAGTTTCCAACATCACCAGGTCCACCGGTGCCAGTATGGAGACATCAGCGGCGGATATCGTGCTTTGCTGGTCGTTGCGACTAGTCGTGGAGGTATTCGCATTTCGACCATCAAGAGGATGGTCGGCGAACTTCGGTCGCTTGAGCGTCTCTAAAGCTAAAAGTGCCGAGCTGTGCAAAGCGCCCGTAGTATGCACGATACCATGTGCCCAGTGAACCAGCTTTTCCTCGTGAGAGTGTGCTCTCTCCCAGCCCGCCACATACTGCTCCAACTTCGTCTCATATAGCAGCCTGTCTAGCTCCCCGTGGGCCTTCTTTAGACGCGTAGACGCACCGGTATAATCGAATCCCTGGAAATCGTGTTCTGTCCTACGGAGGAATCCCTCTGTGATGGTTGACTGCATGATCGCCATCGACCTGGTGGCCACGGCCAGGTTCGCACGGAGTTTTTTCTGTGCAGAGACTGGGAAGACCAGAAACGATACGGTCATCGTCGCACCAATCCCCATGAGGAGCATCTTCAGGACCTGAGACACTTTTGCGAGCGAGACACTGCCCCGCTGGATGGCTCCTTCTTTGGTGAGAACAACAATCAGTGCCAGCGATGCGAGCGAACAGGCCACATTGACCAGTGGGTCGCTCATCTTCTGCTTTGTCCACGCCAGAAACCCGAATCCGAGGCCGACAAAAATAATCAACACCAGGGCATGGCCCAATTCGATCATGCGCCGCTGGTTGAAGTATATGGTGACATACATGCTGGTGAGCGAGATGAATGCGGCATAGATAAATGCGAGCGCGGCGCATATCAGGGCTTTATACATGCTCCCTTTAGACCGTGCGGGGTGGAAATACACCGTGATGGTGGCGACAATATGTTTTCCTTCCTGAGGACCTAGCAGTGCCGCAACCGCTGGGATGAACGTCGCCAGGGACCCGAGGAGGTATGCTAGGCTACATTTCAAGACCCCGATCCCTTCCTCCGATGCGAGAAATTGCCGTGTCTGCCGCCATCTGTCGGTTAGGTGTTCGATTACTTTTGCGACGAAACCCGGCTGGCTGGGGTGGAGGTCGTCGAGGAATGGCTCTCGTTCGTCGTCACGAGGACTCGGGATGGGAAGGAGAAGGTCATTGTTCGAGCCGGGGAGGGCAGAGGGCAGTGAGGCCTATTTATCATGATTTGGTATTAGTGCAGGGATTCGGAGAATATATCATTTGGTGATATGATGTGGACTTCAGTGGAGCCCGCTCGGTCGCGCTGTGCCAGGGAAGGTCCACATTACCTCCGGACGTAGATCATCAGAGCTGGTCAACAGGGACATTACATGTGCGAAAGGAAAGCGTCAATTGTCCAAGTCGTGTCCGATGTGCAAATCAGGACGGGTGTTAGGGAGAGGCGCATCCTCACTGTTGGCGCGGACGGCTTTCTTTGAGATGGGGGGAAGGAAGAACGGCAAGATCTCCGGAGTAAGGTCACTGTGGCAGATGCCTGAATCCGCAGGACGCAAAGGCCCACCACGCTGACTCAGCCTGGGCCAACAGTCACCTGACCGGGCTGGACAACGATCGCCGGTGATAAGATCATTATCTCATGCTGACGAGAAGCTTAGCAGATCTATAATCGGTCGCAGATGTCCAACCAGGGCTATCATGCAACGCAGCTGGTCTCCATATCGTATAGACTCAGCAAGTCTCCTCGTATCCAGCGTCACGTGGGGCTGTGGATGAGAAACCGCGTGCGGCCTCATCCGAGACCCTCCCTTGTCATTCGAAATATATATACGTCAAATGTCTAGCAAGACAGCAGAGCGTTATATCACGCTCGCAGAACGGTTCAGGACCGCATTCGACTGCATCACATGAGAACCACTGGCGCAGGTTTCATTCCTCTCTGTACTATAAGAGTCTCTCCCCCCTTATAGATCGTCCCCGATGCATTTTTACCCCAAAGCGCGCCATCAACCGCATCCCAGCATCCACGACCCTTTTGTTCGCCGGAGTCGATTGGGATTGCTCAAGGCCGCGGGTCTGAACTTCATCGTCCTGCAGCTCCTCTTTCTCGGACTCTTCTGTTACCTGTTCGGCTCCCTTTTCCAGCAGACCACGCATATTCATAACCTACACGTTGTCTTTGTCGACTACGATGGCGGAGCCGTGGGAAGCGCGATACGTACTGCGTATGAGCAGCTCAAGGGCTCAGGGTTCCCCACGTTAAGCGAGCAATCGGTGTCAGCCTATCCCCAGCCAAGCAGCGTTACATCTGCCGTGTGTAATATTGATTACTGGGGCGGGCTGTACACGTCGGTGGATGCATCGAATCGCCTGGCGGCCGCATTCGGAGGAGGTTCCGCGGCAGCCTCCTACAACAACAGCAACATTCTCACCCTCGTCTGGAATGAGGCGCGCTACCCCACCACGGTGGATTCTGCCATTGCGACGAATATGCAATCACTGTCGGAAGCGGCGCGAGTAGCCTACTTCAAAACAAATGGCATGCAGGCGCTTGGGGATCTGAACGGCACGGATCCCGCTGCCCTCGCGGCATTCACCAACCCCTGGACGCTGGCCTCAATCAATATCCAACCAACTACTCAAGGCTCCCGACTGGTCTACAATACCTTGGTGATTATCTTAATCCTCATCCAGGAATTCTTTTACCTGGGTTACATCAATGGCCTCTACCAGCAATTTCAGCTCTATGTCTCCATAGCAGCGCCTCGAATTGCCGCCGTCCGCCAGCTCATATCGGGGTTATACACGCTGTCGGGATCACTCTGTACCACGGGCGCCATCTGGGCATTTCGCTATGGGTGGCACGTCCATGGTGGACAGTTCATGTTGACCTGGATGGCCTTGTGGCTGTTTGCCCACTGCAACTTTCTCGTCCTCGATGTCTTCACCATCTGGCTGCCGCCACCAGTGGTGCCAATGGCCCTCATCTCATGGGTCATTTTGAACGTCACTTCAATCCTCCTGCCATTCGAACTATCCCCAGGGTTCTATCAGTGGGGCTATGCGTTGCCAGCACACAGCATTTTCCAGGTGTTGGTGGACATTTGGTCCGGTGGCTGCAATCCGCAACTTGATTACGCGTTGCCAGTTCTCTTTGCGTATGAATTGATCGCACTCACCCTAAGCTCGGTCGGGGTGTACCGGCGGGCACACTATGCAGTCCTTGCGAAGGAGACTGAAGAGAAGACGTGGAAGGAACGCGTCGCTGCGGCACTATCAGAGCAACAGCAGCAACAGATGCTGGAGGAGTCTCCCTCACCTCCAACCCCAGACTCGGCGCTCGCGGAGGCGGAACAGCAACCAGATCGCACGCGACGGCGTAGTACTGCTGCCGGTATTGCCGACCAAGAAGCACTGACAGGGCAGCTATGGCGAGAGATGCCCCGGCCCGACAAGCCCCCCACTGGCCGACAAAGTACTGGTCCTTGTTTCGACTTGCCTTTCACCGACTAGGTCTATGCTCGTTGTACACTGCACAATTTCTTTCTACCGGATCACAATCTATGAGGGGGCTTCAAACTGAAATGATATAGACTTGTATCTGAAACGTGCCAGATCATGGAGACTTATATTGTTGTTTATTGAAGGAGTAGAAGTAGCGTGTCAGGCGAAAGACAAGGGACTTGCTGAGTGAAAGGTCACAGAGAGACAACGAAAAGCAGAGAAAAATGACGCCATCACATATCGTAGTTGTCGAACTGCAAAAATGACCGCGAGTCAGTTTCAAGAGTCCCGCATGTAGTTCTTCAACCAGACGATCTTGTCAATCCTTGCCCTGAATCTCTTGCCAAAGACCCTAGATATTCAACATGGTTAACGTTGAATGGACGTTCTTGGAGGTTGGACTTACCAAATCGGTATGGTGAGAAGGCTGGTGAAGATAAAAAGGCTACCGAGAACAACAAACACTTTCAGGGTTCCGTCCTTTGCGAGCCATTCATTGATCACATATAGGATGCCGAAACTGAGGAAGTTCCGAGAGTTGACGGCCACGAAGGCCTCCTCACCCAGGGCAGTGTAGGCGTCAATGATGTATCCGAAGACACACGTCGAGCAAAATGCCAGGGAGGCATTGACCAGCCCGTACGTGATGACGGGCCCAGTCCAGTGTGTCTTGTAGTGGACGGTAGCTCCAAACCCATAGAACCCAGCTACACCAAGCACGAAGCCCACAACCATCAGGACCAGCCGAAATTCGGGTTCGTAGTAGCCGTTGTTTCTCTTCGTCAAGTACAAACAGATTCGATCACACAGAGGCCCGGAGATGATCTCGGACAGCACGCTCAGGACTAATGGCGAAATGTTGATTAGACCAATCTGCGAAGTGGTAAAGTTATACGGAGGCTCGTTGAAAATCACCCCGTTGACGTAGCTAAAAGCAATCGTGAACGTGATCGTTGTACCCCAGGTTAGAAATGCCCACAGGATTCCAGGGTAGAGAAACCTACGGCGCTTAGTTCACGGTAGAGAGATCAGGGTTCCAGGGGCTTACAAGATCAAGGGGCGGCTGATAACCTTCACGAGTGAGGCCTGAGAGTATCTGCCCGTGTACACTCGCAGGGACCTCCAATAGGAATCCTTTCCTTGGGTGATGGGTGGAGACTGGTTTGCTTCCGGTCGATCATGTCGACCTTGGGGTTCCTTTTCAATATCGTGTAGCCTCTGAGAGCCCGGCTGAGGGACGTCCTTGCCTGGCACGGCATCCGTGTCCGGCTGCTCAATACTCGAGGTCTCATTGGAGGAGTGAGAAGTGTGAACCACTCGGATATATGCAGTCTCCGGGGCAAGAAAGAAGAGGACAATAGTCAGGACACCGTAAAATATGGCACAGACGCCAAAGGTCCAGCGATACCCGGCATACTGGATGATGTACGCACTCACGATCGGCCCGGCGGAGATCCCGCTCACCAGGAAGAGGTTCCAAAAAGCGATGCGCGAGGCGCGTTCATGCACAAAATAGAGGTCCCCTATCGTACATTGCACAAGGACCTATAGGGAGTGAGCAGACATGAGTGAGGCTGTGCGCTACCCCTGAGGCAAAGGATGAAATCCCAGGGATGTGATTTACCGCTTCAAGCAGGACGTGTACTCACCTCAAACGGACCCATTCCTAAGCCTCCCACCAACCGACAGGCCAGGAACGAGTTATAGTCGTGTGTCAGGGCAGCCCCGATGCTTGATGCGAAGAGCAACAGCCCGGAGACCAGATACACGGGCCGTTTCCCATAACATTTGGCCAGCGGGTTGCTGAAAAGAAGAGCAATTCCGATCGCCAACACCAGGTAGGAGGTCGCTTGGGATATTTCATTCACGCTCACGTCGAGTTCCTCCGAGATTTCGACAAACCCAGGCCCTAACATGGGTCCATATGCTCCCACAATCGCGGAGAGGAGACTGATAATGAGTAAAATAAAATCCTTTCGCCTGCAAGACAATGACTGAGCATCCATATGTAGTCTGAGCATGATGTGGGGGGGAGGTTATTCATTACCACTGTGGCCACTGGATAGTTGATCCATGTTAGTAAGTTAATATGTAGACGAGATGACAGCACCCAACCTACATTTAAAGGGTCATTTGGAGAATCTGAAGGTTGAGGGACCTGCGTCGCGTTTGTCAGCTTAGGGGTATACAAAAGAAATGAGTGGTTTGGAATGCACCAAGACAATTCCACGACGTTGATGGTGGCCCTTCGCTGAGGTAGAGGCAGCATCGTCACTGCTACTTTCCACGAATGACTGTTGGCTGAGAATCACTGCTGTTCTCAGCACCCAGCAGAAGAGGGAAAAGTCAAGAAAGCATAGGCACCTGTTCCAGGAGGTGATTCACCGTCCTTGCACTCTAGCATTCCAAATACCATGATGGTGTGCCTTGGCCTCAACTATGCGTACGGGTGAAAGGATCAGAGGGAGGCCTTGATATGGGGTTGCAAAAGAGAACGGACGAAAGCAGCTGGTGTAGCAGTGTTCATATACGGTTGTCGGCGAGACATTTGAGCCAAGTGCTCTACTGGCTCCAATGCATTAGGCCAGTCTCAAGAGAACATCCCACGAGACCAAACCATGGCAACTGGAACTCCTACTCTACTGCTTTACTCGGCTGCCACTAAAGCGAGAAGGTTTACGCTCCCCCCACACGCATGGACACGAAGATGTTTGTGGGGGAGCAATCTAACCGACCCCCCACCTCAGTTGTCGGCCAGTTTGATGTTATACGGATCACATTCAGAGTGTGCACCTCTCAGGCAGTGCTGAATACAATGGGAGGGTGGCGTGTTGACTTGACGCCGAGGAGTCGGTCAGGATTTGGCACGGTCGCAGGGATTCGTGGACACGCAGTGGAGCTGCTGCCACTGCAGCTATGGACTGGACGCACTTGTACCCGGCCTCCCGCCCAATATACCGAGAGATTCTCTATCAGTTATGGTGGGCGGTAATTGCTAGTATCAAATGTAGAGGACTTTGGAGGGACACCGAGATGGAGACTTGTATTCGGCTATAAGAGACCACTCTGGCTACTCCATCAGACATAGGGCTATGGTAATCTCTCCTCCAACAGCGACCTCATAATCTACTCTCACCCCTGATGGCACCGAACATTTGATCACACATCTGGCTGGCATATTGCTCTGCATCATGGTTCAATATCCAGTCTTCTCGTGGCAGTTCGATGGCCTTGGGATCTCGTTTTACATTATCCCAGCTTGCATTGTGCCATTTATCCCGAGTGGTTTTCCCTGTTTCCTGCACCTTGCGCACGCGATCGTACCTGCATGACCGAATTAGAGGGAGCCTATGTGGCGACTGAGGGTTTTGGTCTCACCGAATCTTTTCGAAGGCATGTAAAGCATCGGGGATCCTATATTTGCCAGCCCGGCGCAGACAAATGGCGATCGTGACACCGTCCTCCAGCGCCTGTGTTGCTCCCTGGGCAGATGTCGGGAGGAATGCATGGGCGGAATCTCCAGCAAGAGCAATACGTCCCTGTTTGCTCACCCAGGTCGGCAAAGGGTCTTGCCAGATGAGCTTCCAATCGACCAGGGACGACTCGGGGGTTTTCGAAACGATACGCTGACAGATCGGGTCCCAACCTTCCAAGACCTTATAGACGTCCGCGAGCGTACCCGGAAAGGACCAGCGATCGGTGATATCAGACGCATCCTACGAATCCCGACAGTTTCTCAGTATTGGTTGGGCCATGTCATAGCTCACGATCGTCGGGGGCTGATCTGGGACCCACCTTATGCGTGAGTACCCAACAGACGTCCTGGCCTCCTTTCAACGTTGAAACCAGTAGATGCACATCCGGACCGATCCAGCCATTGAATGTATCGCCATTTTCGCAGAGATGTCGAGTTAGCGGATCGGCGAGGATATTTTCGTTAGAAAACCTTGCAGACACTCAGCATCAGGTGGCCAGATGATTAGAATTCGTGACAGACCAGGCGCGATAGATCGCATAGCCGCTCGATTGGAGCTGTGTCTCACGACCGAGAACTAAGGATCGAGCTTGGGAGCGGACACCGTCCGAGCCGATGACAACATCTCCATAGACCTAGTATCTGTCAGTTGACGGTGTTGAATGGAGCATGGTACATGTGCACCTTATCTCCTGATGCAAGCTGGATTCCTGCCCCAGTGGCGCTCTCGAAGTACCCGGTCACCTCACAACCGAGATGAATGGGAATATCAAGGTCATTTCGAGCATAGTTGAACAGAATCTGGTGCAGCTCTCCTCGATGTCCATTAATTGTGGGAGCCTGTGGATCTAGGGGCACGGTATCTTGCGTATGGACGTGTTCTCCTGTGTACTTGTGAATACGAAACCCATAGCCCTGGAGGTTGATGCTAACAGGTAGCATGCGGTCGACCACCGATCCCCAGCGTGCGAAGATCCGGCCCCCATTGCGCCCGAATGAAATTATGTCACCCAGTGGTTTCAATTCAGGGAACCGCTCATAAACCGCGACAGAGAGGCCCTGGCGACGGCATTCAATCGCAGTGCCGAGACCCGCGAACCCTGTTCCAAGGATCTTAGTGACGTAAAAGACAGCAGTGCGTAGGGGGCTTCACCAGCTCCAACGACTATGACATGAATGCGTGATCTCTCGGATACTAGGGGGGAGGACTTGGTGGTAGATTCCATCTTATAGAGAGCCGCAGTGGTTTTGATGCTGACAGAAAATAGTAGAGGAGCAAGAATGTTAGCTCTGATGGCGCCAGATCAATGTCACTGGAGGGATTCGTCAATATAAAAGAGAAAACCTTCGTCCATAACATCCCATAAATCTGGTCATGGACTGCTAGCTGCCGAGGCAGCCTGGGATCTCTAGATGTCACTCCTTAAGTTTGTGGGGTAATAAAAATGTGGCGGATGGGGACACACGCCATAGCCGACCCAACAACCACATAATTGCTCGATGTCAGATCAACAGCATATGTTATGCTTGTACGTCAAATGTATAGAACGGTAAAGGTCACCCGACAAGGCGCAGCAGAAAGCGACAAGAATCCCCACGCGTGGAAGTCCACACCCTATCCAGATCTTCTCTGCCTAGGCGCTGGTTCCGGGATCCACTTAACTAGTACTTGCTATTACATAGACTATTACGAGGGTACTTATTACATGATTGACACATTCAATACGCTGGACAAGGACCACCAGAGGATTATGGCTTGAGGCGTAACGGTCAAACGCTGCACCAGGTCATGGACAGCGTCCCAGAGTCATATATACGGCTTGAATTGACGATGGTGTTCGGATATGAGATGCTTCAGATCTGCCATTGGAGGTGAATCACATCTCGAAGGTGCATATGGCCTGTCAATGACCGGGTTGGTGAGTTCAACATCGGATTGAACCGACTGATCATGTCGGATCCGCTGCCGTTCGTCAATCCTTCGAATGAGGATATTTAGCAGTAACCAATATTCGGAAGCATTCTGAAAAAAGCCCAAGCGTCGCCAGTAGTCTTCATTACCCACTAGGATATTATCCTCCTCCTTCGGCAAGCCAAAGCTATCCTGTATCGCGAATCGCTGGTTCCAGGCTAATTTCCAGTTGTGGATCGCTCTCCGTATAGGCTGGAGTTGTGTGTCGACACTGATAAGAGAATTAATCTGAAAGGCCTCGGCACAAAGTGCTGCACAGGTTACAGTCAGTAGATGCTCATATACGTACAGAGAGAACTGAGTGGAAGGACGCCCGGCAGGCTAGCGACTGACGGCGGCAGTGTTCTTACCGGAGCATACAATCCAAAGGTTCAGTATTCCCAGGTGGGAGATGTAAGCTCGCACATCGTGCTTAATATCCTTACAGAACATGACCTGCACGATCTCACGCATTGTCCTTCTGCAACCCCATAGCGGATGCCCTGTCCACGTTCGGATAGCAGCGAGGCACTCCGCTGCGGTCTGTGCTTGGAAGCAAGCCTCAGGACATGCCATGCCCAATGACATCTCTTGGATTCTCACGCGGGGCGGGTAATTGCTGAAGATCGCAAATCCAGTGTCATGTATGTATATGAATAGCATGGTTCTGTGCCTGGTGTTAGCAGGTTGTACGAGCAAGCCGCCCATTGCTGGCATTTACCGAATGCACTCCTCGGTCGCAATAAAGGTGTCCCAACAGAAGTCACTTCCACGTAGTGAGTCAAGATTGCTGTGTGTGATGCTAAAGAGGCTCAGGTCTCTAGCGAGCTGGTCGAAATCAGCGACTGAGATACGAGAGCCCAAGGCAACTTCTTACTGAAACGAGCATACTAAAACGTTGACGCCGAATCCTCCGTCGGCTAATGTGACTTCCTTCGCTGATTTGGAAAGTACAGACACAATATGCTGCCTGCAAGAGCTGTACAATATCCCGAATGTTCACGGTAGCCGGGTCCTGTAGCATAAGGTCTCCAAAATATTCGTTGGTGAAGACCATCTCCTCCACACTATTCAGCCATAGCTTAACACTGTGATTATCGTTCGCATTTTGTGAGAAGCACGCCCCCATGACGGCCATGGCTGCTGTAAGGTGCGTGGGGGCACTTGTGATCGAAAATGTAGCCTTGTGAATGACTGGGTAATGAGGATGCCAGGCGGTCCAGTAAGCCCTGATAAATCTCTCAATGTTATTGGGACTGAAAAAGCGAATGCAGTCCTTCTCGACCTGTGGAGACCATGTATGCATAATTCTGGAGTGCTGCGAAAGCCTTCTGATTTGATGTATGATTTGATATGCGGGTCGCGAAGACAAGGGGGCCTGCGCAGAAGATAGCCATGCGTGATACCAGGATTCGCTGGTAGCAGCTGCAGGGTCGTTAGATATATGAACAAAGTTATACACGGGAACGACTGAAGTGCAAGGACCTGTTCCGGAGGGTTTGGGGAATCCAATAGTCTTGAATTACGATATTACTATTGGGAAGGACAAGGAAATAGTGAAACATACTGCCAGACTGTGGATCAGTGAGAGAAGAGGGAAGGTCTGTCAATGGCAGTGCCCCCTGCTTCCCAATCCCAACAGTATCATCGGCCACCCCATACCCTTCCCACGCTTTCTGAAGTAATGCGCTGCAGTCATAACGGGTCTTCAGCGATGCACTCTCCTTGCTGGAAATGCGGGCAAGGAAACTGAATGTGTCAGCAGGATCAATGTCAATGCACGGAACACCAACAGCAGATGGCAATTGCAGGCAGTGGTTGTGCTCCACTCGGTCAAACAGCATCGGGTCAAGCAGCAATTGTATGTCTTCTAACTGGCTATCACTCCACCGGAGCTCGGCTAGGGAATTGTCAGGAAGCAGACATGGTCGATTGGTTTCCGTTCCCTCCATGTCATCCTCCAGTGCTATCGATTGTGGGTGGCTCCCTCCAGACGTTAAGCTGTGTCTTTTGGTCGGTGGATTATTGATTCTATTCAGGGTACCCTGGTCAGAAGTATCCATGCCACCCATATTTGGCATGATGCCCGGTCCTTCCGGTGGAGTGAGACTATCTGTTGTAGTTTCTGTTTCTCCCACAGAGATTGTCCGGGGTTTGAGCTGGCATTTGGCAAGGTGGCGTTTCATTACATCCCTTCAGTAAAGTCTCAGTCGTTGCTCAAAATCGGCCATGTGTTGGTTCCGTAACCACGTACTTGCGCATAAACTCCTTTCCACACTCAGGACATCGGACTGCTTTTCCTACGCCATCTGAATGCGTTGTCAGCAAAGGAATGGTGCAAGGGTCCATTCTCAATCACCCACGTACGAGATCCAAGATGTCTCTGTAGGTGCTCCGTACGCGTGAACGACTTGGGGCACAAGGGACACAGGACCCTCCGTGGCTTCACCTTGCGTGCGGCTTTCATTTCCGTGGGGCTTGTTCTTCCTCACATGGATGGTGGATGGGATGCTGGAGATGTGCTGGATGGGCGTGCATGGATTTGCGCGGCCTGAGACGCGATTATCGAGACTAGACGTTTACCCCGGATGCGGGGAAACCCCGCATGGAGTATCAAACCATGCGTCTGTCATTCGTTGTATCATGGACTCCACCCTGCATCAACTATGCAACTTAGCCAGTCAAGACATGGTCGCAGTATGATTCGACAAAGACTCGAATGAGCAGCTGCCTAGGGAACGTTGTGAGGTACCGTAGGAGGAGAAGGTTTATTGGGATACACGCGCAGTCGAGGTCTTGCTCGAGAGGAGCATCAATCGGCCAAGATTATGCTAACTTGTTTGTGTGTAACTGTTCAACGTCAGGCTATGCAGGTACCTCGCTTGTGAGGCAGAGCCCATGCTATGTGCTCCTAGGAACCCGTCAAGCTCATATTACTGAGGCAAGAGAGGAGTATTCCGGATGAACGTTGCGTGATATGTGCCGTGTTTCTTTGGACTACTTCACCCTGCACCATTGTCACCCACTTCTTCCACTGGATTTCCACTTCCTGCTTGGCAGTCCAATAAGATTGATCCGGCATTTGTCGTTCGGACTGATTGCCGTGAATATATCTACATTGGCTCTTTACCTAAAAGTCATGGGTGAACACCGTGTGGGGGATACCGCCACATCATGATGTGGGGAATGTGGGTTGGAACTCGTTCGCACCGGAGGTTTTCGTCGAAAGCTAGTCGGTCGAACCGAGACGAGCGGATCGGCTATCCTGGGCTGTTGAGGGTTAGTCAAATCATCACTCACTAGGGCCGAAGTGACAATCACCTTGTTGTTGGTCCCGGAGGTATAAAGGTTGGACGCAACAACAAAAGTTATTCAGCAAGTTGTTATTGGACGTATAACGAACAGATCTTTCGAAATGTCATTTCTTCAGCCTGCGCCTGAGCCTGCAACGCCACTGGGGCGCTTACAACCTCTCTCTGCGTCCGCTAGTATCCGAGTGTCTCCTCTACAGCTAGGGGGCATGTCCATTGGAGAGTCATGGTCTAGCTTCATGGGTAGCATGTCGAAGCCAAAGGCCTTTGAACTTTTGGATGCATATGTTGATGCAGGAGGGAACTTTATTGACACCGCGAACAACTACCAAGACGAACAATCGGAGCGATGGATTGGCGAATGGATGAAGGCTCGTGGCAACCGTGATAACATGGTAATTGCTACCAAATACACTACGTCGTACCGCGACTATGAGCTTGGAAAGGCTTCCTATGTTAATTATTCGGGTAATTCCCGGAGAAGCCTACATATGTCACTCCGAGACTCGCTCCAGAAACTGCAAACGGACTGGATTGACATTCTATATGTTCACTGGTGGGATCAAACTAATTCGATTGAGGAGGTAATGGATAGCCTTCATATTCTAGTACAACAGGGCAAAGTGCTCTATCTTGGGGTGTCTAATACTCCTGCCTGGGTTGTTTCTGCGGCAAACTATTACGCGAAGGCAAATGGAAAGACGCCGTTCAGTATTTATCAAGGCAGATGGAACGTGCTCCGCCGCGATCTTGAGAAGGATATTCTCCCAATGGCAAGACATTTTGGTATGGCCATTGCACCGTGGGATTCAATAGGCGGTGGGAAGTTTCAGTCGAAGAAGCAGCTTAAGGCTCGGGAAAGCGAAGGGGAAGGCCTCCGCGCCATCGGGCCTGCGACCCAGACTGCAGATGAAGCTAGAATGAGCGAGGCACTCGAGAAGGTAGCGGTTGAACATGGGGTGGACTCCGTTACGGCCATCGCACTGGCCTATGTGTTATCCAAAGCGCCCTATGTGTTTCCCATCATCGGTGGGCGTAAGACTGAGCATCTCCGAGACAACCTCAAGGCGCTGGAGATCCGTCTGACTGAAGCCCAGATCGAATACCTCGAGAGCATCAAGCCACTTGATGTTGGATACCCTGCCAATTATATTGGCCAAGACCCAAGAATCACCGGGAAAGCCAGTGGAGTTTTGGCGACCACAGGCCCTCTCGCGTTTGTGAAGTATCCAAGTCCTATCAAGCCCAGCCTATAGTGATGCTAGTAGTAGTTTTAATTTATTTGTTTGGGGCTTTTTGGACTTCTTCCACCCTCGTGGCATTTTCAAGAACATAGCCAGCCAAAAGCAACGTAGCAAGCATGATAGCACTTTCCCCCCACATGTCCAACGATATTAGTAGTTCCGCCACTTGGCTCGCTCAAACCGGGGATTAGAAGACTGTCTTGCTATTCCCCCGCAATACTTGGTCGAATTCTCATCTCTGTCACTGGAGAATACCGAAGCTGGAATACCTTTCCAACTACAGTCCGTGTCAGTAGCCTAAGAAATGTCGCGCATTTCAATATTTGCTAAGTCATATAATATAATATCAAACTGTGCCATGGATTATATGCACTCCATCCTCTCCGGTCCAGCTTTGGGGATAATCTGCGGCGTAATTCTCATCTTTCTCGGCATAGTCATCCACGATGTTCACTTGTGGAAGTGCCTACCTCCGGGTCCTGTCCCGACTCCACTGATTGGCAACAAGCTTCAGATCCCGTCAAAGCACCCTTGGATCAAGCTTCAGGAGTGGTCGCGGATATATGGTCCAATATATACCATATGGCTGGGTCGACGGCCGACGGTGGTGATATCTGACCCGTCAATTGCCTCCGAGCTGCTCGAAAAACGGTCTAAGAAATACAGCACACGCCCACGGTTTGTCACCATGGGTGAGATCTACTGGGATATGGCCAGCATTCTTGTTCAACCGTATGGCAAGGAATGGCTCATTCGCCGCCGGCTCTTGCACTCTGCCCTGACACCGCGGGCCCTCGACAACTACAAACTATTACAGCAGGCCGAGTCAAGTCGGCTATGCTATCAGCTACTAGAAAGTGCACACGAATGGGAATCACTATTTGACCGGCTCGCGTCGTCGATTGTGTTCGCCGTCTCGTATGGGCACCGTGTGGATAGCGCTGAGTCTCCCGTGGTTAGACAGCGACTTGAATTCATGCAATATGCTTCCAGTTTGAATGTTCCAGGAGCGTACCTGGTGGAGTCCTTCCCCATACTGAAATATCTACCGGATTGGATTGTACCATGGAAGGCAGAGATCAAACGCCGTGGTCGTCTTGAGGCTGACGCCAATATGACACTGGTTCATGTGGTGCGACAGGATATTGAGTCCGCGAAACAGTCCCCGGGAGCAGAGCCGCTTTTTAATAGTTTGACCAAGCAGCTCCTCGAGGCCAGAGATTCCGACCCGACGGCATTTCCGTTGACTGAGCGGGATTTTAGCTACATTCCGGCTTCCCTTTTCGGTGCTGGATCCGACACAACGTCTTCCACATTATGCTCAGCCATGCTGGCCATCGTGACAAATCAAGTAGTGTTGGAGATAGCACAGGCCGAGCTAGATTCCGTGGTGGGGCCTGGTCGATTGCCTACATTTGAGGATATACCCAAGCTCCCGTATCTACGCGCACTTTGTAAAGAGGTTCTGCGCTGGCGCCCTGTGGCTATATTGGGTGGAACACCGCATGCTTGTTCTGAAGATGATTATTATCGCGGGTACTATATTCCTCAGGGGACAGTCATGTTGGGAAATTCGTGGGCAATCAATATGAATCCTACCTATTATCCCAGTCCGGATCAGTTCAACCCTTTTCGCTTTCTCGACATCGACCCGCATCGGCTGCCTTATCTCCCAAAGGAATATATCCCGTCGGTTAAACAAGACAAAGGATCCGCGCATCCAAGCAAGCTTGGCCATAGCTCTTTCGGCTGGGGTCGTCGTATCTGCCCTGGCGCAGATCTTGCGACCAATACTCTACTCATTACCCTCTGTCGGCTACTGTGGTGCTTCCACATTCGACCCATCCCTGGGCATGTCTATGATACACTAGACTATACAAATGGCTTCAACGTCAGACCGCGGAATCTGCAGCTGGGCCTGCAAGTTCGATCGGATCAACATCGCCACGTCTTAGAAAGGGAATATGAAGATGCGATCGCGTTTCTCCAAACGCTTTCGCCCTTTGACGAAAATATGCTGCAAAGCACCGGCCGACAGGTTTAACTCTTCAGCAAAGCCTTTACGCCCATGGTGGATCGCACGGATGCTAGTCGACGCCTCACGAGTAAGGGATAAGTCAGGAAGCCTACCATGACTCTATGAAGTAGAATGTGCTCTCTATAAGAAGCAGGACTTGCCGGTCCACTTGATGTTGGCCGCCTAAAGAGTATTTTCATGTAGATCCAATATCAAACACCTGAAAACAATCCCTTCAAGGCTTACTCTACAGTTTTATCTCTACGGCAAGACATACGGATGGATCATTTGGCGTAGGGACAGATCATAGAGCAGTAGAGCTAAGTCAGGGGATCAATTGTAACACTGTTGTCAGTAGTCAAGGATACACATGATACCATGCATTCTATGTACAATATTATCACAGCAAGGAACATTAGAGCCACAGTTCCTTCAGGCTGCCTTCATTCTCGAGGTTCCATGCTCTGGTGATAATTTGCTGGATCCGATCCGTGTCTTTCACTTCGCCATACTTGGCTAAGGCCTTGAATTTGGTCTCAATCTCCGCCCTAGGACACCGTCCGGTCAGCTTGACGGTAACCATTCACCATCATTGGGATATAGAATTGAACATACCTCGTCAGTGGATTTTGGGGATCTCCTTTCAAATATTCCACAAAGTGCTCATGGCTTGCACCGGATTTGCAAGTTACGATTACCTTGCCCTGCCACTTTTGCGGGAACGCGGCATTTATATCTTCGTCCAATTCCATCTTAACACGTTCTTGGAATTGCCTCAACGATGCGTCCTGCAGCGCTTCCTCTGTGAAATCCGTTATCAAGGCATGTCCCTTCTGCGCCGTTACGGCGAGAACGAATCCCATGTTAAATTTGCTTTGATGGACTGTTTCACCGCGTCCACTGAGTCCAAGGACGTCAAAGGCTGCTTGATATGTTTTGGTTACGACCGAGTCGATATCTTCGAATTTAATCCCATGAGTGGAAAGAACGTTAAGCAATGCGTCAACGCTTGGATGCGTGTGCCGACATGACGCATGCCATTTGAAACTACTTCCCAGCACTGCCCAGTCAACTCCGAGGTCCGTATCAATTGCGCTGGAGTTGGGTGTATCAGGAACGAGGGCGACGCCCATGCCCTTAGGCCCTTCCAGCACATCCTTGGGTCCCAGTAACCCCGATTTCGCGGTGTAGGCGGCGAAAATTCCATCGAAGCAGGCCTTGCCCGTGTGAACTTGCTTTGAATGTGTGGCGTCCAAAAGGAACTGCCATAAGCCGGATGCTTGGGTCCCGGCAGTTCCGATAGCTGATAGCATGGCCGCGGCGTCGAGGCCCAAAAGACGTGCTGTTGCAGCTGCCACACCAATAACCCCACCAGTTGCAGTGGAGTGGAAACGCTGTTCAAACTCGGTTAACGTGGTAATCTGCTGTACAGGGTTGAAGGTGTCCACATACTGCATAATGGCTCTTTCCAAGGAATTCTCCCACGCGGCATCCTACCTCGTACCCAACCACGCAGGCGGTAATAAAGTCTCTTCCATTCGCTTCCAGATCCTGGGCAACTGCCAAAGCAGCAGGGAAGATAACCGTCGCTGGATGCATGATACTCCGGTTGTGCAAGTCATCCTGCTCCACCACGTGCGACGAAGCTGCGTTCACCATTGCTGCAAAGGCAGGGCTTGTACTGAAGCCTAGCTCGCCATCCACCAACTCACTCCTCCCCTGCGAGGGGCCCATCTGCTGCACAAATACAGCCATGGCCTTTACCGCGGCATGATGACGACCAGCAATCGTGCACCCGAACCAGTCCAGGAAAAGGTCTTTGGTTCGCTGGATCACATCCTGTGGGATGTCATGATATTGCACTCCTGAAGCCCAGGTGGCTAGGCGCTCTGTTCGTGTTGCCATGGTTATACCGTCTGCGTAGGCTTATACACCACGAGATTCCGCCTTGGTTTATCACAGATCCGATGGTGGAGGTGCTGGACCAACACATGTATGAGCAACCCCACCTATACGGACCCTCGGCAATGGTTTGGAATAGCCGGTGGTGGGGTCAAGAAGCCTTTATGAAAGATCGGCGGCATAACAATAACTGATCAAGAACGGTGTGCCTAGGACAGGCCATAGTGGACATTGTCCATGGAATGAATTAATTGTATCTTAGCGAATCTAATCTATGAATGACGAGCATTAATTTACTAATGGTATCTTTCCTTCCATCCGTCTATCCACCCCATGTCGCAACCTCCGAATTGCATCTTCAGTCGAGCTGGAACCCCCCGAATATATTTTCCGAGATCCCTCAGAGTTGAATGGTATAGTCACCATCGTACTTGCAGTCCTTGTAGACGTGGTCCGACGGGTTGTCCACGCAGTCCCACTTCCCATCGTTCTCATCTAGATAAGCACGGCCACCGATAGGGTTGGGCTCAATCCGCTCAATGGCCAGGGTAAACCTTCCGAACTCGAAGCCATCGGGGAATTGGATAAGATGCTTATTGTCGTTGCATCGTGCATTAGCATCTGGTGCCTTCCCGTCCCTGTGTATAGGAGGAGCTGGTCAGGTTCACGCAATCCCAGGTGGATATCGTGTGATAGGTTATAGACTCACCAGATCAGGTTGCAATCAATTGAGGCGTCGCCGTCAACGAGTGTGAAGCTCATGGTATTGGAGATAGAATCGCGCGCTTTGAGATCTTTGATCACAAAGCTGCCATCGCGTGTACTGGCAATGGGAGTGGCAATGGCCGAGGTAGCAGCCAGGACAATAGCCGCAAACGAGAACTTCATTGTGGAATTATTGAATTGTAAAGGGGTTCTGAGAGAAGTAGGTCGTAGTCTCTATTGACATTCGCTGTTGATAAGAGTATATTTCCCGGAAATTGCGTTTGTATTTATGGATTTTCCCGACCCTTGACGATACTAATTTTCCCCTGGGAGAGCTTAGCACCTGGCCAGCGCAGGAACCGAAAGTGACCGGTGTTCGACATGTCTCTACTGGTGTAGCTCGAGGTGGACTTCGCCATCATGGCAAGGAGGACTTACTGCTGTCAGGCGCCCTGGGAGCCTCGACTCTGGCAGCGTGGCATCGCGATCCGTATAGGAACACAGCCATAATGGTAAAGAAAGGATATTTTAAGGCCCCCTTCATGCTTCGAACCCTGTAAGGCGAGCCACTACGGCGCGGCCAATGCTCCTGGGTGGCCTAATCACGACGATCTCCTGCAACCAGAAGGATCCCTAAGTGGTTGTGTCAATGCTCCAACCATGTATGTTGCCGCCCCGTGGAAAAAGTTTCCAGCATTCTTTTCATGGTTCAACATCAAAGCAGTGTTCTGATGCCTAACTGAAGTTGCATGAGGGTCATTGGTAGCGATTGTGTCTGTGGGATTCTTAGGTATCATCCTTATTTGTATCTCAAAAAAGTTCCACATATAGTACATGCTTCCCTCTTGGACACATTTCCCTTGCCCTTCTCTCAAGGCTGTTACTACTGCTGTGGTATGTCTGTCCGATTGTGGGAATTGAATGGGAGTAGTTATTCTTAGATCCAAGCCTCGATTCCCTAGTATTGATCGGGGTATCATCGATCAGGGCCGTAGGATTGACTGATCCATGTACATCAGAGCTATCACAATATCTCCATAGCCCCCTACATTAACCGGACCTAGTGGATATAAATGGACGGGCAGGTGGAGCCTCTCTGCGAGTGTGGCTCAGGTAGCCGAGTAACCAAGTACCAAGCATCCAGTCTGGTGCATTTTGATCGGACGCCTTAGATACGCGAGGACGGAATCTATTGGGTCTTGTCGCTCCTATTCTTGGGTTTCCCCACATTCCGCCGTGGCGATGCCTCGTACTTGAGCAGATCTTCACAAAACCTAACCAACGACCATGACCCACCTCATCATTCATTGGAGCAACTGGTGATTCAGTTGGCCGTTTTCCAACGATGACCTCTATGGATACGAGTGGCCTTGGTGTGTTGATGATCACACTGTTACGTCTGTCTCTCAAGTGCACGGCTGAGAATGGCCATTACATTGAGATTCCTATTTTTAGGAATATTATCTGCCAGAGCCACTCGAAGAATGGCATATAAAGCTGTGTGCCGAACCTATCTTTAAGCAGAAATCAAATCCACAGGCTTCTACTATCAGACGAACTTCCATAAATCCCCCAAGCTGTTCAGCGCCCGACGAAGAACATCAAGGTCTCCCATAAGACACTCAACATGCAGCTCTCGATTTTGACTGTGATTATCCCCGCTCTCGCAGCGTTCGCGAGTGCTGCCCCCTCTGACAAGCGTCAAATCACCTCTGTCTCGATCACATTCTATACCCCTGGTGGTGAAAAATGGTCCCAGACCTTCCCAACCGATATGAGCTCGCATGAAGTTGGTATGTCGCTCTCCACTCAACGACCCGCGCAACACCCAAGCTGACAACCACTTAGAAATCAAGAAGACGGTTTCTCATATCTACAACCCTGGTGGAGCGTATTGCGGATTTAGTGGTGCTCAGGGAGAGAGGGTGGATGTCCCAATTGGGGACCATAAGTTGGAGACTCCCCAGAAGTTGACAACGGGAATGTGTGCTCATCTCTAGGGGCAGAGGCGGTGGCTACCATTCAGTCGTCTATTCGCTCAAGGGGATTTTGATTTAGAGCCAGGCAGTCCGTGTCACGATCGCAGAACAAAGCATTAGAACTCATCGCGATTGAGCCACATATGTGTATTTTTGAGTAATCGCACGTCCATATCTACCTACTTGATCCTCCTACCATACCAGATGTACGTAGTTCTGACAACAGAAGGAGGTTCGACTTGACTTGAATCTGCCTGAACCCTTGCAATCTAAGCTTGGTGGAGCCATGATCCTCCTTGAGGCCTAATGCACCATGTGAAGCATCCCACGCCCTTTGTGGTCATCACCAGAAAAGATATGCTCCCCCAGGCGTTCCAAGCGACATCTTGGTATATCTTCAGTTTGACACTGCTTCCAGCCAATGCGACATGCAATTCGGTTCGTATGCAGCAACGTGGAGGAACACTGTTGCACGTATAGTATGTCTCTACGCAGAGCCTCATGAAGGCATACATGAGCGGACATGGTGTCCGAGGGAGGAAAATACGGAACTGCACCACCGGGGAACTAATACTGTTACATCTAATACCCATGCAATCAGTCCTTCGGTGAAACCAAAATGGCTTTGATATATCAGGAGGCATGGGCCAATCAAGATGAATTTTAAGGGAAAGGGGCCGTGGAAGAGGGGAGATAACATACTATACTTATAGCAAGGGCCAAGACTTCGTGTAGGTCCTTTCTTAGCTTTGTGCCCATAGTCGTGGATCGGAGGAGCGTGCCGCTGGTGTAGCCATACTGTGGGAAATCGCTCAATCAAGACATTCCCCGCCTCTGCTACGGCTACAAAGACATGCCTCGTATGATCGGCGCGTGTCATGGAGACCTGAATATCGTCGAGCAAGAAGGGTTACAGGAATGCTGGCGGTGGAGCCCAACCAGCAGCCCTGATTAAGCCGGTCACGAGGATGATCCGGCCGGCAAGTGGGCCTCACGTGTCATCCGTTTGAACCTCTGATAGGCCGACGTAGGGCAGTCCATACAACACGTTTTTCTGGTGGCATGAGCTTGATAGTCCGAAGGCCCCAGAAAATATACAAGGTCCGGCCCCTATACAAATGTTTTCGTATTGGAGAAGTCTACTGCATATAACTGAAGAGCGGGATCTGCAGGCCGCAGTGACTCATGTCTAGTCACTCGTGTTCGAGGTCTTTACTAGCGCCATCCACCCTCAGGAAATATATGTCTACTTTCTTCCTTACTCTAACAGTCATGACAAGTCAAAGGCTTCTCACGTAGCCCCGCCCCCCTCACTATTGATCACCTGGGAAGTTAATACTGGGATATGTACCTGGTTTATATGGCAGGATGCTGTGTATTTTGCCAGGCGTTCCCTGTTCTTTTGTTGACTCGCCTGGTCCCACAATGACAGGAATGTGACATCATAGGACAGGCACCGAGGGCATTTATTTACTTGTAGGACGGATATCGCTCCCGTATATCTATTGAATTGCCGGAGTGGCTCAACTGTACCCTCGATACATCGGTGTCAGCAGAAGATAGCTGGACACAAGGAAACAGACGATGTCTCTGAAATCGGCGTCCAGCGCCCTGGAGGGCGCCACTGAAAATACAACGACTGTAGCCGGCTCCTCCCTCGCCGGTGCCGTGCCAGCTGCGCAACGACAGGCGAAACAGCTTGGCACGACCGCTACCGAGCCCATGAGCCTGACAACACCTGGCGAGTTTCCAGGAGAAAAGACGCAAGACAATGCGGCCGCACAAGACACATCGTCAGGTCCGTGGTATGCACCGATGAGCGCGTGGTTCCGAGATGTCATCCCATACACATTGGATTGGTTTGAAGGCACGGTGAAATGGCTGCTCGCTTGGATATTTCCTCCGCCTCGCCAAGCAGCGCTCTTCGAAGCAGCACTACGAAGGCCCTACGCGACATCATTCCTGGTCTGTCAGCTCATCTGCTGTGGAGTGCCGTTTCTTGTCTTTTTAGCTGGTACCTTTGTGTTTGCCGCGGTAGCCACACTGTTGTGGGCTCTACTATCATTTGTCATCTTGGGACCAATCTTCCTGGTCGCTAGCATGATGGGGGTATGCCTCTGGAGTTGGGGCTTGGTTTTGTATGCCGTCATGAAATGGGCTGACAGAACGTTCCTGGGCGGAGTGATTAGCAAGTTCTGGCTTTCACAAGTGCCACCGAAGGACCAGCCCCAGGATTCTCAAGAGAACCGCGAGCAAAAGGGCACACGGGAAAGCGGAGAAGGAGCAAATTGAAAGGACACTGGATCAGAGGGGGCGATACATCATGAGAATATTATGCAGCAATTGGTATTCGACTTGAACCACCCCTGGACGTCAACGTGCTCTTTGCATATGAACATTTCGATTTTCACTTCTGTCCTTATCATTTGCTTTCCCAACCTTTCGTACATAATAGTGTTTTTCATTATATGTCTCGGTGAATACATGGACCCGCGATGCACGGTGCAATCGATGGGGGCAGCCATGGAGTCAACCGAATGACAATTAGTAACAGACAATTTAAACTTGTGTCAGTCTTGTAGCTCGTTGATCTTGGTGGCAACATGACAGTCAGGTTGATAAGGTCAACTTGGAATTTTAAACCGAAAGGCTATTGACACGACAGAACCTATTTGCTCGAAGGTACACTGCTCGGTTTTCCTATGCGGATATGTGAGATATTGGATGAATGTATGCGACTCATGCAAGAGTCGAGAGTCAATACGACTTTGTAGTCACACAATCAGATGATGCTGTGGTGGGTATATTGAATTATATCTCTCCGGCCAAATATTCAATCTATTAAGGTAGGCTGTGACGGTGCGCGGGTGCATCTTGGATGGTATGTTGAAGCCTGTACTATCGAAAGGCTTCTGAATTAACAACCTACCAGCTGAGGGTAACTACAGACTACAGAAGTCGGAATTTACGGTCCATGCATGTCCTCGTGCGTTCCGTGACGTAAAAATTGAATCCCAAAGCAGGGGAATGCAAATGACTGGCGGGATGGGCTTAGTAGTTACTCTAAACCTGGGGGTCCGACACATTCACTGACTGATAACTGTTGAAAATTGGTGGCGGGTGGCAAAGAGATGTATGATCACATCTTGACTTACAGGGTTTTGAAGGAAACCTTGGGCCAAGGTGCAGAAAGCCAGTACTGAAGGAATAGAATTGGAAAAGCTTCCAAATACGACACTGTGAATGTGGTCATTAATTGATGCTACAATATATACCTTGTCTATACATTGACTACTATGGCTAGCTATGTCGTCGAGGAATCCGTCTGAGAGGTACGCCCGACCCTCAAAGGGCTAATTGAATGAGCTGCACCTGGTGGTCTTGACCCATAGCCAGAGTGTGCAATAGATCATCCCCAGTGTGCCTCTGGCCCATCAAGCACTGGATATACCGAATATCAGCGGTCTGTCATTGTGTGGGGTTATGATATATCTAAGGCGCATATATGAGTACGCGACGACATGGCAAGGTCGAAACCTAGGGAGGGAAAGGCTAGAGCAAGTTTCTCATTCTTGAGGCATAGGAAAAGCGTAGTTGGCTGGCATTCCACAATGCTCATCATGCATGCCCTTAGCACCACGATATCACCGCCTGAGAAAGCCACCAGGTCGGATGGCAATCAGGTTTAGCCTCCCTGGCTGTACTCAACCGTGCCCAACGTTACCAATGGCTGACATGCCGCTCTTCTGGTGGAAGCGCTGGATGTAACATAGGAGCACCACCTGAGAACGTGCGCCGACCCATTTTGAGTTCCACTCGACCTGTTCTAGGGCCACTGCATATACTGAGGCATACAATCACGTTGGGCATTCAGGACGCCACACTATTGTGGGTAGTGACTTCATTGGGAGCTAGTCAATCCTTGGAAAAGCCCTCTTCGAGGAGGGGGTTTGCTGAGACAAGTAAAATGTAATATCGCCCCAGTATGGGATGGCCGTCGGCGAGAAGGGAAGGATCATAATCTACGTGGGAGACGTAAACAGCGAAGCTTGGCCGGTCGAACCAGGGAAATGGTGCATCGCAGATCAACCCGCCGTGTCGCCTCCAGTGCCCAATTCCGACTATGTAATAGGCCCATTGAGTGCATAACGTTAATAGTCAAACTTGCTTGCAACGCAGGCTGTGCAAATGACAAGCATCAGATATATTTTCCGAAGTGCGGGGTGAAGTCAGCCTGCTGATACACCTGTCGATCATCCTTTTCCGTTGTGCCTCTGGGCGGGCTCGCGAAATGGAGACAAAGTTCGACAAACTCGCTAGCATGACTACCTGCATGATGACTGCCAACATCAGCTAATGCATGCAAGTGCGGACTTTTCACAGTTGCTTTTGTCCCTGATATAAGTCTTGACCCACAAATCCATCGTTCGAACAAGCGCACAACTATCTAGGTACTACCCGTACGGTTTCTCGATGCTTCGTGTCCTCCATGGGGGAACTATACCGTTACAGATGATCAAGTCAAGGTCATGAGGAAGGATATGCAGTGTAACAGATCCACCCGCACGCGGTAGCAATCCAGGGTGCTGCACACAGCCGGGCTGATTGAACCAGAAAATGGGACAAAGTATGTCACACAGCTTTAAGTAATTGTAATATAGGTGGCGCACGGCAATCTCCATCTGGCGAATGGTAGAAGACTCGACTCTCTAGAGGTAGGGTTACACTTGAAACGTTTGTATAACACGGGAGAGATGGCGTGCCGATCACGGACGGGGAATGTTGCAGTAGAGGCTTCATTTTGACTTGAACTACGCTGCAGGAAAAGGCGGAGAGAGATCAGAATAACTCTCTGGCGTTAGGATCATCATAAATATGGCCTTTTAGACGGCGGGGAAGCAATATAGACAGTATCTACGTGGCAGTTACAGCACAAACAGTGAACGAATATGATTTGCAAATCTCTCTTTCTCATTACGGGCCTACTGGCAATAGTCTCAGGCCTTCCCACGGCGACTAAGTTGATCGGTAGTGCAGAGCCTAGCAAGTATGTCTTTGCTCATTTCATGGTTAGTACGATTAGACCTTTCCCTACGGATTTTTCATGACGTGCACAGGTTGGTATCGTTGAGAAGTATCAATTATCCGACTGGATCTCCGACATGACTACAGCGCAAGCAATTGGCATTGATGCATTCGCCCTTAACTGCGCCAGCATAGACAGTTACACACCTACTCAGCTAGCACTGGCTTACCAGGCGGCCAAGCAGGTCAACTTTAAAGTCTTTATCTCCTTTGACTTTGCCTACTGGAGCAACGGAGACACAGACAAAATTACGGCTTATATGAGACAATATGCCAATCATCCCGCGCAGATGCAGTATAAAGGGGCTGGGATTGTAAGTACATTTGTTGGAGACAGTTTCAACTGGGGCCCCGTAAAGCAAGGAACTCCTCATCCCATATGGGCCCTACCTAACCTCCAGGATCCGTCAGCGGCGTCAAGCGGTGCTGCCCGGTCCACTGATGGTGCCTTCTCCTGGTACGCATGGCCTACCGATGGGGGAAACAGCATCATACCCGGGCCGATGACCACTATCTGGGATGAGCGTTTCGTTAAAGCTCTGGCTGGACAAACATATATGGCTCGTTCGTTTTCCACCCTTGTTTACACGGACAGGTTTAAGATTGCATAGCGGTATCGCCGTGGTTCGCAACCCACTTCAACACCAAAAATTGGGTATTCATCTGTGAGAACCTTCCTACGCTTCGTTGGGAGCAAATGCTCCAACTTCGGCCAAGCCTGATCGAGATTATCTCATGGAATGGTGACTCGCCCTTCCAGAGACACACCTCCGCAGCTAACGTATATTAGATTATGGCGAATCCCACTACATTGGACCATACTCAGCCAATCATAGCGATGATGGCTCCTCACAATGGGCAGCAGGAATGCCCCATGATGCCTGGCGAAACCTGTATAAGCCTTATATAACAGCCTACAAGTCAGGTGCGGTGGCTCCCATCATAGAGAAGGACGAGCTTGTATATTGGTACCGTCCTACCCCGAAGAACGTGGCCTGCACCGGTGATCCCTTACCTCAACCGAACGGTGTTAGCATGCTCCACGACAGTATTTTCGTGGCTACTATGCTGAAAAAACCAGCCACGTTGATCGTCACGAGTGGTTCCAACCAACCAGTCTCCATTGAGGTGCCGGCGGGGATTGTCACATCGAACATCAGTATGGGCGTAGGTGTTCAGAAGTTCTCCGTGACACGGGAAGGGAAGGCTATCCTCGGTGGTACAGGTGGGCTGGAAATCAAGGACAACTGTAAGTATTGGAATTATAACGTTTATACTGGGTTGATAGCAGGAGAGGGTTAACCCACGGTGTGTGCTCGCGGTCAGGTTGGCAGTAAGGGAACAGGCCATTGGTGATATTGTATTTTGGGCAAGATTAAGAAATGCTTGTCGAATTCTATTAAACTTGTCAGCGTGTGCGCCCAGACCAACACTCTCCCAACTAGACCAAAAGGCTGTATTAATCTCAATCCTAGATTCAGATTCTCTGGATCGCACCTATATACCTTACCGCTGTGGCAAAACTAGTCAAATTCCTGACACCAAATTCTATTACAACTCTTCGAAATATTATAAACAGTCGGACTCCGAGTCCAGATTAATTAAGCGAGCTGGACTGAGAATTTAGAGTGAGTTCGTTAGCTTTCAGAAGGCCTGGGAAAATGGATGCTATTGATAGTGAAAGTCTACGTACCTCAATGGAAAGGATGTCTGAGCGTATTCGGGCAGAGAATGGCTATACAAACTCGTAGATGTATTCCCAGAGCTGCGCAGATGAGTAGGGCCTTTCTTTGCTCATTTCCCACTACTTAGAGTTTAGATATCTATCTATGTATCTATCATCTAATAAATACAGAATTGTATAGTACGCCATACAGGATGGGTAACTAGTGCACACTTTCGGCGGGCCTATTGGCCACAGTGTGTGTCTAAAAAGTCTCGTAAGTCGTGAGCAGAGACTGCATTGATGCCTCCTGAAAGGAATTCAAACGTACACTTTCCAAGGATATGCTTATCATTAGAAAATCTCCATTAGCAACCCTCGTGACGCCTGCGAGTCGATGATCTTGATTCGGGTAATTTTAAAGCGTTTCATCTCGATATAGTTCTCTATCAAGGGTCGGCCAATCACGGCAACTATACTGGAAGGATCGGAGCCGAGATCTGAAAGCAAATTTGCCAAAGCACTCTCCAAGCTTGACGGCAGAGGCTCTCTCCCCGGGGGAGAGATTTATTGCCTGGAAGACCTACATCCCGCCAAACCAGTGGCTCCCTGCGTTCTAAACCACGCAAACCGGTCCCTAGAATTGCTGCTAGGGTGGAATACATATTTGTAGTTGCATCGATACTGCTCACTTCCCAGTGACCTGTTATGGACAAATATTAGGGTCAACAAAAGCCATTAGGATGTTGGGGCTCACAAAGACAGCTCGTTCTTGACATTTCTCCTGCAGGGATCGCCACATAGTGGTCTGGCAGTACAAAATAAAGCTGGAACGTGGGTTCCAGTGCCCCCATTACCTGATACCCTAGTCATCAATATTGGCCTCACATTGGAGTCTAACCGGTGGTGTGTGTACGGCTACTACACATCGAGTTGATCTGCGGAAAGAAAACTACCCTGGTAGCCACTGCAACCCTCTTGGCCAACGCATTTCATTCGCGCTTTTCCAATCGTTGGACTTTGACCTCATCGACGAGGATGTGGCCTTGGATATCCCATCCTACATTGCTGACTTGGTCAAGGACGAGAAGGTCAAATCGGATGCGGAGGCATTTCTAAGGAAACTGTTTGCAAGATATTTAGGCAACACTCTCTTCACCGGCTTGTTGACGACCCATACAGATATCAGATAGAGGTGGTATCCGGATGCTTTAGCAGAAGCCTTAGAGAAACAGCGAATTGGGTGAGAAGAGGACGAGGCCCGAAGAGGTGCTCTCCTGTCACAGTCTAAATGAAGGAATGAGGCTATTGCCCCCTAATACATACAAACATAGTGATAGGTCAAAAGGAATGTAACATCCGGCCTCCGTCTTTCGAATCGCAGTTTTTTAGATCTCAAGTATGAACCCCGACGGCATTGTGTTTGCGAACAATACTGAATAATGCTTTAGGGTTCGTCCTAATAGGCATTGCCGTATTGGTTGCCCAGCTATAGTCATGGGTATATACTTTATAATATGGAATGTTGTATAGATCATTCTACACCGTATATTCATTGTAGTTGAACTGCTCTACCGCTGCATTACGCGGTAAAGGACTCGGCCTAAGGTCTGTGAAACTGTGATAGATGTTCGCGATGAGGATGGTAGGGATAGGACGCAGTCTTCGAGGCTATTGTAGTTGCAGACAAGATGGGAAAATGTTTCTGGTGCAATTCCTCGCACTCTTTACATTGTTTTCAGCTGTGCTACATAGTCACTCCGTTCGAGAATATGAAATATTACATGGATTATTGTATAACTGTTGTATTGAGGCTTTAAGACGAAGTCTCAAGGTGTACCCCAGGGCGCATTCTGGGGCTTTCTACCGCGCTACTAAATGGCAAAATGCTCAGCCCAAGGCTCAGTGCTGCTCTTCGATATTGGCTTGAATTCGGGAATCAAGCGGATTGGAAATGTTCCATGGTAGGCCCTCTGAGATAACAAGAGTTGTTGATTGGGAAAAGACAAGCTCTCAGAACTAGGTACAGTACGAACATCCTATAGCTACTGGTTTCACACCCAGACAACTATCTCAATCAGCCGTCTACAAATCATCCCTCCCAATCAAAAGGTATTAGAGTCAAGGGTCGCCGCTTGCTCTTCCCCGAGGTCCCTCACGGAGAGGCGACTTTAACAAGCCCAAATATAGATCGACTCTAGTCCGCGTAGCACTTGACCGAGTTTACACTGGGCGGACTAGTTGAACCCTGACCTGGGTGCTGAATATCGCCTGTACCACCGCCATTGCATGCGGTTGATCTGTCAAAAGAAAGTATACGTCAGCTAGGATCTTCCTACAAAACACTAGTGGAGAATACATACGTCCAGAAGCGGCAGCGGTATCCGTCAGGGATTTTAACCGACCGGACATTTCCGGAGACGGGAGTACCATTCAAATTGTCTATACGTGATCAGTGAATTAGCGATACGAATAGCGGGTTTGTTGAGGGGGGGCCACAAACAGCATTGGTGTTGAAGGTAGACGTTAATGTCAATGCAGTCTCCAGCATAGTTGGCACCATCGCACACTGTAATGCTAATAGCGCTTTCTGCGGCGGCGCCAATGGCGGCTGCGAGTACCAGGAAAGCAGAAGTGAAGCGCATAATGGATAGTCGGGATAGAGAACAAATGATCTTGGAGAAGCTGGATAACTCGAATGGTCAGGCCCGAACGCTGCATTTTATACCCTTCTTGAGCCCCTTTCCTAGCCACCGGCCTGACCATGTTATGGGATGCATGATCATGCTTTACTGCGTATATGCAGCTCGGTGTAACCTTTCATCCTGCCGTACTGCGTATATGCAGCTCGATATAGCCTTTGCTAAGATATGGCCCCACGATAAGATGGACCAATGTCGAAGTCGTACTACGTAGATTCAAGCAGAGACAGGAGAAGAGAGGAACGCTGGGCTCCACAACTACAGGCGGCCTAATGCTAGTTGTGTACAGCACCAGATCTAACTAGGCTAATAGGCGGAGCATCTCAGTTACCCGAGTCGTACACCAATCGGCAACCAGCAAGGGTGAAGAACTAGGATCCTAGTCTAGGACTCTCCAGGTTTAGTACTCTCCAGGTCTAGTACTCTCCAGGTCTAGTACAAAATAGATCAGACCCGGCAAGAAGGAATCCCATATGCCGGCGATAGGGAATAGAGTATAGATTGTACTTTGTAATATCACTCTCCAACGCACTGGAAAATTTATAATGCATGTATACTTTATAGAGATTCCTAGAAGTAGAGTCCTGTCCCAAGAAGAGACTCCCATGAAGGTTGGATCGGACCATTATGCTGTTCCTTGGCATACGAACAAGCATTTAATCAATGTTTCCCCCCTGGACGTGGAGCCTCGGCTCCCTCATCATCGAACCTCCTCTGCCGGAAGAGCCGGGGAACAGGCCCCGTCCGCAAGTGGACCCCAAAGCGAACTACGCCTCTTACAGAGTACATTTCTTGTGTCTCCACTCTGGAAGAAAGACAAGTTGTGGCCAATTGGCAGAAGACGCTCCCATTCTGACCGCTACTTGGACTAGGACTAACAAGCGGGTTGGTCAGGTTTCAGGTACTATAAACTGCTCTGCGCTTCTCTTCCTTGATCGGAGCGAGCCAATGCCATTTGGAGTTTGGTCCTGACCCCTCAAGAAGCGTAAACAGGCTCTGAATACATATTTTGCCTCTACTGGTCGAGAGGTTCCACCAAATCAATCAAGTGGTAAACGTGAACAGAGTAGATTACAGGCTATGAGTCAAAACTCTTAATAATCAATCTCTGAGAGGCGACATTCGATGATATAACACCCCTCAATGTCCTACTTATCAGGCGGTTTAAATGTTCTATGGCAGTGCAGGTTTTCTCGGGTGTTTGGAATGGGTGTAAGGAAGACGACGCGCGGTTGTTCGCAGCCCTGGATCGCCCCTATATACACACACCATATTGCGCCCAGCGGTGATGTAACCTCCAAGACCGAGCCTGTGGCGGAGGGCGCGGAATTCCTCGCGCACCTGATCGTCTGAGGCAGCCCGGTTCTGGGCGACATCGAGCTTAAACTGACAAAGTAAACCGTCGGAGTATGGCGCCACACTGTGCCGCCTGTAACTGCGATAAACGAGACCGATAAGGTTATCAACTGCCTGGAGAGGCAATCTTGGCTCTGGCTTGAGTATCTGTCACAAAGACAAAGTATCCCCAGGTGGGTTCACGTTGTCGGGTACTCGAGGCGAAAGGTTCGTACCTTGTTATGGTCCCGAGGAGCCGTGGGGTTTCGTCGAGATCGGCCCCGTAGGAGGCGAAGTCGGTTTGGTTTGTTCGTATATTTCCGCACTAACCTCAGAGGGTGGGCTGTGTTTTGGATATCGGGGTCAGCACCGGAACCGAATGATTCCGTATGCAGATTGGCATCCATGGTAGATGTGGATAATACGGCACTCTCGTGGAGTATTCGATTGCGATGGGAACAGATCTAGAGTGAAACGCGTGAGGAGAATTCTATTTCTAACTCGGTGGAATGGAGATCGACGCTCATCAAGAGTTGACATTCAGGTAGGACAACATATTGGATCTGGATACACCCAGTCGCCCTATCCCAGGCCCATCCTCACAATTTCGATTTCCAACCGTTTCCCCCTCAACTCGCCCGATCTCTGGAGTCCGAGTTCAGCATTCCTGTTCGTGCTCATCTCCCAATAGTCCCTCAGCCCACTCGATCCTGGCCGGCCCATTTGTCACCGTCGGTGACCATGCGGTCCATATGGTCCCGAATCTATTTGGCCCAGTATTCTTGAATCAAGGTGAGCGTGTCCCCTTTACTAATCCACACCTGGGCGGCCAGTTCAGGTTCAAAGCCAATGCCATTAGATACTTTTACCCAAATCTTTCGCACCTCAGCATCTTTCAGGTACGTGAAGACGCTGGTTGCCGTGCCGATATTCTTCAACGTAGCGCATCATTTCGTGGGATCTTTGGTGAGTTTCACCCGATTGCTGGTAACTACGGGCTACTTTCCACCGCAAAACTAAGGCTAGCATACAGTCGCACTAGAGAGATGTAGAACGGGTGAGGAGGGAAGGGGAGTTACATTTTCCTTGTAGTGGTTGATTAGGCGTTCGAGAAACAGAACGTCATTCCAGTGGCCCTTCCGGCCCTGGCGCTGCATGGTATGCTGGATGGGAATCTCGCTGGCTTCCTTTGCACCCGGTCTCCGCAGGGGGTTCCTTAGGACTAGCTTACAGAGCATGCCGAGGAAGCTGCAGTGAATCTGATTGAAGCCGGACTTACTCTTGTCGGGCAGCTGATTCTTGTACTCATCCAGGAGGAAGAGCTTCGTTATCTGCAGTTTATTTTACGTCAGTGATCGCTTGCAGGAACATACCTGGGGGAATGATCGAGACTCACCCGCCATGTCATCCCCATCCAAGTGAAAAGTCTGAGCGCGATTATTGGGTTTGCTGGCTGGGCCAGGTGCAATAGCTACGGCCTTCTCCCAATTCCGTTTCTTATCATCTTTACCGTTGTGTTGTGTGTTGCAGACCCAGTCCACTGCCCCTTCTTCGTAGAGAATGACATAGTCGGCGTCGCCATCACCATCCATATGGCGGAACTGAACGTTCTGGGGAGGCTGATGAAAGCTAGTGGTCCATTTTGCATCTAGCGGCTTGAACTTGCGCCCTTGATCGATGTTCTTCCAGACCTTTGCCAAGCCGTCCGAATGAAACAGGACCATATCCGTCTTACCATCGTTATCGACATCCACCATGCGCACCATCGCCCCAGACATGCCGATCTAGTCCAGTTTGATGTTTCCAAGACTCATCCAGGGGCTCTTACTCGTCGAGGTGTTCATCCAGGCCCAGACGTTACCATCGCCATCGGCAAGAATGTATTCCTATGCCTATCTCCATTGAGTCCGCCATCTCGACGGGCACCCTTCGTTGCGCTGATGATTGTTCCCACAGCCTCCCAGGTAGGGAAGCCATCAAACGCATTTCCTTCCCTCTTGCAGCTACATCCACAATCGTCGCCACCAATGCGGCCCTAAGGACCGTAGCCCAACCCCATCCCCGGATGATCATCAGCGTCGACGGCGGCAGGAGCCTTGATCCATTCGCGGGTTTGAGCTTCGAGAATCCCGTCGTACCACGCCGCAGCCATCTTGCTGTATCCAGCGGAGTTCGGGTGTTTCTTGTCAGACAGGTCACTCACGGTAATACTAATTGGAACCTCAAGAATATGTTGCCCCGTCTCCTGTCTTCGTTGAATAATCGCACGAAGCTTCTTATTATACGCATCTGTATTCCTCTGCATCCGCGGATCATTTGCCCAGATGACCGGTGCAATAAGAATTGTAACACCCTGAGACCCGTCAAGAAGCCTATCGATGATCGACTCAATCAACCGATCTGCTTTATCAAGGTCAACTTCTTTATCCATATTATTCGTCCCTGCATGCACCAGGACGAGATTTGGCTTCGCCTCGATTGACAGTTTAAGATATTGTTGAATATCGGCGAGATATTTCCCGCTGTGCCCTTCGTGGTCATTATCTCGCATGTCGCCATCCTGCAGACTACCTATCATGTCGACGCTGAAACGGGAATCGTTTTTGTTGGATGTGAGCAGTTCGCGAAGCTTCGAGCGGTAACCGTTCATGTCTGGGGAGCCGTTTCCTTTTGTGATTGAGTCGCCGAGGGGCATTATTCGGAGTTTGGGGACGGCGTCGGCAGCGGCCAGAGGTAACACCATGGAAGTAAGGGCTAACGCCCAGATGAGGCCGTACTGGAGTAGAGTGGCCATGGGCGCCAAGGGGGCTTGCCGTAAGCTGTACCCTCCGTGGTTATGCAAAATAAATGGAGACTAAATCAGGAAACAAAAGAAAGCGAAAAGAGAGGGGTTTGGCATTGGTTATAAGTGTTGATTTGGCAGTGGGCGCTTTCATAGTGACTGTACCCCTAATTTATCTACGACGGCATTTACGCCAAAGTTTTGTCTCTATAAACGGATACGGGTATCCAAGGTTGTTCCTCTTACAATAGACCCCAACCATTGATGTTCTTTACCTATCTGGTCGAACTGCGAGCTCAGCCCCCAAGTTAGGCTGAGCGCCAAGATAGGGTGTCCATTCTTCCACCAGTCGCGCAACGGCTGCGCCCCAGATCTGCGGAGGAAGAGATATCTCCTTGGGGAGATCTAGAATACCAGCCCGTTTTCACGCTCGGCCCCCAATATATGCGCATGTCCATTGGTTGTTTCGTGGGTCTTGAGACATGCCGCTTGGTAAGGCGTCCTGTTGATCGACCACTAACGCCGTATCAGACCTGTTCGAACATAGTTCCCAAGCCACTTGAACCAGAAGCCATATGTCTTTCGCAGGATATAGAGAGTATGCTCTAATTGACTTGGTTCTCTGTTCCTCTGCCTTCCTGAGGTTACTACTGGTATAGGGAGATATTCTATCTTGATGACGGTATTCGAATATATTCTAATGCTATTTATATCTCCGTGTTCTGATTCAATTTTTACAGTCCTTGTGGGGAGCGCCGGTAAAATTGGCCCCAGTCTCTATATTACTGCTGTATCGAGCCCAATTGAAACATGACCCGCGCAAGGATCTTTCAGTGGTTGAGCTTTGAGATTTATACTTACTCCTGGAGGGGGTTGCTATCTCATCCTGTATGTCGCGGTACAAGGGTACACAGTGTTACGACGTTGGCAATTCGTTGCCGTATGGCTGACTTTGATCTGTGTACGGTCTCTGATTTATATGAGGTCCACTGACTTCCGAGAATTATCGAGCTCGCCCGAAATGCTATATGAGGCGCAGCAAATACTCCTATCCATACCACAGGCCGCTTAGTTCTCATTCCGGCAATGCCATTTGATCATGTTATTGAAGTCAATCCACGTGGAATCAACATCTTGCTACAGTAGAATGAGGTTCTAGTTTGTCCTACCCCATTTCATCTTTCCTTTAAGCGTCCTACAGGCATCAGGAAGGTTTTTAGAACGGACAAGATTGGAACGAATCAAGCCCATATGTTGATAACTGCAATCGACCGACGCTACAAGCTTTGTCACGGCTTGGTCCACTGATCCCAAACCCAGCCCGTTCCCGGAAAGCCAACTCCAGATCAAAATTTATTCGATTGGATACCCTAGACCTTCAGTCCTCGTATAATCGCCGCACATCTTTCAGGTCCACCGTCTGTTTTAGACACCTGGCCCCCAATTTACCCTCTATTGACATGCCTGAGAATGATCATATGATTTTGACAGTAACAAGCAATCCCCACTCCGTCTGGGCAGGCGACGGGCCCAAAATGAGGAACGAGCGAATATTGCGGTGAGGATTGATATTGAGCTGGCAGCATGTGGAGAGACAGAGACCTGGTCACAACTCATAATCCCACTCATACCAACAGAAGAACTAATCCAATGAAAGGCTCACCTAAATGACTTCACGCTAGCCACATATCGATACCTGAGTAGCATCCAGGATTAGATGAACGGAACAAGAAGCGTTTCCCAGGCGCAGAGTGGATATTTCGACAAGGATAAGGATCTCTTGACGTTCACGTTCGCCGTGGATGGACCATTGCTACGGCTGGAAGATATAATGAAAATTATTTTGATTGTACTTTGAACTGGTTCCCACAGAGAAGGCCACATTCAAGCGCCTATCAACAAGGCCACTTCGTTGAAATAAACGAGAAACACGCCGCACTTGACATATCGCGAGGCCACAACATCTTCAATACAACAGGCTCGCTAGCACGGCGAATTGCATGGCCGCTTATGGTTGCTCTAGTTGCTGTCCTCCTATTATTGCCTATGCTTCTCTGCATTCTTGTTAACAACACCACAGACCGTGTTGCTATTGCTGCCATTTCAATGATTAACTTCATAGGAATCATCTCGGTGATCACCAAGGCCAAAGGCATTCAGGTTTGGTCTCCAGCGCAACTTATGCACACCTATGTCAACTACAATCGCAGATATTGATTGTGCAATACATATGCGACAGCAGTACCTTTGTTTATTAATACTGAATCGGGGAATTGAACATGAGGTCCTGGTGGACAATATCAGTGCAACTAATCAAGGCCACCAGTTGTGCTGGGAGGATGTATTGGCTCACTGGATTGGCATGTTCTCTCTTAATCTACCAATAGCAGCTTATTCTCCGAGGATTCCTGTCTAGAATGTAACAATAGTCTCCATCCTCGGTGCAGAAAGCATATCCCCGGCCACAGTGACCATCTCTAGATTCTGTAACACCTATCCCCACGAGAGGTGACTGACCCGTTTCCCTTACGTGTCTGAAAGAGCACGCCAATAGTCCCTCCGATCAAAAAGTCTATATACTCCACTTGACCGTTTCCCTTTGATTGTGGATCCATCGCGACTCAGCCCCAAAGCGACGACGTATATGATACACACTTCCCCTTGTGAAGAAAGGTAAGGGTGAAGTGTATCTGCCTGTCTCATGTGTAATGGGATATTATTCTGAACGAGGTCTGCAATATTGACGAAAGTTTGTTGCATCTTGAAAATTGAACAATAGCGAATTTCAACCTTAGATCAGACAATAACAGCAATTCATGGTGAGTTAAGTTACTGTGAATATGGCTGCTTCCACCATATGCTCTCAGCGATGGAATAAATAACCTCAGGTGACATTATCGGGCGATGAACCCTGAGCAACGGGAGTCGTCGTATACCGAGCTTCATTTATCTGATCCTCGTTTTTCTTTCGCGGGTTGTATTTCGGGTACCTCAACTAGCTTTACCACATTATCGAACGGCCAACGTTCATTCTTCTTCTTGTATCATCGTTGAATCTAATCGTGTGGTCTATCTAGACAGCTATCTCACAGTATACGGTATAGGTGATTGATAACATGAATATGGATTAATTCCCAGCATGGCCTGAAAGCGCGGTTGCCAGGCCCGAACTATCAACATTTCCATAGATCCACTGGCTGAAGTTGCTGGGAGCCGCTTGGTTGCAAGGAATGCCGGAGGTGTTTTGACCGACGACATTCGTGCACTGGAACAGCTCGTACTGAATATCCGTGCCATAGTAAGCCTGGCCCCGGGTGGCATTCAGGCTGGTGATGTTCACATTCTCAAAGGTCAAGTTGGGGCATGGGCGCTCATCCGAACAGTAGATCGACGAAGCGATGTTGAACCGCGACGTGCCACGGATGTTTTCCCATTTCACGTCTTCAATCTGCAACGTCGACGTATTGCAGCTCTTGTTGGATCCCGCGGAGTAAACACACTGGGAGACCTGGATCGGAAGCCCTACATTGTCCATTTCAAAGTTGCGGAAAGTGACATTTTTGACCAGACCGGTTCCACCGCCACCCCAGTCGCCGTTGCTGGGGGTGAAGATGCGTGTGCCTTGCCAGGTCTTGATGTAGGCGCCATCCATGGCATTTTTGATTGTCACATTCTCAAACGTGGTGTTGAGATTGTAGTCGGGCATGTCCGGGTATTGGCCGATGGACCCAATCGTAATGCCGGTGCCACCCTCGCAATAGATGTTCTTGGCCAGTAAGTTGGTTGTGTTGCCTTTGGCCGCGATACAATCATCGCCGGTGATAATAGTGGCATTCTCCACTAGCAAGCTGTCACTCTGCCAGGAATCAAACCCATCGGTGTTCATTGTGCCCCATTCGCTGTCGCTGGTAGCGTTCACAAACAAGTTCGTAAAGGACACATTCTTGCTCGCCCACACAAATGTAGCCCAGAACTGCGGTTGGATCACCCGCAGTCCATCGACCAGGAGGTTGGTCGAGTTGTAGATCGTCATACTCATCGGCCGCCCGGCCTGGTTCGATTCATTCCGGTTCGCATTGTACCAAGCTTGGCCCTGGCCGTTGTAGAAGCCGCCCTCGCCATAGAAGCTCACATTGTGTCCACCGAACAACCAAGCAGTGACTTGATCCTGCAGAACAACGCTGATCGCGTGGGTTCTCCAGTATGGAATGTTGGTAGAGAAGCGTAACTCGCCACGAAGACGAACATCACAATTCAGCAGATTGGTTGTGTTGAGGACCGTGTTGACATGGAAAACATTCTCGGAAAAAATAACCGTCCCGTTGGTACCGCATAGATCAAACGCTTGTTGAATAGAGGGAGAATCATCAACCACCTGCCCGGGATGAGCCAGAGATTCCGGGTACAAAACGCATGTTGTGCCTTGGTTGTCGACCCAGGCGGTCACCAAAGTAACCCAGAGGGTAAGAAGCCACAGATTCATGGCGGACCTTGGCACCTGCGCTTGGAATACTCGTGGACAGATGGATTTACGCTTTCTTGAGGAGCAGGAGGCCCTCTATATAGCCGCGCAGCGCATGAAACCCTTCCCCCCGACACCACCACCATGTGTGGGATTCGACCAGGTTACATCATATCCCTAGTCCGATGGGTTAAGCGAATGCCCTCCACATTGAATGTGGATGCTGCTCATTTTACAACTCCACCTAGGACTTCCAGGCATGTAACCTGAGTAACCTGCTCATCCGAGCAGCGCAGTCAATGCCCGGTTAGGCACCTGATTAGACACATGCGTTGAGTTAAGATATTTGGTTGCTTAATATATTGGCTCCTAACGGTACTTTGAGAGTATGTGGAAAGACTAGGGACCTTCCATCTCTCGCGGTACGTCTGTACATCCCTATGGAACCAGAGCAGGCGGCTATTGGGATCAAAGATTTCAGATGCCGAGCAAAGGCGGGGTGGTTCCAGGGTCAGAAACTTCCCCGAGAACAGCGATTCAGTTCCCACGGGGTACTTGCTGTGAGTTCGACCCCACTGACTAGGCCCTTGACGCTAAAAAGGCTTAGCTTCGGATCATGGATTGCTTCCAACGCTGGTTATAGCAGCCGTGGTGGTGATCCTTGCCTCGTCCCGAGTGCTCTTCCCGAGATCGGCGCTCATTGGAACCAATTTGGTCAGCAAGGTGGAGCTCGGCAATATTTCCTCATACCGTTGTTCAAAGTGGGTTCGAAGACATGCGTTGGGTGGTATGTTTCTGTCTTGGGGATGAGGAAATTGCCGCTGGTCGTGGTTCGGAACGTTGGGTGTGATATGGTGGCATGTCGTCGAACTGTTGTGCGAAGCCGAGACCGACCGAGATTAGTCTCAAGCACAAGCAGCAAAGCTTGGACAAGAAGGATTCAAGGCCCACTCTGATCTCCCCGCTATTACCTTCTGACAACGTAGTGAAGCAGCTGAGATGTCGGCAGCCTTCTGTATCGAAGCCGCGGCACTGGCTTTTCCCGGTCGCACTTGATGTGAATGATGGTCTCGGAAGAAAGTTCCTCTGTATCTAATTAATCTATATAGGAAGCGAGGTAGTCCTAGATGATGATGAACACCTGCTACAGTTTCCCTCATGATATGGTGTATATTGACGGGGTGTATCAGGCTTAACAGGTTCATTTGAACCAGTTTGGTAACCCTCAGTAACAACTGATAGAACGCTACGGCGTATTTCTGACAAATAATCATTTGATGGGTTTGATGACACGTTAGACTCATTTCTTGCTTGCTGACCATGCTGGGAATAACACTTTTGGGTGAGACTTCGCGGGATTCTCTCCCTTTTTTTATTGTTACTATACTGGACTGCTTGGTGTTGGAATAACACACTCCAATCAGGGAAACATGCAGTCCGGGTGGAGACAATAGTCGTATTCATTTTGTCGCTTTTTTCCTAGAGGAACATAGACACAGCAACCAGCTGAAAATTCTAGCGGACACCGTATCACAATCAAGCCACTTCAGTCACTTGTGGTCACGGGCATCCGGGAGCTCTCAGGGCTCAACAAACTGCAGACCTGGGCAACGCATGCCGGGCGTCTGGACTAATACGGCAGCCTGACCGCTCCCCCGATTCGCGATATAGCGGATTGTCTTTATGGCGACGTATATCGCGGCATTTCTCATGGATGGGTGGATGTGGTGTACTGAGGCAGGCTCCGACTATTGCTATATAAAATCGCATCCTTTTGAGTAATAGTCTTTGCATTGAACAACTTCAGCACTGTCAAACCGCGCACTGCTTATCCGATGAATTGAGAATGCTAAGTGCAGGATGATAGAGATTGGACCCCAATGTTGACACCACCGCTCCTGGATTAGACCGGCAAACTAACACCTAACACTAGCATGTGTAAATACTGGTCATGAGCAATGGAAGAAGTCTTCGGTTCCCCCATCTCTAGGCTCTCCAGTCTCTGTCAATCGCGTAGGGATTGTACTAAGCCCTTCATGAAACGGTCAATGTATTTTGATACCGTGGTCACTTAGGATCACATAGTTAGTACTCGACCTCCATCTCTGTCTAGGTCTCTCTCATCGGCCATTTCCACTCTTACATTGCTAGTAGAGGTGGATTGACAGATAACACGCAGCTATTCAGCTGCTCTTGGAGCTTGCGGAACCCTACTTGCGCTCAGATTAATTCTCTCCTTGGACTCAACTGGGATCTGGAGTGTCGGGCTGGGGCAAATCAGCACCCAAACACTGATCTCTTCCGGGGGATACACAATTTTGTCAGTGGTGTCCAATAGCGTAGTGGCAAATTTACCCCAACTCATATTCTCCATGCTATATTTTGCATGCAACGGTCTTGTCACGACCATGGTCCTAGCCTATGGATGGAGTCAATATGCAAACCAGCGGAAAGGACTCCGTGTCTCCACCAAGCCCATAGGCACAACGAAGCACGTACTGCCTCGCTCTGCCATATCACTATGTCATTTAATTCATTATTGTATCGACGCTCGTGCACTGGCTCATCTCTGACAGCTTTCTTCTTGTCGTGATCGAAGTGTACACGGTGAATCTGGAGCGAGATCCCACCAACGATATAATAACCCGTGGGTATTCGGCAGTCGCCATTGTCGTGGCTATTTCGGTTGGAGCTGTTGCTCTTGGTGCTCTTATTGGATTGAGCTTCAGACGTTTCAAGTCCGGGATGCCGGTCACCGGGAGCTGTAGTCTGGCTATTGCAGCTTCTTGTCATACCAAGGAGGATACAGCGGACCTATCTCGGCAAGATGAATCAGTGTTGCCGCTTGAATGGGAGCTGTGGCAGGGAGGGAACCCGTGAGGCGTCGCACCTTTTCAAGCGCAGAAGTTCATATGCCACAGCATGGCTGGGTTTATCAATAATGTACATAGTCAAATAGCACAATAGTTTGTCTCTACGATGCTAAAGGTGGCGATCTAGTTGCATGTAGCTGATCCTACAATCTAAAAAGAAGCATTGGTTTTTCTTTGCTCATCAAGTTCCTCTTGCCTCTTTTAGTGATAATCCCTCTTCTCGTGGTCTAAATTCATGCTTTAGGACACCACGACCTATGAATTACAGGAATGGAGGCCTCTTAGAACCCGTTGACGCGTATCGAAGTGAATGGTTCATTTCTTTTCCAATTCCAAACGATACCAGTAGAAACAAAGGATCGACGTGATTTCTAGAAATCCGATGAGCCTAAAGTTGCAGCTGGTAAATCCAGATGCCTAACTTCCTAGAGGCTCGAAGAATATTGGACTGCATTTGATCTTGCCGATTATACGCCTTAAGTACCCGACACCAGACCCAATGCGAAGCTAGGCGCTACCCAAACCAGCAATGTTTTGCACTGGCAAGCACAACAAAATATTACACATTATATTTTACCGATAGAAACCGCGTTTCCGTAGACCACCCTGAGGGGAAACTAGGGAGAGCTGATAACGCGTTCTTCAAGCGATGCAACTAGCAGTCATGGATTGACATTGTTTTTGTTTTCGAAATTTCCATACAAAAATGTCATTTGCGAGATGCGTGGAGTAAGCAAGTCTATCTCACTTCGTTGACAATACACAGTGGACGCCAGCTATTTTACGCTGAGTACTTCCTCCTGTAGTGTTAAGAAGCGCACATATGGCTCAACCTTGTATCGCCTTTTCAGCTGGCTTGCATAACTCATCTCCAACAGCTTGGCATTGTCAATGGATGTCAATGAGATCCTAACTAGGGTAGAACCCAAAATAATCACACCTGAGTGATCACAAATGTTCTCAATATGTCGGTCACAACAGTAGACATTTTAGCGGTCAGAATATTTCACGTTGCATACATAATGATGAGATAGAACTTGTACGCGGGCGTAGACGCTTGAAGTAGCCAATGTCTATCCCAGTAATAATTGACCACCTCTCCAGGCAGCTACAGTTGTTACTACCACCCCCATTAACCCATTTACTGGCCTTTCAATCTCTTAATTATCAAAATATCTGAAGCATAAAACACCAATTTAACTTGAACCAAGTGGAGATCACACGCCAACTGTGCAAGCTATTGAGTATGCTGCACTCAACCAAGGGGCTACGGTCATTCAACAGCTACTTTCTCCAAAAGCAAAATGTGGTTCCAGACTCGAGGTTGTATCTATATTAACGTGCGTGAAAAAACCTTGCCTGGAACATATACACAATGTTTCTCCTATTGCACACCAGTAGGAAGTATGGTTAATTAATGTGGGCTATCTATTTCATAGCTTAACTGTAGTTCGGCAGAAAAGATCTATTAATCTAGCTAGATATGATACGTCAATTTATATAAAAATAGCTAATACGCATAACACTATGATAGCATATGTTAGCTAGTTTCTAACAATCACTTTTTTGTCACGAGATGGCAGGATAAAAGCTTCCTAGAATACTTCCCAACTCACCCCGCAGGCAGTCAAACCTATTGTACAAATCTCAGAATGGAAGAGCTAACCTTGTGACGGCCCAAGATACGTATTTTAATTACCATAAACATCAACGTGCACCTAACAGACATTGTTGGGTGCTAATGAAGGACTAGAGTCATTCTTCGCATGATTCATACTCTGCAAGTGAAATGTCGGTGGCTCCCGCGGATGATCATCGCCACCCCATCCGAAACCTTCCGGGAAGTTCGACCGCGAAAATCGATTGTACAACAATACGGACCGCCGTCTCGAGTGGAGATAACTATTCTTCGGCAACGCCATATTTGCCGACAGCGGACGGACCTCGGCGGGTCCAGAGGGATCCACCACGGCAGGCATGCCGGTGAATTTATAGATGAGGTTAAGGGCGGGGATGGATAGACCGTGGACCACTATGGAGAAGAGGACAAGCCAGTAGACGACTTCGACAACGGTTAGCATGCTCGATGTCGAGAGATGAAAAGGGACACCAGTGGTTTTAACTAACTTGGACTTAAAGCCTGGACGA